ATATGTACTTACTGTCACTGGAGGCAGATTACGGATTTTTGTCAATATACTGACTGGTTGTTTTCAATTATTAATAAATATTACATGATTGATTTTAATATATATTTAAATGTGGTAGTAGATTAGGGAAAAAGTTTCTTCGAATTTTATATGAAATTTCAAATCATTTTTTATAAAATTTATTTACATATAACTAAAGTTGTAGGTACCAATTTGTTTAATAACTGTTTTGTAAGGAATAGGGACTATGGACCAGCCAGATACAAATGGTGTAACCAGAAAGATTTTATTACAAGTTAATGCATACTTTATGCGAAAAGACTTTACTCAACCTAATGTTTAAAAAATTCTATGTAAATATGTTCTTTTATCAATACTGAACTGTAGGAAATAAATAGTCTAGTGATATATTTTCTTTTTCCTGTATGTAGCTTTTATGAGTTGATTTTTAATTTTGATATCATTTTTGAGCCATCACTTATGCCCCAAGTATTTTAAATTGGCAAACACATTGCATATATGAAAAGACAAATTAATTCATAATGAAATAAACATGTTTAAAACAAGCTCTCAAATAAAATAAAATAAAAAATATTTAATTGGATATTTCAATTTAGGATATTATAATCAAAAACTTCTTTATTTAATTATAAAAAATCTAATGTTTTTTTCTATTTACTCCTTTCAACAGATAAAAATGCCACGACCTGGCAGCCTCAAAGACCCAGACATTGCTGAGCTATTCAGCAAACATGACCCGGAGAAAATCTTTGAAGACCTTCGGGAGATTGGTCATGGGTCTTTTGGGGCGGTCTATTACGCCCGCTGCAATCTCACAAAAGAGATTGTGGCTATTAAGAAAATGTCATACTTGGGAAAGCAGAGTGAAGAGAAGTGGCAGGATATCCTAAAGGAAATCAAGTAAGCGCTTATCTGTATTAGTATAACAAAGAGGAAAGAATTGATTGTTTGTTTGTTTGTTTACAATAAATGTCTCCCAAAAAGTCCTGGCCTGATTTTATTTATAATTAAATGAGCGGAGTAGAAGGAAAACAGCAAGTATCACAAAATCTGTCAAATATTCAGAATATATTTGCTGTTTTCATACAATATACACACCACATTTTGGCACCAGCATATTTTGTACCTTTTATTTTAATATTAAACAACATCACACACATTGCTCAGATTCCAAGATGTGTAGCTAAAGCACCCGTATTATGGAGTATCTGGGACAACCAAGGTAACACAACACCCAGACCTGAGACAATATAGAAAAGTTCATTTTCATCATTGACCCAACCGGCAATCGAACCCGGAACCTCTGAGATGGCGACACCTTGAAACCAGCATGCGAACCACTCGGCTATGGAGGTCGTCATAAGAATAAAAACCTCATTTTCTTCAATAAACAATTTTATTATTATTATTTGGTGGGTGTGTGATTCTTTTTTCCTTTATATGTGTTCTGTCAATAATCCTCTGGTTGTATAGTTGGCGCGTTGTTTGACTGAGCGCGTCAAGTCCCCACTTTTAACATCGAGTTAGAGTCATGTAAGAGGATTCCGACCCCCGAGGGATTTGATTAGTTTGTTAAGGGTTTCATGGTCATCTGAAATCTTTGATGGGGTTCGTAGAGACTAAAGTTTGAGTAACCTTGATCTATACTGATATTATTAAAAAAGTTAAGATTTGCAACTTTGTATGTAGGAGTTAATCTTCGAAAAGACTGATTCGGTAATGAAAACTCTTACTTACATACGGGAGCTTACGTCATACGCGGGTGACATAGGGAAAACTGCCAATTATATATGTTACACAAGTAATATATACAAGAGTACATTCTATGTAACAATAATTGTTTTTATAACTCAGATTCTTGAAGCAACTGGAACATCCAAACACTATAGAATATAAAGGTTGCTACAAAAGGGAGCACACAGCATGGCTTGTTATGGAGTACTGTGTCGGTTCGGCATCGGATATCATCGAGGTGAGATTTTTCAGTATTTTTTTAAGTCAGCGGTTCCTAACCTTTACATTATTGAGCCTTATAGGTAATCGTATTTTACATATACCCTACCTTAAAATGCTTGTAATACAAACATAGCAAACAAAGATATCTTTATTATTAAGTGATAATTATTGTATTGTAATAACAATAATATAATTCACCAGTTTTTTTATGTATGTTCCACATTGACACTACCTCTGATGCACAGATATGAGATGTTATCTGTGCATCAGAGGTAGTGTCAGGTCCTACCTCTGCGACATCGCAAATTATCGAAAAATCAATTACTTTGGAATCGTGTTATCATTTCGAAAATAGATGAAATTTTGTATTTGGAAAAATAGTCTAGGCCCCTTAGGTGTCATGTTAAATCGCACGAGTAGTAGTTATCAAACTGCCGTAAAGAAGAGTATAGTGAGTGAATAATAAACAAGTGTACGATTGTAACTCCTTACTCGACGAGTGTTTTGGTCGCCAATATAGCGTTACTCAACGACCTTTATCATTTACGTCTGTTGGAGGTGCTTCACTCATTATATTTCTACCTAATATATTAAGTTCTAATCCAGTTATATAATATAAACTAAAGTATTACTTTATATTTCTCTTTCCCAGCTGTATATGCGAGTGTGACCGCTTCGCTTACTCATGTGTAGCATGCCAGTTTGCTTTGAAATGAAATGAAATGAAATGAAAATATCTTTGTTCAAGTAGGCTATTACAAGCACTTTTGAATCGTCCAAAAAACTTTTTTCCCCTACCACTTGTTCAGGACGTCTTTTAGCTGACAAGAAGAACAAGCGAAAGAAACTTATCAGCTTTTTATCATAAGTAATGACATTTACATAAATCATGTCATTACCAAAATAATATGTATTATCAATTTATCACAATAGTAAATACAACTTTCAAAGTCTGTAGGACATAAGTTGAACATTTAATTAGTCTTTATAGAACAAAGCGAAGGCTATTAATTCCATGCATTGCGATCCTTAAAATAATCATCAACTTTATAATAGCCTTTACTCACAAGTATATTCTTTACATGAATTTGAAATTTATTTATGGGTAGGTCAATTACATTTTGTGGAACTTTATTGAACATAGCAATACATTTACCCAGAAATGATCCTCTGGTTTTTTGAAGTCTGAAGCTTGGAACGGCAAGTTTATCTTTATTTCTTGTGTTAAGATTATGAACACTCCTTTTTTTTGTGAAGGAATCGTAATGTTTTCTTGTATACATAATATTCTCATAGATCTTTCAATCCATAATAATATTTTTTTAATTTGCCCAAGAAACTCCTCCTGGATTCCTAGCATTATAGAAGTATTTCTATTCTATAAGCATATCACTTGATACACCTAGTGCAAACTAAAAAAAAACTTTCTTTCGAATTAGTAACAATTTTTAGGTCTAAAAAGCAAAATAACGTCAATTTTTTTTATTTCCATGAACAAATAAGTGATCAATGAAATTGTTGATGACATAGACGTTTGAGTCATTTATTTCAGGTTATTTCCTGTTATTTATTAGATTATTTATGTATTTAGTGATAAATATTTTTGATGATAATTAAGGTAACAAATTAATATTCATATCAGGGTTCGCAAAAATCCGATTTTTATAATAAATATCAAAATATATTGTAAGATATTTGATATTGTGGCTTTATTTAAAACTAGCTTTCCGCCCGCGTGGTGTTGTATTATACATTCGCCCGCGTGGTTTTGTATTATACATAAAAACATTCCTTTTGAATCACCCAATCTTTAAAAAAAACCGCATCAAAATCCGTTGCGTAGTTTTAAAGATTTAAGCGTACATAGGGACAGAGAAAGCTACTTTGTTTTATACTAAGTAGTGATTTGATCTTTTCAATCAAGTGTAAAATAAATATTTAGTTTTTGTTAGTTAATATGTATTTATTTATTATGAAATAATTAAAAAGTAGTATGTGAGCGAGGATTTCCAGTAACTTATAGGGGAAATCCCATATTTCTAATTGATATAATTGATAGTTAGGTTTTTTACCTATCTATATTTCCCGACCTTTCGACTGGGTTACACCGGGTAACTATCAGTTCTATCGCATTAATACCCATTTCATATAATCTGAATACTACTCAAAATAACAATAAGTATTATGAGTATCGATATATATCATGATATATATTTCCGTTGATATTTATCAGCGAACCCTGATTCATAAGTATCAGAATTCTGCTACATTTGTTGACAGTGTGAAAGAATCATGATATATGATTGGTCCGCTATCGCTGCCCTTAGATTAGGCAATATTTTAATGACGAAATTAGGTTATTTTTAGTTATTCAGCCAAAAGTCGAGTTGGAGGCTTGTTATAGGTACAGTTGCAAGGTTTCGGTATCTCTAATATTCCAGATTCGAGTTAATATAGAGAGTGAACTTTTGAAAAAGTCTGTCAAGAATAAATTAAATGGTCTCGATTCATGACGCAGTTTTGGAAAAAGTAAATTATATATTTTATATCTTGAAAGTGCTTCTAGTCTCTGCTACAAGCACTTCCAAGATATCGCATAAAAACATAAAGTCGCATACGATGAAAGGTACACTGCTTACACAAAAAAGGGTGCGTGCTGGGTGCAGTGTAAATGGAGACTTGTTTATTTTAGTTATAGGCAATAAAACCTTGAGCCAGAGACCACAGCTCGATGTACACAATGCAGTGCTGATACCAACGCTAACGTATGTCAAATAAGAAGAATAAATAGGATGTAAGAAGAATAAATGAAGCTGAAATACAATCCTTATTCAGAATTTGCACTTGCTAACTGTATTCGTAATGAAGACGTGTGAAGAACTACGAAATTTTATAAGGAAATTTATATTTTTCACTAACACTGGACTATAGGCACTAGAATCGATAATATGATATTGTTTGTTAGTGCAGAAAATATTATATTCGACTAATTAGCGTAAAATTATTTAAAATTATTTAAACTTGATTATCTGCATAATTTATAATATTATTTCTTTAATAGGTACACAAACGACCTCTTCGCGAAGAAGAAATAGCGGCTATATGCGAAGGTGTGGTTTGTGGTCTGTCGTATTTGCACAGTCTAGGCCGTATCCATAGAGACATAAAGGCAGGAAACATACTACTCACTGAGAATGGCACTGTAAAATTGGCTGACTTTGGCAGTGCCAGCATCAAGTGTCCAGCCAATAGTTTCGTCGGGACACCTTACTGGATGGCACCAGAAGTCATATTAGCTATGGACGAGGGACAGTATGATGGAAAGGTACGTACCTAGTTAATATTTCTAAATTATTGTGATTTTTAATAAGCCATCTTCACAAAAGAAAAGGTTTGCCCTACAAACTCCTTGAACATTGAAAATTCTCTTTGAATTAATTCAAATACATTATTTTTGTTTTTTAACTGAAATAAAACATACATGATATTATCATTTAAATATTAAGGTGATATCTGGTGAAAAGCGTTTTTTAAATTACATATTTTATTTCATAAGTTTATAGAACAATGAAAGCATATACATATCTATGCTATTCAATTGACAAAATGAAGTATCTATATGAAGAAAACATCTAATATCTTTTTAATAAGATAGGCGATAAAGATAAAATTATTTCGTTATTGAAATAATTAAATTGTTGACTAGAGTAACGTAAATATTAACATTGCTATAGGTGGACGTTTGGTCTCTGGGTATCACTTGCATCGAGCTGGCGGAACGTAAGCCGCCATATTTCAACATGAACGCTATGTCTGCTCTGTACCACATCGCGCAAAATGATTCGCCTACATTACAGGTAAGTAAACCTCGTCATGTTTTTCCTTTCCGAGAAAGGTTCTAAAGGGACAAGTAGCTAAGTGCGAGTTGGACTCGTTCATAAAGGGTACAGATAATTAATCTAGCAAAAATTGTTCATAGTGTTGACATAAACGACAGTTATATTTGCCGTTTTTGTAAATGTGCTATATCTCTTCAGCTGCTAGCTACATATTTATTTAAACTTTTTTTCACACATAAAGTGTCAAATGGTGGACTTAATACCAGTAGGCATTCTCTACCAGTCAACCGGTGAGTTAAGACATAAAGAATTTAATAAGGTGGTGCTATACAAAAATATAAATAAAGTGTCTAACACTTAAACAATATACCTATATTTAAAAAAAAAATGGAAATAAATATACATACATACATAAATATAAATAAGTCAGATTAATTACAAGCGGTAGGAGAATTCAAAAGCTTATCGCGTAACAATCTTGAAACATAATTTATTTGGAGCAGCTTGAATATGGGGAGGGAGTGCGTTCCAAAGTAGTACAGCCTGAAGCGAAAATGAGTTTGAAATGAACCCTGAATGGTGAAAAGGAGTGGCGAGAGCTTCTTTGCTGTCTGAGCTATAAAAATAGTTCACATATCATGTAAATCATTTTTTTATATGTTAATTTAAAAGTTTATACAAACCAATTTTATTTAAATATGTTAATTAAAAAGTAAGGGGAAGGTGGGCAAATATTTTAAAGTGTTTATCTTTCGAAGTAAAGAGACTGAAAAAAGATATTTATGGAATCCCATGTTATTTATGTCGATAAATGATGTGTAGTAACCATATGTAAAGAAAGCCTGTGCTCCAAGATTGGGCTCACTAATAGGCTGACGATGAAGACTTTTTTACCCATCAGGCACCAGAGTGGACGGACACATTCCGCTACTTCGTCGAGGCTTGCCTTCAGAAGAACCCGCAAGACCGTCCGTCGTCCACCAAACTTCTTTCTCATCACTTCTTTACGCGGCACCGATCTCCCAATGTCCTAGTTGACCTCATACAGAGGACAAAGGCTGCTGTCCGAGATTTGGACAACTTGAATTATAGGAAGATGAAGAAGATTTTAATGGTCGACGCTGATAATGAAAGTGCTATTGGTGAGTTTTTAAATTAAAATTTGTACAACACTAACAGCCAGTTGCACAACCGTTCATTAAAATTGTCACTTGTTTAAAGCGACATTACCCATACAAATTTGACTTTCATTCGATCTTAAGGACGTCATTAAACCTTAATGGACGTTTGTGCAACTGACCATAAGATTTTCTTTTTCAGTAGAAGACATTACGCAACGCTCAACATAGATAATTGTACTAGCACATGTAATAAGTAAACAAACAAAGTCTTTTGAAAATGACTGATGCCCTTCCTTCTAATACCCAAATATTCAGCAATTATGTATTATTAGCTAAAATGACACTATAATTATTTTAGATTCAAAAAATATTAAATTCATTCTATGTGCGCTATATTTGATGTTTATAAACAACTAGCTTCCCGCCAGCGGCTTCGCCCAGGTGGTTCCTACGTACTGTTTTTAAATGACAAATAATATACAACGTTTTAATTCCCTATACAAACTTCCAGTCCCATTTTCGTCCCTTGATTTGCTGTTTTTCGGGATAAAATATAGCCTATTTTCACCACATATTATGTAGCTTCCCGTAGGTGAAAGATTTTCAAAATTAGGCCAATAGTTTCCGGAGCCTATTCGTGGCAAACAAACAATCAAATCTTGTCTCTTTAAAAAAGTTTCAACATTCTTTTTTTTTTAAGTTGTCTGTTCGGCATGTCAATTAATATGCAGGGGATTTTGATCACAGTTAGAATTGAAATGTTGATATGATTATATCCGAAACCAAAGGTAGATAGTAATTAAATGAAATTTTATATTACTAGGTGACAGTGAAGAGACCACGGAGGAACGTTCAGGCGGTGATTCGTCGAAGTCTAATTCGGCAACGTCGGAACATAGTGCGGCCGGCGCATCCAGTCAGAGCTCCTCATCTGGTAGCCTTCGACGGCGCCCACACCTACAAATGACACCTGTGAGTATTATTTAGTACTATGTTTTTCGTTGTAAGGGGAATGTTTTATACCGCTTGACAAACGGCAGGGGGTATGTGGGACTTTTCATCCACATAGACCCGCCCGAAAGCTCAAATCGCAGGTTATTTATTATAAATACAATTTATATGAGTACAAACTAAAAATCACGAAGGTTTCTCCGGAATGCACTTTCTGCGTACAATCGCGTTGAACATAAACATTATAAAAAATCCACTTTGAGTGATATAGTTTTAAATAAGGTTAAAACTATATTACTTAAAGTGGATACAGAGCACAATATGATAAAAGTACATGTACATAGCAGTCCCGAGATTTACAAATATTAGAGAGTTTTAACTACCAATAAAACATACCTATTATTTTTCCTAAAGATATCCGGAAACCATCTTGAGTCAAGCATTATCCTTTTTGTGACGTTTCCGGTCCAAAACACTACCTCCCCTCTTACTTCCGGCGCCTGTGCTGCCATATAGTTTTAGCGGGTAGCGAACCAATGACTTTTAGGCACGAACGCTTACCGTCATGATACTCTTATCTAGATGCACCAGGTAGAACTTACCTGGATTCCGGATATCTTTAGGAAAAATAATAGGTTAGTTTTATTGGTAGTTAAAACTCTCTATTATTTGTTCCGGTCGCTATCCGGAATCCATCTTAGAGATGTGTTTGTTATCTCCTGGTGAGTGCCATTGGTGACGCTATAATGGGTTGCAGGTATAAAAAGTCAAATGTAGTCTGATGAGATAAAATAATGCAAATTATAAGTATATTATGCTATTACATACATAGTACACATATATTATGCTGTTACATAACAAAGCAATTATAATAATTATTCCAGTATTATGGTCAGCTAAGCTAAATAAATATTGGCTTATCTGTTATCGGCCAATATCATAAATGAATTGAATGGAATAATAAAAATGTAAATTTATCAATTTTTGATAAGACTTCCTAAAAGTATATTCTTGGCGCTAGTTTACCATTCCAGTAGCTTATGAATCGGATACAGTTCCAGTCAATTTAGAGATGGAACTGCAGATGTAATAGACCCTGAAGAATCTTCTACATTATGTGCTTCTATATAGCATTTCTAAGAACAGAGTCCTCTAATAGTTTACTCGTGAAAATTACATCTTTTTGGGGCTCTTTCATTACAAAAATCGATCGCGTGTCCAATACATGCAATCTAATGATTTGTGTCAGTTAATAATTTCTACACAGGCTGTCATAATTACTATTATCTGTTTTTAATACAAAATGATACAAATGACAAAAATAATTTTCGTTCTAATACTTCAAAGGTTAAAAGGGTCAAATAACGGATTCTGAGACCTTGAAGGTTGTGAAATTATGCCAAATTTCCAGCAACTTGAAAAGGGTCTCAATTCTGCCAATTTCTACGTAACATTTCCATTGTACTATATACCTGAAGTCTAATATCATTAGTGCAATGTCTTCCTAACGTTTCAATATTGACAGATATATTAATTATTTTATTTTATGATCTAGTAACAAGAATGTGTCATAAAGGCTTGTAGTCGAAGCGCTCTTGACCCTCCACCATTACGCCGACATTAGCAGAATTTCCCTACCGGGCATTTGTTATTTGGAGAATTAATAAAACGCTTTACACTAACTTGATAGCTTCAAGATTTTCTTACACTTAATTTTTATTTTATTCTGCCCGACATTTAAATAATTTTTTTGAATTTCGGGAGATGAATATGCGATGCCATACCTATTGCAGTGTTCGCGGAAACAAATCGCCAGCCAAGCCACTTTGTCCTATTTTGTAACAATAATAATGTATTTACTTGCTTTGACGCTTACTGGAGTCGAGAAAGTATTTGCGGAATTATGTTTGAATGAGGCCAGCTTGTATTTCTACTGATGACGTCATGGGTTATGACCTATTCGCTTGCTCGTCCGTCACATCCATTGTCATGTACCTGGGAATGACGTGAGCTTTTGTCGATGGAATAAGTTCACATCTGGTGCACATTGGGCTGCTAGATTTAGTATTCAGGCTATGTATTATTTCTGAATCTGCCTTGTTTGTGTCATAATTACAATAATTTCCTAGATTTGGTCACTCCATCTTTATTTATGTACGGGAATCAGTACAGTTCTCTTAGCATTTATATCTAGGCATTCGACGAAATGAAGATTCGGAAAAATTAAAATCATAATTTTCTTTTTTTTTATTACTTGTGAAATAAAAACCTATGTTACTGGCGTGAACTGTTGTAAAGAAAAGGAAATAATATTGTAATTGAATTTTCTGATATAGATGTTATTAACAAAAAAACTACGTTTATTGGTCTTATGAGGAGCCATCCATTAATTACATCACACGTCGGGGGGGATGGACGGGACAGAACGAAATAGAATGGTGGTTCTTCGAAAATGTATAATAAAAAAATAAAATTTTTCACTCTTTGAATCACACTCATCACTTCGTTTATATTAAAGCGAAACTACATTATCGGGCCATCTGGAATGTGTATAATAACATGGAGATCTTCAATCACTCAAAAATCTTTTCTAATGCAAATAATGTTGTAGAAACATTGCCACAAATACTTTTTAATTTTTGCGATTATTTTAATCACAGCTCAATGCCAACCATCATAGTCAACACCAACAACAGCAACAATATCAGCATCATAATCATCAACACTCCACGCACCCTGCAAGGTAAGTTTTAATGTTTTTTCTATTATAAAATCTCTGTAAGTTACAATATTACTTGTATATAACTCACAAAATACATTCAAGTAGTAGATTGTATAGTTATTGCATAAATTTGTAGAATTAGTAGGAATGTAGTAGTTTGAAGCATGTTATATTTATGACTAAATAGAATGTAAAAATACATGGTTGTTCATAAAGTAGAAAGGTGTTATGTGCAGACTAACTGTCATAATTATATTATATTTCTATTTATTTCATCACAAAGCATCAAAAACAGAATACTTATCACTAATGCATGAATTGATATTCCATTATGTATAGTTTTATCAAACATTAGCTTTTGTGCGTGGCTATGATTGCGTGGTGCCTAAAAAAAATAGCCTGGTCTATCATGATTCATCAGCTTGCATTTCAACCAGTAGAATTTTCCAATACTGGTAGTTATGGAAAGAACGTTTTGCGTACCTAGATACAAACTCAAAAAAATGTACATTCTTTACATATCAATATCATTAAAGTAATGTGTTCAGTATTTAAAACTACGCTTTTAAGTAGTATTGACGTTCCCGCGCAAATGTAAAGTTTTTTTAAAGGTATGAAAGACATAAGCCAATCATAGCGTTTTCTGTTTGTACGCAAACCGTGTTCGTGTGTCGTTAGTTGATGCGTATCATGTCAGATGTTTGTGGTATCGTGACACGAGTCGATAGTCGCGAATTGCACGAGTTTCAATCTTATCGTAACGCAATAAAGTCTATATTTCAACGGTGTTGGTATTTAGAGACAATCAGCTTTAATTTGCTCTTTTCGGCGCAAACGAATTTTACCAATGCTTCATATAAAAATGGTGGCCACATGTATAGGTATTTATGTGTATCTTTGCACCTGTAAATAGTTTTCAAAAGATATGCGCCATGCACTATCCACATCAGATATACATATGGGCATTTTTATTTACCATATCAATCGCACCATTGTAGTTAGTCGCTTTTGTATGCACATCCAGCACCTGCTACCTTATATTTCAGAGGTCGCAAGCGCTGGCTTAACTCATGTTGCTGTTTCGTACGCAGAGAGAGCGAGAGCCCTCTGCCGCCCGCTCACGACGACTACGTGAATCGTGACGCGTTACGTGACTACGCGAACAGGGACTCGCTGTGTGATGACTACGGTGATGACTACGCGAATAGGGAGGCGATACGGGAGGCGCAACGCGAGAGGGAGAGGGAGAGACAGGCGAACGAATACAGGGAGTACGTGAACGCACCGTCCGCTTGGCAACAAGACGGCGGCGATGACAACAGGAATACCCAGCGGCGGCAGACTGCAAGGAGTGAGTGTATTAGTGGTCTATTAATTTCTTCACTGCAGGTGAACGGGCCTTCATCATCATCATCATCATCATCACCACCATCACCAGCCCTTTTACGTCCCCACTGCAGGGGCTCAGGCCTTCCTTATGGATGGTAAAGGAGGATGGGCCATGACCCTCCACGCTGGCCCAATGCGGATTGGAGGGTATTAACGACTGCAAATGCAGCCGGGACCAACGGCTTAACGTGCCTTCCGAAGCACGGAGTAGCGCGAGATAATAATTTTTCGTTCACCCATCCTGTGACCGACCCTTGCGAAAGTTGCTTAACGACAACGATCGTGGGCCGCGGCGCTTATCCACTACGTCACCGAGCTACGAACGGGCCTTCACTATGGACGTTTTCACCAGTTGACGATAACGACACATGATACACATATATCGATAGCTTCTAACCAGCCCGACGATATCAAATGGAGAGAATAGGTCGTAACTCACCGCATGGGTCTAATGATGCTATGTGGGTGTTGGCAACTGTAAAAAACTAGGACCAACGGCCTAATGTGCCTTTCGAAGCACGGAAGAGATCGAGAGACAAAAATTTTGCTTACGCTAACCGCTGCTATTTTTATTTACACAGGTCTAAGTAACAACGTGTCCGCCGCGATGTCGCTAGTATCCGAACACGGGGCTAATAACTTCGCCACCATCAGGACAACGAGCATCGTCACCAAACAGCAGAAGGAACACAACCAGGTGTGTTGAAAGAGTTCAGGCCTCAAAGAACACGATACTTACTTTGAAATTAGACACTGCCTACTTCGATCAACAAAAACTAAACCAAACTCGCAAACTAAAACAATACTCAAATACGGTACCATCTGTTAAAATATGAAGTAGTGAAATAGACTCAAGTAACAAGAATAATATAAATCTAACATAATATGCCTTAAATTCAAATCTTAAGACTTTTTTGTGTCAATATCTCACCAGTTCGTTGGAAAATCACATCTGTATCAACTGTCTTTTATGAACACAAACTATTATCCAGGTACAGATGACGCCAAACAACTTGAACAAAAAGTGTGGTGGTGGGGGAAAGTTTGCGCATGTACACTTACGAGCAAAAAAACCTATGCATTAGAATTTCTTATTCCTACGTTAACTATTTATTTCTGTATTTTTTCTGTCCTATTTGCATGAGTGACTGAGTGGTAAACGTGCACACGAATGATACACGTGAAGTAAGTAGCTGCGTGTATAGTAGTAGTGAGAAATTACGAGCCTCCGATGTCTGTTTCATTGTTTCAAAATCGGATGTTTCTTCTTTCTTTAAAAAGCAATACACATCGTATACCATCTTTCTGGCTTGCCTTTTTAAAACTGTGTTTGATTGTCGACGAGACATATTTTGAGGTCGTGATGTTATTGCCGATGTAGCGATGAGACGTGAACACAAAGCGGGAAGCGATGGTTGACTGATCCACCAATAGCGTGGATTGGCGCGGTCGATGCGATCCTACTTCCGCACGCCGCGCCCCGCACCGCATACCGCGACGCCTAAAATCGGTTTCTGCGCATGCAAGGTCATTTGTTCAAGTTGTTTGGCGTCATCTGTAATAAAGTTTAAAATTACTTGTACAAAATAACACTTACATCATTTTCAATTTGTTTAAACACTGCGACAACCAAGGCACATAATACCACACAGTATAGTGATAATACTCTAGGCGACAACTGAGCTCCGGAACTGGGTCAGTATGGAATCACATTCTCAATTTTATTTTTCTTGGTAAAATATATATGTTGGTTATAGGGGACCGAACAGCAATTTTTTTTTTTTTTTTTTATATACTTTTTATTGCGATCTATCACTTAACGGACATTTAGCAATAGTTTAATATCGTTTCATTTACAATTCTTCATGTGGTATCAAGTCCAGTGACTTGGCCACTTCAATAGTGTACACAGATTTGTGAAAGTTATTTATGTGCACAAGTCCAGTGGAGACTTCCGTTTCAATCTGGAAAACACAATTCTTGGCCTAGAGAGCTCTGTTGCAAGTTCATTTTTATGATTTTGTAAGCGGTTTCTATATTTGGGCATTCTATCTCTAATTTCTTGCTTTACAGTTGAGATGTTTAAGTCTTTGTGTAGTCGCTCATTAGTTATGTACCAAGGTGCATCTACTATAGTTCGCAGAACCTTCGATTGAAATCTCTGTAGTATTTCTAAATTTGAGTTCGCAGATGTACCCCATAGTTGGATTCCGTATGTCCAAGTTGGCTTTATGATGCATTTATAAATAAGTAATTTATTTTCCAGTGATAGCTTTGATGTTCTGCATATCATGCAATAATATTTACGAAACTGTATGCTGAGTGCCTTGCGCTTTGCAAAAATGTGCTTCCTCCAAGTGAGTCTTCGATCCAGATGCAATCCAAGGTACCTAGCCTCTTGAGCTGGAGGTATAATGATACCGTTTAGAGTAACGGGTGGACAAGTACCTTTTCGAAGTGTATAAGTAACATGAACAGACTTTGCTTCATTCACCTTAATGCGCCATTTTTTTAGCCAAGATGAGACTCTATCAAGGCTTGTCTGGAGTAATCTAGAGGCTATATTGGCATCGTTGCTCACAGCAAGAAGTGCGGTATCGTCAGCGTATGTTCCTACTTTTACCCCGTTAGTGGTTGGTAAATCTGCAGTGAATAGAAGGTAAAGTGTTGGGCCTAGGACACTGCCCTGAGGAACTCCAGCATGCATTTCCTGGAGGCCAGAAATATCCTCGCCACATCTAACAAAGAACCGACGTTCATCCAAGTAAGACTTCAATAACAGAAAATAGTTTACAGGCAGCGTCTCCCGTATCTTGAAAAGAAGGCCGTCATGCCAGACCCGATCAAACGCTTGCGATATGTCCAAGAATGCTGCAGAACAGTATTCCTTTTTTTCGAAACAATCGTGTATATCACTAACGAGTCTGTGAATTTGCTCGATTGTACCGTGTCCATGTCTAAAACCGAACTGGTGATTTGGGATCAGCATGCCCTCCTTTATGATTGGGTTTAATCTACCCAAAAACAGGACCTCCAACAGTTTTGATGCAATTGGCAGAAGGCTTATGGGGCGATACGATTTTGGGTCTTCTGCACTTTTCCCTGGTTTTAGAATCATGATTATCTGGGCTACTTTCCATTGGGGCGGGAGATAACTTTTCCAGAGAATCGCATTGTAGATCTGTGTCAGTATTTTTATACCTTCTTCGGGAAGTTCCCTTAGAATTTTCGCCGTTATCAGGTCATAACCGGGAGCCTTATTTTGGTCCAGTTTCAATATCGCATTCCGTACTTCAGTTTTGGTGAATTTAGCTATGGGTGGGTCAAGCTGATAAGTAGCACTTAGAGCTGCGGAAACACAATTTAATACATCCGTGGGCACATCGCAGGGGTTGGGCTTAAAAACTTCTTTCAGGTGAGCAGCAAACGTATTTGCTTTCTCAAGATCATTTCTAGCCCATGAATTGTCCGGATTTCTAATCGGCGGTCGATAAATTTTAGGTTGCTTTAGTTTTTTTGTAGCCTTCCACAGAGAATAATCACTAGCAGCTGTAGCATCTAAGTTTATCAAATGATTTGCAACGTTTTCATTTTTTTCTTCAAGTAGCAACTTCTTTACTTTAGATATGAGGTGGTTTAGTTTTTTCTTATCTTCAGGGTGCCTAGTCCGCTGCCACTTCTTCCTGGCAGAACGTTTTTCAGAGATAATATCTCTAATAGTCTGTGTACAAGGGTTTGTTCCAGATTCCTTTTGAGCAGGTGTAGCCTCCCATGCTGATGTTTGGATGCAGTGATTGAAATGCTCAACTGCCAGCATTATATCATCGTCAGTTTTCAGTGGCAAGTTTATGTTGATTTTTGAAGACACAAGGCTTCGATAGAGAATCCAATTTGTCTTGTGACTATGCAGTCTGCATTGGCCAAGAGTCTTAGTCACTTCTGTTTTCAGGATAACAATAATTGGAGTGTGATCTGATGATAGTTCCAGACTCGATTTTGCAGTAATGTATTTGTTAGAAATGCCCTTCGTCACACAAAAATCCACAAGGTCAGGAAGACGCTTTCTGTCTGTGGGCCAATACGTAGGTTCCCCCGACGTTATAATATTCAATTTAAGTTTCTGACTGGTTGTCAGTAGCTGGCGTCCCTTTGGCGTAGTAACTCGCGATCCCCAATCGGTATGTTTAGCATTATAGTCGCCTCCTGCTATAAATCTATTTCCCAGTGATGTGAAATAATCAATATAATCATTCTCCTTCAAATTATGTTTTGGTGGACAATACAGTGCCGATATTGTCAGAGAGCCAGTGGCGTCCTCGACAATGATATTTGTAGCTTGGATCATATCCGTACAATATGGTTTGACTACATGATGTTTTATATTGGATTTTATGAGAATTCCTGATCCAGCATGAGCAGTACCATCAGGATGTTCTGTACTATAGAATTTATATTTGGGAATTGAAAAATGGTTTTTATTTGTGAATCTCGTTTCAGATATCATAAGAACATCGACATTGTTTGCAAGCAGAAATGTTTTAACTTCTAGAGTGTGTTGTAGCAGCCCATTGGCATTCCATATAAACATTTTTAAATTTGTGAATGTGGAAGCCTGCTCGTTAGAGTTATGAGTAGGTTATTCATAGTTGTTAGTTGAGACATCATTTGTTTTAACATATTCGCTATAATTTCATAAAAATTTTGGTTTTGTTCTTTATTTGATTCATCAAGAGTTTTGTTTCTGGTGCTTGAGTCCTGATTTTGCTTAGCTGCGATTTGTGCATAAGAAATTTTTGAACTTTCTGTGTCTACTAGGCCAGTGGAAGTCTTTGAGATTCTCTGATCCTGTGGCTGTATATTCAATGTTCGTGCTCGTAAAGGTGAAAATTTGTTTTTTTGTAGTTCTCTATAGACATTGCAGCCCTTATAATTGGCTGGGTGATTACCATCGCACAAAACACATCTGACATCAGACAGCCTTCCTTTTTTTTCGCAATTGGAGGAGTGGTGGTCTCCAGCACATTTTATGCATTTTGGTTTTCTACGACAGTATTTCTTTGTATGACCGTATTGCTGACAGTTCGCACACTGTGGTATTTCACGCTTAGGTCGCAATGGTTCGAAATATATATTGCAACTAAGCAGTTTTTTTAAGTCATATATTGATTTATTGTTTGACTGCATCTTTAGTTCTACAATAAACATTGGCAGAGGTTTCTTTGTGATTCTTTGTTTGATGTTCCATATATTAGTAACGATATGGCCTAGCTCATTGAGTGCGTATTTGATATCATCTGGTTCCATGGATGAATGCATATTTTTAAGAACAACCTTGAAACTTCTTTCACTTTTGGGTTTATAAGTGAAAAATTCAGTATCTTTCTCCTCTAATAGTTTTACTATCCTAGGGTAAGTCTCAGATGTGTGGGGTTGAATTTTGACTCTATCATTTTGTATTACTTTAATGGTAAAATTGTCTTTTGCATATGTGTCTAACAGAGATATTAGTGGCTGAATGTTGCCAACTTTGTCAACAAAGATGGGAGGAGGTCTTGGCTCCTTACGGTTACTCTGTACTGTTGTATCTTGGTCAATATCCAGGTTTGAGAATCGGTTTGATGTATTTATTGGCTGGCCAAGCCAATATGTGTTAAGTTTTGATTGTTTACATCTATTTGTTGTTTCCGGGCTCGATATAGGTCGTTTTTTACTGGTTACTTGAGTCCAGTTGTTTTCTTGGGGAGTATCTTCGAGGTTATCTTCTTCCGATGATAAGTCTATTGTAGTTTTGTTTGTAGGTACGCCACTCAGAGAACTTGATCGTTGTCTGTTAGTGAATAAGCTCTTATGAAATATTTGTTGAGTATAAACTTTAGTCGGTTCAAGTCTTTTAGTAGTCATTGTTTTCGAAGTGTTACAGCGAAAATCGCCCCCCCCAGAATCCGAGGGGCGGCCTGAGCACTGTCCTGCCTCAGGGGCAGGGCAGTGCTCAGGGAGGGATTCTCCGCGTCTCACGGTACCCTCCTGGGGTAGTTTTGTTTTAAGTTCCGCCATTTCATAAATAATAACTGATCCACAGCTTCGTCTTTGTGTTGGGTGAGATCCCTTAGGCCGCATCTTTCCAGACTTGAGGCACGACCATGCCTAATAGTTTTTGATTTTTTAAAGAGGTTTTCTTCCTCATAGCCCCCCACCCTCAGGTGACGGCCCCCGGCCCCGCACCATGTACGGGATTACGGGCGTGGCCGACGGTGACCGAAGTCGTGGCGGAGCCGCGCAGGCACGATCACCGACCCGCCGCCCACTCTGGTTCGACCCCCATGCGGATCCTTCTTCGCAAAGCACTATAACCGCAATCTTCATAGGGGATTTAGTTCCTATTGGCTTGCGGTAGCCATGAGTAGACAGGTTATTTAACCGCCGCCTGTGGCTCGGCGTTGTTGCTTGTTTAGCACCACCCAGGGGACACGTGTAGGGTGTTTCTAGGACTAGATGGAGAATCCTACGGACGCAAGCAACATCATCCCCCTATTAGACAGCAATTAGATAAAAAAAATTATTGTGTGTGGTTAAAAAGCTCATAAATTTTAAACATTATTCGCTGAATATTTTTGTAAATACTAATTATTTCTATTTAAGTAACAAAAATATAATTTTCAAATATTTGTAGACTGTGTCTCACGTCAAAAGAAACACCAATGAGAGTGCTTGTTTAAGATTCGTTTTTGTGTAATTTGATAGAAAAATTATCTAGAATTACTTTTAAGCTTTTAAGCATGTTACAAAAGTTAGTCTTCTGTATTATTTATTTATGACTAACTATGCGTACTGAATACTATAATTTATTTATTTTTCACTGAATATTCATTTGAAATCAATGACGTCACATCCTCAGAGTCGCCGTTTATGCGGTTTATTTAAATTTTGTTAAAACTTTATTTTTGTTTAAATTTAGAAACAAACCTCAGTTATTTTATTAAAAATACTTATGATTATTAATTATAGACCAACCGTGAATATGATATTCCAATAGATAAATTTTACTGCAATAGTTATTTTTCAGTTTTAATATGTACTGTAGCATCGTAACACGTATGAACGTTGGCGCTAACTCATTCAAGATAAAACTTCACTTTGAAGTGAGGCGTTATTTCTTGGGCATCGGGCATTTTTCAGACTCATCGGGCATCTTGTTGTATTGTCTGTCTAAAAAAAGCTATAAAAATATTATTTATGGATTTATTTCGTACTTGAAACGAGAAAAACAATTTAAGTGTTAATTTAACGTACTTATAAAAATAACCTAGTTTTTTCGCTTGTTGAAAGTTATAAATTAGATACAGAAGAGTGTCCATTCTTCTAGGAGATGCACGAACAAATGTCCGGATACAAGCGTATGAGACGAGAGCACCAAGCTGCGTTACTTAAGCTGGAGGAGCGCTGTAAGGCTGACGTGGACGCGCACAAGGCGCAGCTAGACCGCGAGTACGACGCGCTGCTGCAGCAGCTGTCTCGCGAGCTGGAGCGGCTACAGGTACCACGCTGCCATCTGTATTATAGTGCTGCAGCCGCTGCAAGGCTGACGTAGATAACAAGGCGCAACTGACTGCAACTATGTAGAATTACGTCTCATATAAACATTAATCATTGTTGTATAAACATTAATCACAAATTTGTAAAATATCACAATTTCATCATCATCATTATCATCTCGGCCCTTGAATTATTCGTCTTTGGATATTGATTGGATATTGAGATCTGTACATCCATCACGGTTTCTTCCTACTTTCATCCAATTGGGAACGGCTATCCGTGTTATATCGTCTACCTATCTCATGTTGGGTGCCTTCTCTTGGTCACCTTGCCTGATTCTTTTTGCTACGTGTCCTGCCCATCTCCTCTTCTGTTGAAATATGATGGTGACAACATCTCCAATACTGGTTTTTCCACGGATTCAATTGTGGTCCAACGGTCGAACGTTCAAAAATGATCACAGATCACAGCATGTTCAATAGTATAATATTATTATATGGTATATAGTATAGTATAATTTATAATATTCATACACGTGTACATTTATTTCCAGACCAAGCACGCCCAAGAGCTGGATCGCAAACAGAAACAGAACGCGGCGGCCGAAAAGAAGCTCATCAAAGATATTACCGCGAGGCAGGAACAAGAGCGGAAGGCGTTCGAGACGCAACGCAAGCGCGAATACAAGGCTAATAAGGAGAGGTGGAAAAAGGAGCTCAGTATGGACGACGCAACGCCTAAACGACAGAGAGATGCTACTCTGCAGTAAGTACATTAAGTATACCTACAGCGTATCATTTATGAAATATGACGATAATCTTCTTCAGTCTTGCTTTTGACTAGGTTGACTAATAGACTTACAATAAATAATTGTCAAATTATGTAATATTTAGTCAATTTTCTTTAATCTTCGTGGCTGGGAACTCGTAATATTTCTTGTACGACGTGGCACTCGATATAAAAACTAAACAGCATACGTTGAAATATTTTGCAGTCCTATCTGTGTCCATCAAGGATCCCATCTGAGACCGATTTTCTTATCTTGTAATACGTGTACATCTGTGGCCTCGTCTTGTTATTGAAATCTCGTATGTCGCGAAGTACAACGTAGTACTAAGCAATGACAGCAACCGCTCTTCAGTGTCATGATTATAGTTAGTGCCTTTATTGTTTTTTTTTTTTTTCTATGTATTGTCACTGAATAAATTATTTACATGGTGCAGTGGTTCGCAAATAGAGTTCCTATCAATTTGGATGTAGAACTAAAACTTTTCTATTATTGTCTCAGCGTGATTATCTTTGTTGTTAGATTTCCATGCCAAAACAGCTCTAACTACTCATTGATATAATAAAGAATGTATGTGTTGTTTAACAGTTACAATATCCCTTTGTATTAGGTCACAAAAGGATAATATGAAGCAAGCGGAGGCGGCGGAGGAGGCGCGACTGGTTCGTTCGCAGCGCGAGTACCTAGAGCTGGAACTGCGACGGTTCCGTCGCCGCCGCATGCTCGCGCTACATCACAAGGAGCAGGAGCTGCTGCGAGAGGTACTCGCTACACTGTACTAGACTAGTCCGCTCCAGCGCGGCCACCTGGAGCTGTGCTGTATCTAAAATGACTTTCGAAAGTATTAGGTTTGGAAAAGTTGCTCATCTCTCGTTGATGATGTGCCTTACATGAAGAGCGAAGCCGATAAAACGGTACTAATCGTTAAACAATAGAGTAGTTTCGGTAGTGAAAAATAAGTCACGAAATTGCACAAAAAATTATCTTGTTTAAAAATTAAAAGTCGTGATTTGTTTATTGTCTGTGTGTCATGTGACTTGAAACACGACCCTCCTTTGTGTGACATCACTGTGGTGACAGCTGTCAGATTGGTCGTAAAGATATGCATATTAATTATAAATCAAATTCCTAGATGGCGCTGTTCTTAGCTTATTTATGTCTTTTATTTCTTTATCGATCGTTATATAATAATAATTGTTTATTGTCATCTTTGAATCTTCTACTCTATACATTTGTTTTGTTTACATATCAGAATGACTTTATGAATATGACGAACAGCTTTTTCGCGGGTATAAAAAAAAGTTAAAATTTTGATTTAATTTTAAGGCAAGAAAACGTGTTTCTTTTTCCAAAATATTAGATTTATGTTTTTTTTAATTCAAATGATCAATTAAAAGTGTTATTTTAAACAGAGTAGAATACCCTATTAACATCAAAATTAATAAGTAATCTGTAGTCATTCGGTGTACATTTATCACCTCTATACATACAGTACGTATACAAAATCATTGTTCGAAAGTGTAATACTTCGTCAATTGTCAAAAATATATCTCTTATAGGAGTTGAATAAGCGGCAACAACAGCTGGAACAGGCTCACGCGATGCTACTACGTCACCACGAAAAAACGCAGGAGCTCGAGTACCGACAACAAAAAGGTGTCCACGCGCTTAGGTAAATCAATAGCTTTTCTCTGATTTTTGTGTACAATTTATTTGATGATGACAAAATAATTTATTTGTGAGAGAACAAACATGAATATACTTTTGTTTTAGGGAAGAGCAATTGGCCAATCAGCACGCGACTGAACTAGCCAATCAGCGAGAGTACATGCAGCGTGCTGAACATGAATTACGCAAAAAACACGCACTGCAACTCAAACAACAACCAAAAAGTCTTAAGGTAATTATAGTACCTAATTAGCTATGTTATACAGTTGGATCATTGTAAAAAAGCCACATTTGACATCTATCTATCTGTACTTCTGATAGTGATGTCGCGAAGTATATTATTAATCGTACGCATTGTCCAAAATTTGTTTTTCCCCTACCTCTTGGGCACTACGTCTTTTGGCTGACAAGAAGAACAAGCGAAAGAAACTTACCAGAATCATGTCATCACCAAAATAATATGTACTATCACAATAATAAACACAACTTTCAAAGTATGTAGGTCATAGTTTGTACATAAAATTAGTTGTTATAGAACAAAGCGAAGACTATTTATTCCATGCATTGTGGTCCTTAAAATAATCATCAACTTTATGATAAACTTTACCCATAAGTATGTTCTTTATATAAATTTTAAACTTATTTATGGGTAGGTCAATAACATTTTGTGGAACTTAATTGAACATAGCAATGCATTTACCCAGAAATGACCAACTGCTGCATATGACTAACTGCCGCATGATTCCATCAATCACAAAGTGATTTACTTGTTTATCAGTTTTGCCTATAAAAATAATTACAATAAGAAATGGAGTAAATTGAAAATTTTAGGGGTAATTTGTTATTTGGTTCTGTAGGGAAAATTTTAGAAATTCAAGTTTTGTATGTGATATATGTCTTACAAATTTGATTTATTTTATAATTTTCAATACGAAACCAATCGAAAATTAGTGGCCTTTAGTGTATGCGTCAAGTCAGTTGTTTATGAATTTACTCAAGATTTCAATGGTGCTTGCACATAACCACTGGTGTTTAGAAATGCAAAAAAAAAAATTGTATGTCGCATCATCTTTACGAAGATCGTTTATTTTGATTGCTAGCTACTCGATTACTTAATTACTCGATTGTATAGAGAGCGTGATCATCGATACTTTTAATTTTATTAGAATGGTGACACTGACTTTGACAGTTCATTAACAAAAAGCAAGTTGCCGCCATTTTTGCCACACACACATTCTGTTTCGGATCGTCGAGGAGTAAAGACATCCGACGACATCACGCTCATCTCGTTACATTTTCGTATGAAAATGATACACGTCTGCAGTGTTATTTTAAAGATAGTCCTCCGATATAGACGATCTATTTGGGCTTCGTAATAGCTCCTTCTGACTACCCGCAGACATATATGTTTACTGGATTAAAAGTACTACTTTGAAGTTGAGACTGAGACAGTCAAATGTGGCCTATTATAATGACCCAACTGTAGTTGTGTTAAAGTACTACTTTGAAGTTGAGACTGAGAGAGTCAAATGTGGCCTATTATAATGACCCAATTATAGTTTTATTAACGAGTTTTGCCAACTGCCAAGCAAAATACTCGAAAAGTGAGTAATTGTTTTGTTTTGGTGGGTATGTATATACAGCTTATATTTAATGAGAAAATTGCGTTTGTTTTGTCAACAGCAAAAAGAGATGCAGATTCGCAAACAGTTCCGGGAGACGTGCAAAATACAGACGCGACAGTATAAGGCGTTAAAGGCGCAGATTCTACAGATGACCGCCAAGGTAATTAAGACTTGTAACAGTAACTAGTGTTAAATAAAAGTACTTTAAAGTTCACAGTTTATAATAAAGACTACTCTGGAAGTTGTCAAGATTAGGATCTGATAATGAGCCATCTTTATACTTGTTTTGAAGAAATGTGTTGTCAAGTTGTTGTATTGGCGTGCCTTGTTTTGCTACAGGAACAACAAAAGGAAGTAATCAAGACGCTGAAGGATGAGAAGCGACGCAAGTTGGTACTGTTGGGGGAACAGTACGATCAGAGCATCACGGAGATGCTACAGAAGCAAACGGTCCGCCTTGACGAAAGCCAGATGGTAATATCAGTCTACTACATGTACGAATGAACATGACACCTGTGGATCTATAGTCGTATTCTATATCTTAGTCTTCTATACTAAGGTATAGCATATTAAACCAAGTGGGTGCATGGCTTTTAGTACCTAAAAAGAAAGGTGATGATAAATAGGCTAATGATTGTTTGTTACCTATAACATGACTGCCAAAATGAAGACTTTGTTTCAAATGCATGAAAATTTATAGAGTGACAAAATTTCTTTTGTTAAAAATTTAAAGGTACACTTCCGCCACTTCGCTCGCGTAAACAATAACCTATATGACCCGTGTATGATGTATCGGCCTACAAACAAACAAAGTTAGAAACTTCACCTCTATAGTATAATACTATAATATATAAGGATAAAATGGAAACGTTTAACTATTGTTGTAACAGATGGAGTGTCAGCAACTGAAGATGCAGTTGGAGCACGAGCTGGACATGTTGACGGCGTACCAGAGCAAAAGTAAGATGCAAGCGGAGGCGCAACGGAACCGTGAGAGGCGTGAACTGGAGGACAGGGTCGCCGTCAGGAGGGCGTTGCTCGAGCAAAAGGTACTAGAGATTCGATACACTTTTAGTCGGCCATTGCACAACCGATCAGGGCTTACGCTTGAACGCAATCTCAGTATTAATTTTAATCCAATCCAATGATTTCAATTTTCATCAAATATACCATACTCTTGAAACATTTCAATTAGTTCATTCAATTACCATGCTGTATGGAACTAATTGGCGCTAGTGTACCAAATCAAAGCGTACAAAACGTCACAATTGCAATGTCGATCGATCACGATTGCGATCAAAAGGAAACATGCTGGATGGTAAGTTTGACATCAGATTTATTCGTGTACGCAATCTCTAACTCAATTTGAATCTAATTCAATGACAATCTGAATTTAATTGTATTGTGATGTAATTCGTACTCAAATACAATAATTCTTGAGCATTGCAATAGGGAATATGGACTCTTTTTTTTAATATTTTCATATGATTTACATCGTTATATAACTAAAAAAAAATACCCGACACCGAAAAACTAAAATTTAGTAACAATAAAAACTGATGAATCGAGTAACGTTTCAACACTGTAATTTTTGACCCTTTTGTCGTGACGTCAAAGTGCACAACTAGAGATATGACATTTTAAGGCAAGAAAACGTTAATTTTGCCGAATGTTAGTTATAGATTTTTTTAAATTAAAATAATAATAATTATTATTATTTTAATCAGAATAGAATACCCTATTGTAATTCGTTCCCCTATTCAAGAGAACGGCGCAATTGTAAGCTAGAAGATCGAAAGTTTTAGTGATCCATTTCAATCTGACACATAACACGTTCAATCTGATTAAGTTCATGTATTGATTTGACGCCAGCATAATCGTCAAATGGCAGATAATGAGGTGTGACGGCTTCCCTATTCTAAACACAATAGATGACGGTACCGATTCTGTCGGACCATTCCACAGAGAAAAATTAAACTTAAAAAAAATTATTAAGTTCCTTTATATGTTAACAACATATAATACTTAATATACGGGAAACTGTGCTTATTATGCAAATTTTTAACTGACTGTCAAAATCATTATGGAGTGTCAGAGTAATTGTACGGTATCTGTAACAAGTTTGTTACTACATAAGTATACCCACTTTTTTTGTTAAATGCTTAATGAATTTAGATAATTTGACTGCTTAGATGTACTACTATAACTTATAAAAGATAACGTAGTGCCGTGAGTCAAACAAATATAATATTATAAAATTGTTTTCAATGCAATTGCTCATAAAGCGCTATTTTTTTAATCCATTGTAAACACCGAAAATGAGTCTTTAAACACGTGTTAAATAAAAATGTACTGAAATCCTTTACTGCACACGTGCTTAAAAGTATTTTTTTTTATTTTTTTTAGCCGAGCACCAATGAAATTAAAAAAAAATTGACGAAAATATGTCAAACTTTAGAGGCAAAAGTATTTCAAGGAGCCTAGAACGAATATTTTCAAATAAAAATGTATGACACGAAAACATGTTCAAATATCACGTTTAATTTTAACAAATAATTTTTACCTTCGATACATACTTAGTTTTATTAACCTATATATTTGTTTTATTTTCTCGTAAAAAGCATTGAAAAATGTTGTAAGAAACTTGAGCTCAATTTGGCCCTTATTCGTCAAACCTTACTTTCCGCTCTCGTATCTTAAATAACTATTATACAACTTGATGTCCAGATGGAGTCTGAGTGCGCGCAGTTCGTTGCCGATCGCGCGGAACGTACGCGACTGTTGCACGAGAGGCACGAGCGGGAACTTGACCAGTTCGACAACGAGAGTGCGAGACTCGGCTTCAGGTAATTATACATATATATACAGTGTCGGATTAAGCCAGAGCGTGGCCTGTAGTGGATTTTGGCTTTCCAAAAAATTATTGCCATTAATCACGCGATGCTCGAAAGGGGGGCAGAGGGTTCGGAGGCGGGGAAGGGGTCGTAATATATCACGTGTATCGTTGTCCCGGAACTCTCTGACAAATATATGACATGACATTTCACAATTGCACATCGATAAAGTTAAATTACATTTGGCAGGACTCCGTCGCCCCATGTTTTCCTAAAGCTCATTTGCTAGATCGGGGAATCCTCGATGCTATAGGTAAACCAAAAAGGCATACCATGCTACTACAGAGTAGCTCAATTCCTTTGGGGCTATCCATGAATAACTTACTTAAATTTTATTATTTGTAACACCTCCTTCCCATTTAATTTGCGTCATATTTTTTTCAGAACATTTTTATACACTCAGCTGTTTGTTCTTATAACCTCAGTGTCATATTGTCTTACACGACAACGGTGTGATATTATTGTTAAGAGTTACATGACATTACCACATTTACAGCGCGATGGCGATAGCGGAGGGAAGCAGGGAGGGGTACGGTGAAGAGGAGACGTCCCTTTCTGGTTCGATGCTCTCGCTCGCACACAGCAATTCCTCTGCCAGTTTCCCCGCCGGGTCGCTCTAAGCACCCGCCTTTGCCAAAGGTTCATTACTTCTCACACTCTAGCGGAAGAACTATTTGATAGGTAGAAACTCAACTTTAAACCCTTTATGTAGTTGAAGTTGAAATTTATTTATTAGATATTGTTTAGATTTTTGTTACTTACTTTTTTGTAGTTTAGAACGACGTCAAATTAATGTTACAATAACAGGAATGTCTATTAAAAAGTTGTGTTACAATGATAATACTGAAAATACAAATAAAATTGTGAAACTATCGGCTTCAGCAAGAGTTAATAGGTTCAAGATTTTTCAGTCTCACAAACAAAGTTGAGTTTCTATTGTTGGCGAATTGACCTTTTTTCCTGTTAGATTGATATTATTTACAGAAAGATAAGGTTGATATTTTACAAAACAACAGTATGTAACAGGATAGCCGAAAAGTTACACAAGTCTTACTCGAGTGTCCCATTGTTTCACTAAATACTTTAAAATCGATTTTTGTTTCTATTTCAATGTTTATTTGGAATGCTTCTATCGATGTTTCTATATTAGAAGAGACCTAGACTCATGACCAAAGTTTAATTTTGCATGTCTTGCCAAAATATATTGGGGGTTTCCTCATTATAATATATTCAAGCGTCATTTTTCGTAAGCTCAAATCTAATCAAAAGATATCATAACTACTCATATTTTTAACAATAAAATAGTGTCTTTCATTGTGTAACTTTCCGACACCTTATGTAGTATAAATTAGCTCTCTAAATACTTCCTATTATTTAAATATTGTCATATAAACGTTGTTGTAATAAAAAACCTTTGGCAACCTTATGTATTCCACGATATTTGTAAGTACTGAGACTGTGGGCGCCCTCCCACGTTGCGGCTTTAACTTTGCATTAACTATGCGCTTGAAGCCAAATTTTTTACTTTTAATTATTTTTGTTGTCTTCCAAACGTGCGTCAGTATTTATGTATTCAACGACGGTGGTTCGGGAGGGCATTTCCTATACTTATTATTACATTATTAAGTTTATTGCACTCCATAATTATTATTTACCGAACTCGAACGATAGGAGATGGTGATTAGTTTCGATTGTAGAAATTATTTTTTTAAGATTATTTATTTATTTTTATACAACTAGACCGTTTATGTTACCTGAATTATATTGGTTCCCACGTGACGAGACATTCGTCAGTTTATTTTAATGAGTGCAATATTCTAATTGGAGGAGAAATATGTAGTTTGAGATTTTCAATAAAGCCTTCGTCTACAATCTAAGCTGATCATCACTTTTATTTGTAAGTTGACCAGTGTGTTTCTGGTATTATTCTTTATGCCACAGCCACAGATAGATCAGTAATTAGGATACACACACCGCTTATTATTGAATGATACTCCGCTGACCAGTATTTCCATAGGAAATAGTAGATGTTGAATGTCTACTAGCGCGCGCCTGAATGGAGGTTTGGAGCGTGCCAGAGACATACTGTTGTTAAATCGAAATATATTTGTGTAATGTTAAATAAAGAGGTTATCTGCGAGTTTGAGTGCCGATAGTGTATTGAAAATGCTATGATGTGAGATTGAAACGCTTTTTTATTAGTAATTTTTACTCACAAACCGCCTGTTCTGTCGGTTTTATTGATAAGAAAAATAAGGACATACAACTTGTCTAAGTGTCAAATTAACCTCTTTTAACCAACTTTAAACTACTTCTTCTCGATTCGGCAGAATCGTGTCTGATTGTACGATCTCTTAGACATAAGGAATATTGGTTTCTTAATTTAGTATAAATTTTGCAAAACGAAAATCTTAGGCCGTCCATCGAAAATTATAAGATCATCTCCAAAAGCGACAGAATGGGCAACTGTAGAAGGCATATTTAATAAATATATATATATATATATATATATATATATATATATATAATATATATAAAATCTAGTTTTCTTGAACTCTTGTATACTATGTAGTCTATCACATAAGTTTCTATCGCGGTTTTAGCCAAATGTTTTGTCTTGAAGGTAAATACAAAACTTAACTCGCTGTGAATAAGTTTAATGTATAATAAGAACAGAGGTATGTTCGCCTCCAGATGTTTGACTAAACCTATGGAAACAGTCGCCTGAGCCCCGCGCGAGCCCTCGCCTCACGTTGCTTCCGCCAAGAAAAAAATATTATTTATAATATTAGATAGACAAAATTCTTATATTCATATCATTAGGTTTTACTTTAGGACGATTATCGCTTGTAAGTTAAATTTCTTTAACGGACTGATCGTATTTGTTTATTGGCCTATTACGTTTTACCTATTAATGTTGGAATTTATTATATACAATGCAACAATTCTCGATATATTTAACGTTACATTGTTATATCGTAGATGTATGGAATGAAAAAACAAAACAAACGTGCAGGTGCTGAATACTGTGTGACTACTGCCAATACGTTTTTGTAAATATAATAATATGTATTAACTAAATATTTAGCTTGCACACGATTTGCCTTAACCGGTGCGACGCGCGGTGCTCAGTGTTTTGTATATAATGAACAATAAATAATATAATAACTATAATACATAGATTGTTACATTTTGTAAGGTGCAAATTCGATTCGTGTACATTAGAAAAATGCGATACAAAACAATTTGTGCACAGAGGTTTGAATGTGCTATTTTTTTTTTTGTTTTCGTCATTATTTAGTTTCCTATACACTATTGTATTTGAACTAAGCAACCAGTCATGTCTGTAGATGATTATATTATTTAATTTAATGTCAATTTTAGTCATAAAATCCAAATTTAGTTAATTGAGAAAGTAATGTTTTACTTTATTAAGTGTATTATCGTTTCCTAAAAATGATGTATATCACATTGCTTGTAAGCATCACATGTGAACGTGCTGTATTATTTTGAGTCTGTTAGCCATTTATATTATTTAACTTTTTATTTTATTGGACGCCTAAACATATACATATAATTTAAAGTTGTAATAGCAGTCATTTGAATTGAAGTATACCCGTAAGACGTGCACAGTGTCATTTTTTATTTTATATATTTATGGTACATAGATTGAACCTACTTGATGGCACTGTAAATCGAGTTGGTTCATATGAAATAGCTCCTAAATTCTCCTCCTGAACTGACCAAGTAAATGACAATAATCTCTAGACACAGCCTAACGAGTCGTCACCCTGTCACTGTAAATAAATTTTAGGCAAACTTATTTAGACGGAGCGATGATCATAGTTATTCAACTGGAACTAATATGTCGAGATGTTTTTTTTTATCGAATTATGCGATTTACACGGCTCTGCATTAATATTACTATGCGCATCGCTACGTTTCGCAAAATTCTGGATCTGGTACCCAAAGCACTATGGAATTGAATCGTAAGCTGTAATCTCTGCTTACTTGCAATAGAGGGTTGGTACTTAAAAGTGTAGTCGCCGGTTAGTGCCCGCTGCGTGGAGAATCCGAATTTTTTTTTTTTTAATTAGGAACAACCTCTTCGCAGGGCATAGTGCTTAGACGCCTTCCTCTTTCTTATCTCTCCCACCACTTAGACGTCTAGAGTAACGTTATCAGGTTATCACTCCCTTCTTATACCCGCCAGATGATTATTATTATTATTACAATATAGAAGTACCAAACTGTAGCTAGCTCACGTATTATGTAAATTGTAATTAATTTTTTTTTATATATTTTACCATTGTATAGACGTTTATCATTGATAGGTAGTTAGCGACATTGTGAGAGGTGTGACAAGGTGCTGGCGGCCGCCCGTTTATACAGTATGCGATTATTTGCGGCTCGCCCTATGCACCGTTGTTGTTTTCTTTTATTTTTATTTTTTTGTTATATATTTAAATAACACAATGGTAGTTTTAATAATTATTATCATTAATTATTATTATATTGTAATATAATCTTATTAATGAAAAAATCAAACTGAAATAAATAGAAAGGAAAATCTATTTTTTTATTTTTATTTATTTAACAAACCTTGAATGCTGTTTTAGAGGATACGTAAATAATAAATAAAACAACGCTTAAACTGCTTAAAAACCGTAGTTCAACTATATTAAACAACCAATAAAAAAAGAAAACAAAAATATGTTGAACAGCCAACAATACAAAGAGTACATTTGTGAATACAGAAATCCTTATGAATATTCCTTGATCAAATTTAATTTCATAAAACTCTTATAACAATTTCATTATTCTCATAAATGCTATAAAAATTTGGTTACACAATTTTTTTACGATGATCACAATCTTCAGAGTTAAACGGTCTTTATTAAAATTAATTAGAAAATAAAATATGTGCAAAATTAATGATAAAAATCGAACTGTTTAACATTGAAGATGTGTTTACAAATACTAATACCACTATAACATTTGCTATAAAAATTATTAAGAAAAGCTTATAAATAGATACTGCTCGTTTTCATTAAACTTAGGAGTCACCTAAATCTGTCGCCTAAATATTTAAGAATCGCCTAAGGTTATAATGAATTTCACCATTAACTAGGAACAACCAAACGAAATTAAGCAATGTCTAAAGTTATGATATTCGTTAGGCGACGCCTTCCGCTAGGCATTTCCGTATATGACGGGTCATAAATATTTCAAGGGATAAAAGACAAAATCTTTATTTGAAATTAAACTTATCTGCTTTGGTGATTAGTATTATTAGGCGTATCCTAGTTAAGCTATGCCTTTTTCTAGGTTAGTGAAAATGGGTGTTAAAGTAGCAAGGATGTTGACTGTATTCTATTTGAATAAGAATTTAAATGTAAATAAAAGGTACGTAAGAGAATTAATATAAAGAATATTTAAATATTAGTGTTTGTAAATAAAACAATCCAATCACATAAAGGTCACGTGATAACTAACACTGATAAAAGTGCAAGATGTTGTATTGTTGATCGAAGGCAAGATGTCATGTGTCACAATAATTTTTTTTAATGATTTTTTTGACAAAAATTACGATATGTAAACAAACCGGGAGCGAATTTTAAAACCTTATTTCAAAATTAATAATAAATATTTGGGGCTTTATTACTCACATGCACATTTTAAAACATCTATAAAAAATAGTCAACATCCCTATTGTATAAAACTCGTCAACATTAACGCGACGTCTGTCAAGTTAACTCTAAAGCATTTCCGTAAATCGTAATTTATTTCTGACAAGACAAACTGCTAAGAATCAACGAAGAAATTAATCATTTGCGTTTATAATAATAAACAAATATCTTAATAGGCACATTATTACGCGCGTTTTAAGATGCTCATATATAGCTTAACATTTACAGACATACGTATTATGAATTTGACGACAATGCAAATATACGAGGGTGGTTTGAAAAGTTCTCGACCCGACCAAGAAAACGAAGACAATAAAAATAACAATTGTCCACGCACTCTCCCCTTGTCTCAATACAATGGCACTTGACATACGATTAAATAAAGAATCGAGCTGCCGAATGACAATAAATTAGTTTACATACTACCCTCAAATCACGGTCAGACTGAGAACTTTTCAAACCACCCTCGTAAAATATAGCTGATCTGATGAAGGTATTGGAGGGTGACCATGGGAATTTTGTTATTAAATAACGTAACACCGGTAAGTTTGAGCTTTGACTTGTCTATAGAAAATCTCTAGTTCAAGATAACATCAGAAAAAAAACCATTTAAAAAATATAGTCTAACTAATCTTCAAACAATGTTATACAAGGCAGTTGTCAGCTTCAATATACCCACTAGAAGCATATCTGGTTATTATTGCAAAGTTCTTCAGTCAAATTTATTTCTTACTGTGGTAAAAGTTAAGATCACAATCAATGGCGCAGATTGATTACTTTTTTAGTAACTGAATTTGCTCTTTTGTACAGTCAACTGCACGTCAGACTGTACAAAACTGTCAAATACCCCCATCGATTTTAAAACTTAATATATTTAAATGAAACAACTTTTTAACGGTTTCATAACGTTAATATTTAGTTTAAAACCGTTTAAAAGTTGTATAATTTATGTATAGTGAGCGTGAAAATATAATAAACCTTAATATGTTAACGGTAGAGCTGAAAATCTACTACAGAATTTGATATATTGTGGTAACCTGACATGCGATCGTGTGTACAAACTAAATACGGTCAGTAAATATTTCTATGACAAAGTATTGATCTACTCGCTTATATTAGTGTACTGAGGACACGATCAAATACCTACGAATATGTATTTTCCGATTAAAACATAAATTGTTAGTAAAAAATAAATAAAAAAGATAGTTGTTTCCTTATTAATATGGCTTCAATCTCATCAAAAAGTGTAAATACATATTAAAGCAATAGTTTAAACTTAGTGTACTGTTAATTATAAAAAAAAATCTTATCCATAAAATATAAATGTTTAAAAGAACAACATTTCAAGGAATTTTCTGTAGGTATATAAAATTTAAACTAACAAAGCTCGAAGCTCTTTATGGCGCTTTAGAAACTAAAACAAGAATTAAGTCCATATTTACCACTAAGGGATTGTGGACGCTTTTTTATTATATTTGATAATATTTGCATTGACAATGCGACATTATTATTTATCTTACTTATAGAAAAATACAATAATCATTCTATTTATTTGCTTCCAAATGTTAGTTCTTGACTGAATTTTTATTTAGTAAACTGTGTGCGTAAATTTCAGTATAATCTACTTTCCTATTATGTTACAAATACACTGTTACAGTTTTATAGGTATAATCACATAAAAACTTACCTTTTGTATTAGTTTTATTTCATAGAACGTCAAATGCTGCGTCAGCGTTGTTTTATAATTGCATTTTTAACAGAATAGTTATGTAGTTAATAATATTTCTTGAATACCTACAACAAAATATGTATAACGGCGAATGAGCACAATAAAAAAAAGCAAGGTATTTATTTATAAAGAAGTATGAGCGGCAGCGATACCTATTTAAAATGACATATTCGAAATTTAAACTGCTTTGGGGTGCTATATTGGATCGTCATGGATTCATTCGTTCTGGATGTCAATTGACGTTTTAAACTAAACCCTGAAAAAATTGATTTCCGTTCCGACTATAATAAGACTATTGCACTTGTTATGATCACGGATGACATTGGCGTTGGACGTAGGATCGGTAGCTCACAGTTAATGCAATTAGCTTTTAGTAATGCGTTCAATACTGTTCACTTCGACATTTTATTAGCTACGTTCGTTTCTCTCAATGTACCTCTAACGATAATTGTTTAGTTTCTTAGTTGTACCGAAAAAACGGTAGCTCATTTGTGTGGGAGACAGTCTTTGATATTAATGGAGTTTTTACACATCAGGCGGAGTTCCACAGGGTGGCATTTTGTCTCCTCTCCTTTACTATATCTTTATAAACTCTTCTCTCATGCGTATACAGGCAAACGATTTTCTTAATAATTAAGCTCTTATAGTTGGTGATTTGATTGCAATTTGTCTTACGGTCCTCATGTTAGTGAAGTGCAGGAGAATTTACTATAATTATATATCATCAATAAAAATCATATATATCAATGTACCTTCGAGCCATGTTGACATTGCCAAAAGAATGAAACCGTGACGCTCCACCTCCGATGTCTATAAAGTTTTTATGCATACATTGTTATTTGATGATTATTACTGCGTGGGTGAGAACTCGGTGGGTTCGAGTATACGGCAGTGCATCTCCCTGATGAGGGGCACCGTGTACGCGACGCACTCGTCCCAGCCGGGGTTGCGCCAAGTGCTCTCGCGAGTCTCGCGGCGCGCTTGCAGATTCTTGTAACCTGACGATATCATATCAACTTCTGTAATACTATATCTCTTTATATAGCTCTCAATCAGTTCACAATTTTCTTTCTACAGTTAAGTATCGTCAAAATAATAAAATTACAAAGAAGAAACATATTTGTATAATTAAATTAAAATTTCAGACAATTACTATATTGTGGATATATCAACATTTTTTTCTTAAATTAAAGAAATCTGAATATAATAAAGACAAAAGTATAAATAATAAATATTTCAAATAAGAACCCTAAAAATCTATGACTAAAATATAAGAAGTGGATATAATTTAAAAAAGTTGTAACAGTCACATAGTCTTCTTTATTTTCTTGAATCACAATGATTTTCCATATCGGTAATAAAAAAGAATATGGTGATATAATATTCGGCCTCTGGGGGCGTAAGGGTGCAATGTCAAGTTTACGGCCCTGTTGGAAAAAATTGTGAATCGGGCCGGACTTGCGTGAAACTGAATAATTATATAGAACACTTACACCAAATATGATGCACGTTGTAAAGGCGCCCAATCTGCGAGAAATATCCGGCGAACGCTTCGTTCTGCGCACGACGATACGTGAGACCGCGCGCCCAATTATTACCCCACTCGATCATCGTTCCTGGCTTGAGACTGTCATATAATGAAAAAAAAAAAATACAGCTGTATCACTGTGAGAAAATAGATATACACCAAGTACATCCCAAATAAGAATATGATCTTATTGCACAGCTTAACAGTCACTTTAGTACTAGCAGCAAAAATAAATTACATATGTTTCATCAATTTTGCATTCATAATGCTATACTGATAAATAACATTAATATAATAATCTTTAAAAATGCTTAAAAAATTAACAACCTGAGATAGGACTCGAACTCACAACCTTTTGAAATTCTGCAAGTACTCTAACCATTGAGATACCCGAGACCCAACAGGACTGACGAGTTTTTCAAGCACTTGTTACTTTTCGCTAATATTCAGGCCTATTAACGTGAGACATACACAGACAGTGCTTAATTTGAATCTGAATGGATTAAGTCACTATGCTGTCCGTTGTTAAATTATATCTGTAGGTGTTTGTGAAAGCAAGTGTTTGGTGGGCTAAATGACTGTAAATATAAACAAAATTTCAACTGTAGATTTTCTCTGTGAAAAATAATGTACAATCAACAGCATATCAGGTTATACCACCAATCTGTTAATTTCACAATTCACATTCTCCACTTGATTTAAACGTAAATATGCATCGTGCAGACGTGTGTACAGGCAGCCTTACAGTAAGTATGTTTAAGTTCAAAAATACCTGTACGATCTTATCTCATATATATTATTGGGCTCTCGAGGCTCTCCATTTGGCCAAAAACTGAATGCGAGTAGATATTGCAAATGTCGTGAACGCACAAAGTTGCCGCGTTCCTTCTCAAGTGCTGCATAGTCCTGTAGAAAACAAATTCAAATAATTTATCTAATAAGAATATTGTCTGTTCAAACTCAATCTGTCTCAAGTTCAAGATAGATAAAATAATAAAAACAAAAGATTTGGTGAAGTGGAATCCAAATAAGATACATCCTGCTAAGAATTACATATCTAACTGATATGATTATCAGAACTAGTTAATTAACATGGGTAAAACTACAATTTTATCAGTCCATCTGAAAATCTACAATCAATGACTGTAAACTTTAGATTACAATATTTAAAGTACTCACAGGATTTTCTCTGAACAATATTTTGGCTTTATCAATCTTTTCAAAGCCACCAACGTAACGCCACAAGTGAAGAGCCTGGTCCATGTCTCCGACTGACACTGTCCATGATCCAACAAGTTCACAACCAAGTTCCGGTTTGCGGGAATGCACAAAGTCCACCGAGTTTTTGCTGTGGAAAAGTACAAGTTCATTTTATTTATTTAAGCATTTTGTACACACATATAATTTTTACTTAATTTTAAAAACATTTATACTTAATATTGGTAATTTGAATTCTTGTCACAATTTTAGTTACCATACTGCGCAGAAATTGCAGTAAGTTTGTTGTATCTATATTTTTTTATACCCCTTAGTGTCAAGAGTAGGGAATGCAACCTCGTTCTATGGAGATCTCAACCTTTTTAACGAGTTTGATCTCGAGCATATAAACGCGATTTTATGCGAGTCCAGGGGGTTAAAAAACGAAGCTTTACACTTTTACAGTATTTATGTTTTCGAAAGGGTCTTCTCAATGGCTGGTTATCTGACCAGCACAATAATAAGACGAATAGCAAAGATTCTTAGGTCATTTTGTGCGTAGTAATGAGTTTTATTTTTGTTTTTGTATTTTTATTATAAAAAACTGTGTATTGTAATTAAGCTTTTGTTTGATATTAACCGAGAAGACTTGTTGTTCATTTCATTTCGTATTTGATAAGATACGTCAAAGCTTAGTTTCTTAAAATATTAGTACCTGGATGACTAAGCTTTACTCTACACTTATAAAATAAAAAATTAAACCTAAATAAATTTATCGCCTCTGAAAGTTCCTGCATACTTATAGATCATACTACTATAGAAAACAATACTTTAATTGCTCTTTTAAAGGATTTAGATAAAATAATATAATTGTGTCAAACAATGTTAAATACATAAAACTTTATTGAAAATAACTGTAAAATAAATTTTTATTTCATAATACCTATAATTCCTATATTTTGTTCCTAATTTATTCAAATATTGTGATTTGAATAAATATTCTAGATCTCGCCTGAGTCCCAAACTCGCGAGATTGCATACCCTAATCAAGAGTAGTTGTTTCAGTAATGTCAAGAGTAATATAAGACAACATCACAAACAGTATTTAATTGTATTCAAAGTTAAGTAGCCAATCATTTTGTATTCAAAACCAAGCAGTACACCCAGATCCAACACTAAAGAGGAAAATTATCTTGTACAGGAACTCTAGTATGTATTAGTTCTTTGTATGGGTAATTTCAAAGCATTCTTATAAATTTATGATATTGTAATATATACTAAATAAACTGTTTATCTTAATAAAGAATCACTGCACTCATTAGATTGTGTAGTTTTGATTTAAATAGCTATTCAATTTCCTTAATCTTAATATTTCACTCTCAGTTTGAAAGTGCTTTAAGAAAATTTAATGGACCAAAGTCACTTTGAGTTAAGAAAATTGAAATAAACAGTAGAAAAGAGTAAATCATTAAAATTTAAATTTAAAATCAATTGCAGATTAGGCTTTTTACATGATGTATTTATTACATGATGTGCTACTGTATGTGTATACATAGAGTTGGAGTATCAATGGTATTTTCAGTTGATCTATCTACAGTCAGCTTATTGGTTATAAAAAACTATCCTTCTCCAGTTGATTTTAAATCTTTTTAGAAATTGTAAATGAACTGTAAAAAATTTACATATTGTGGTAAAGTTGTATGTATTGAACTAATTTTTTATATTTTGAAATGATTTTACTCTAAATATGAAATATTAGTAAACAAAGAATCAATATATGTATGTGAAATAATCATAAATCTTCTCTTGTAATCTATTAATAGAGCTGGATGCTTTTATTATAAAAGACTTATAAGTGAAATCATTTGAGATTTCTTTGATAAAAGGTCATAGTGCAATCAGTGATAACTTTGTGTTATGTGTCAACAACAGCTTAATTTGTCTGAAAAAGAAAATAGATGAACCATTCTATTTGTGGAGTATTGCATAACTCCAATGTTTAGCAAATGTTATGGGGTATAAATTATGTAATGTTTAATAAACAGTAACGTACTAGTTTTTTAAGTATTTGTCGACGGAATCCGGCCTAATATTATGCGTATGTAGTGCGTAAATTATTTCTTTGTCGCTAAGCATGCGGCTATGTGACTCTTTAGTAGGCTCTATCCTTCGAACCAGAAGTTTCTTTAGCCATCCATCTTCCGTATTATTGTGGACACTTGACGTGCTGATCACCCTACAAAAATAACTTTTGTTATAATTAAACTCAGTTTTGGCCAAGGCGAATAAAAAAAGAAACCGAAACTGTACCTCGAATTCTTCGGTAAATATGTACACAAACTTATTGCTCTATTAAGAGACTTCATATTTTTTATTCTTAATTACTAACACTATTAAACTACTTTCACTACCGAAAACTTAATGGTATAAGTCCTGATAATTGATAATAAAATGAAAATGAATTGTTATCATTTGACAATACTAGTGTTGCTGTAAGCTACGTTGAAAAATATTATCGATAATCAATCAAAAGCCAACAACAGTACACCCAAATTTTGTCATTCTAAAATACTACCTGTTTGTTTTGGAAAAGCACTTATTTCAGTTATATTTTAGGATGTTATAATCTATATATGTTTTGTTGTGCCTATAATAAAATCACAATCTTTATTCAAGTCATCTTATAGAGAACTTCTTTCACTTTTGAATCGTCAATTATTTTATCCAGTTCTCTTTTAAGTAGTAACGAAATTTACCATAAAAGTAAATGTAAGCCGAAGCTAATGTAAACATTAAAAAAAGGATAAAAATTAGAAAATAATATACATACGTTTTTCATGTAAAATACAGTTCAACTTTAATCTATCAAAATCTATAAGCGCGCTTGTAGCCCCTCTGGTGTTGCAGGTGTCCATGGGCGACGGTAATCATTTATCATCAGGTGATCCGTCTGTTCGTCTGCCCCCTATCCCATAAAAAAAAACTTTTAGAAATCGGAAGAGTAACTATTTTGGAATCTTTTTTATATTTTCTACTATTTAAATAAAAGTATTGTATCTAGGGTTTTTTGGTGAGTTTTGTTGAAATTACAAATAAATAATATATAGTTCGGTATAATGTATGGGTTTGTTCTGCTGATTGGAACAGACAATATGTACCACGATTTCAATGCTAACGGGTAACCTTTATCTATATCTTCCCGCTCGCCTTATCCCTTATAGGTAGAGAGGACTGAAGAAATTTAAATATTTTTATCGATATTATCGATAATGTTACATACAATAAAGAGTTGTAACATTATACTATATTACGATCAAATGTATATAGGTTAAACTAAATATTGTATAGTTATCTACAAAATCATTTGAAGGTTATCTCAAGATCGACACTAGATTAGCTGAAATGTTTTTTTTTTACCTCGAATGTTTTTACTTTTGCTTCGAAACACAGTCGCTTTGCTATTAGATTGGCCATTTTGGTCATTATAAGCAATGTTTGGTTTGAATGTTTCTTGTTATGTAAGTTGCCCTTAAAAATTATAAGAGCTTCACAAATAGTTGGGCATAAAGGAATTCGTTTATTCGGCGCACGATGATGAAAAGTAATCTTTTCAAAATTATATAAACTCTAGCTTTCATATATAATGGTTTTAGTACTTTAAAGAATCCCTTTGCTTTGCATGTTAATAAACCTATTTTGATTTTGACAGTGACAGTAATAAATGAAATTGACAATTCAACAAGCGAACAAAATTGCGAAGCAAAAGTGTCAGTTTTGTTGCTGATAAAGTGTTTTTTTTTTAATTCTATAAAAACTGTCTAAGTCGTTCAAGGTGTCTTTTTTTTGGATTTAAGTTAGAAAACCTCGTCATGGGTGAGTAGCTACGGTTAGGTCGCCAAAACATTCTGTTTATGTTTGTTTGTGATGGTGGGCGGTGTTGTCAGTGGAACGAAACGAAGTACCGTTGTTGTTAATAAGTATGTCTTTTTGTGTAGCTTCAAGCGAAGTGACGAAGCTTCAACAGCACTTGGCACTGTTGAAGGAAGAATATAGTAAACTTCAGAGTCATTGTACAGAAGTGGAACGCAAGTATACTTTGGTAGCTGCATCAGCCGGCGACCTGAGTGAGACCAGCTTCGTGGCCCGTCTTCTTATGACAGTTGCTTCACTATATGGTAGAGACACCTATTCGGACATCTCAATTAAACTGCAGAGCAAGTGTATGCCCGGGCACAAATTTGTATTGAATGCAAGATCAGATGATTGGAATGAAGAGGCACTGAGAAATGTTGAAGAACTAGGTACATTATATAAACAATATACTAATATAGGTACAGTTGCATGTCAGATTACCACAATACATCAAATTTTTTTCAAAGTCAACCCTCAAAACATTAAGTTTAAAATCAAGTGGTGAAATTTGATAGATTTTTAGACTGATGTGCTGTTACATATATATAAGACAATTTACCTTATCTACTAAGTAAGTCAATATTAAAATAAAATATTATTTAAATTTTTCAGATTGGTCAAATTTACCTGATGATATAGGAGCAGCTCTTCTCAAATGGCTTTATACTGATGTTGTGGACCTCACTAGAGGAGACACATTTGCATTACAACTAATGAAATCTGCTGCTAATTTTAAACTTCATGGACTGGTCAACAAGTGTGAACAAGCGCTTATTACTACTGTTGGTGTTAGGTATATAATTATATCTGCATTATTTATTATTGATTAATAAGTTTGTGCACTAGAGATTGTCTGAAAAACTTTTTAGAAGATAATTATAATCTCTAATTGGACTTTATATAATTCAAAAAAAAATATACCAGAAGTTAAAACTACAAAATGGCTAATATTATATATGAAACATGAAATAAGTATTATTTATAAAAATGTTTCTTTCCAGAACTTGTGTAAAATTTTATTCAGCTGCAGATGAAATTGGAGCAGGGGCATTGAAAGAGCACTGTTCTGGACTTATATCAGCACATTGGGATGATTTGACTGGTAAACACTTCTTATTCTGATTAATCACATAGTTTTATTGAATATATATGGTATGGAATCCGAGATACGCTATTTATAGTATATGTTTTTGATATATCTTTGTATAATTCTAGTGACTATATTGATTTATGTAGGAAACATCAATTTTAACATTAGAAAATTGTTGAATGATTGCTAATATTATGTTTTTATTAAAAATAGCTTCTAATTTATTAAAAGGTTTAATAGTGAGAGAAGCTCAGGGCAATCTACTATAGATTGCCCTGAGCTTCTCTCACTATTAAACCTTAACATTCCAAGAAAGAATCTTCATTCCTTTAGGCCAATTCACATTCCCGTTTCTAAAAACCAATTATAGGCAGAATGCTTTTGCAGCAAGTGTATCAACAGCTTGTATGATAAATTTTATTTGGAGTTATTCAATTCAAGTCAAAATTCAGCATGGCAAAATATTGTGAAACTGCTCACTTGACTGGAAGGTCTTATTGTATTTTCATTATATAATATATTTTTGACAGTTTTATTATCTTACTGAATTCATTGTTTTGAGTGTCTCAGAGTTAATTAGTAGTCATTTGTGGGAATCTTTAATTGGTTTTATGCTTCATAATTTGTTAACATTTTTGTTTCAATAATTCTTGATCCACCTATGAAAATAAAATAAAATATTTTTTCAGCATTTATCCCTTTGGAATTTGGTGGTACATTAAAAATGTCACAGTGTGAGACAAATGAATAGACAATCATTTATATTGTTCCCATAGTAAGTTCTTAAGGTGCAATTTCATCTGTTAGTGTTGATGAGAGTCACTTGCAGGGTACCATTATTATATGTATCTAGATAACAGTCTGGGCTAACCACTATTAACTGTTTGATTTCATTAGTCTTATCTTATTTCTGGGTCCCTTTTTGCTATGTATCCAATAAAAATGATCCATTAAGAAGTCCACATTGTCATTGTTTGAGTATAATATGTTCATAATGGCAGTAGTGATAGGTCCCTCATGGACTACCATAGTTTCTGAGGATGCTCAGTTTTTTCATGTATAATTTTTTATACAGTAGAAAACTCAAAATTTTCGTAAACCACAGAAGGGATTTTTTACTTGTATTTATATCATATAAGTAAAAAAATAACTTCTGTGGTTTTATGAAAATTTTAAATTTATTTACTCTTATTCACCTTACATATTTATTTTTAACATGAAATTTTCCGTATCTATGAATTTGTGATCCAAACTGTCACAATATGATTAAAGCATATTTTTAGCATATAGATGCTGACAATATGCATATATGTGGCAATGTCCTTACAGGACACAGAATTAATTTTTAAGTAAGAATGTATGTACCAACATAGAACATTAAAATATTGACTATGTACGAAGATGTTTGTAGCTCTGTCTAAGATTTATGATAAAGACAGGATTATAATCATCAAGATCCAGAGGATAATGGAGTCAAAGTCAAAGTCAAAATTATATCTATTCAAATAGACTTCTTAAAAGTACTTTTGAATCGTCCAAAATTTTTTCCCTACCACTCGTTCAGGACGTCTTTTGGCTGATAAGAAGAACGAGCAAGAAAATCACCAGCTCTAATAAGAGTAATGACATTTACAAGTTATATCCAAAACTTAAACTTGTTTAGGATCAGGATAAAAATAATGTAAAAAGAAAAACCTAGACCCAATTACTTTTATCATAAAATTAATAAAGGTTGTTTTTTTAAGTAATTAAAAGAATTGGAGAAAGGAATTTATATTCTCTAAAATTGTGTAATTAATTTGCGGAAATAGCTTATTTTTACATTAGCATTGTGTTTCTGTTATATATGGATAAAGAAATAACATCTTTGAGGTCCCACTTAGAAATAGCCTTTTCTATTGTCTCATGTCTGGGTGTTGTGCGTTTGTTTCAGATTTCCATAATACAATTGTGTGAGCTACTTAATTTGGGATCTGAGCAATATAGGATGCAATGTCTAATATTTATTTTATTACGTATACAGGCGAGGATTTCGCACACATGTCTTCAGCCCTGCTGTACCGCATGCTGAAAAGCAAAACGTCACAACCGCTCCATGGTGCTGTACGCTTACTGAGGGAAGATGTCGTCTTCCTCTGCCTAGTTGAAAACCACGCTAATGTGAGTACTTGCATGTGACTTATCATTATCAGTTATAAACATTGTAATTTAAGCTTCACAGAAAACTTTGAATAAGTATAATATGCATCACATATTGTGTTATCGTATCGATGTACAATCTTATAAGGTTTGTGTCATTAATCATAACTATGACTTGTAGATAGATTGCCATCGAATATATATGTAACCAAAAGTAACATTACTCACTCAGTAGGAAAGTAATTAAATAGATGCAGATATGTACTGAATCCAAAAAAAGTCCACGACACACCTTTCACGATTAAATTTATCGAGTGCTTTAGGAAAGTGCTGTCTGAGACTATAAAAAAAACCAACCATGTAATACCCAACAACATTCTTCACGACTTTTGTAGAACTGAAGCTCCGCTGATAACGTTGTGTTTTACATACCTGCCAATAATTTAACTTCTTTTATTAAGTCAATCATTCTACTACATTCATTTGTAGAATCTATGACTTAATAAAACAAGTTGTTGTTATTATATTGATAGTATGAGACCACTGTCTTCAAAACCATGGTTGCCTTTCTCTTAGTTTTGTGTATATAAATGCAACCTTTTGCGGTATTCATTTATTCGTTGTTATTTTTTTTATTAACGTATTTTTACAATTCATTGAAATATTTATTTGCTTTGCAGATTCACTTAAAATTAACATGTTAAAGCTCACTATATCAATAAAACAGAATGCGTATATTACCCTTAATCACACCATAATGTGCTTGCCCTTTTGCAAATTATTTATTAGTGGTCGGCGCAACGTGTATTATTCTTCAGCCTTCATCTCAAAATTCACTCCACAGTCTGCATATTTTCTTCGGTCTTCTTCTTACATTTTCTTCCACGTTCATACTCATTATATAGTCTATTTGACTTGGAAATCATATCATCTCATCACATTTCTATACCAAGATGATTAGTTACTTTTAAATTTTTAATCGACTTCAAAAAAGAGGACACAATTCGACAGTCGTGTGTTTGTGTGTGGCGATTACACCGCCAATTATGAATCGATTTTCAAAATTCTTTTTTTATTCGACAGGGCCGAGGTGTTCCCATTTGAATTTTATCAAAATTGAATCAGTTTTCTTTTTATAACAAAATAAAATATGCCTTTCCACAGATATTACCTACACATGTCGATTTCAAAAACAAAAAATTAAAATCTATGTTCAAAACGAATATTAAGAAAAATATCCTTCTTATACATTGTAGTTTATATATTTTTATACTTTATGTAAATATACCCTTTGTAGATTTTGTATTAAGTTATGGACTCTGATAAAAAATCTATGGTTTTGAAGTTCTATAGTCAGTAAAGTTGTCTTATATACTTTACTCTTTGGTTGTTTTACACCCGATCCTCGTATTATTTCAGCTTTCCTAAGGTTTCTCTATTTCTATTGAATTACCGACAGTATTTTTATGCAAGTAGGTATGTTCACTGACTTCTACGTGGTTACGTCGTGCAAATAAATAAAAATTTCCAGCCTTACGATGTAAATATAACTCATCTTATAGATATTTAATATTTTAGTAATAAACATTGGAGCCGGGCGGTTAATATTTAATAAACTTCATAAAACCTTAGTCCGACTCCAATGGTTCTTGAAAAATGTAACCGCTTTTAAAATAAGTATTTACACTTTTTAATTTGAAGTCGGTTTTATTTTTTGAAAAAAGGTTTTTTCTGTCACTGGTTCTACTTTCAAACTTCTTGTAAAGTCATTCATCAATCAATCATTCTTCATTTTATTTCATAAAATAGAAGGATACTTAGAATTTAATTCGAATTTCTAGTGATAACAATGTTTTCTTAAATATACTTTATTTCAACATTATTAAAACCTATAGTTAATAATATGACTAGGCGCAACGCAGAATACAAATAAGCATCAGATTAATTTTCATTATAATAGAATTACGGCAACAAAGACACCCGTACATTATCAAATATTAAGTTATTCGGAGAAAGTTATCACATTTATTATAAGGCATCTCTTTGTTACTCAATGCTGTATTGGACTCGGAATGTCGAAGTTTTTTGTTCTATCTGTATGGTGAACGCATTACTAATCTTAAATGCTGTTATTAATTATTATATTTGCGTTGTTCATACAATTTCATTTGTATTGTGTCTTAATTATACACAATTACAAGTTACTTATTTGAAAAGTCTTTAAAATTTTAATTAGTTGAAGAAACTCTTAATACAGTTTGTAAAATGTGATACATACGACATACTAGTATGTACAACAATTTAGATGAATAATTAAATAGTTGCTATATTTAATTTCTATTTACTTTCTGATTGTAAAATATTTTTCTTGTCCTAACATTTTTCATCTTTGTTAGGAAGAATGCAGCCCATATGCATTATTTATCATCCGACATTTTTATCAATTCTACTCTAGTGAGCATTTTATTATGTAACGGAGGAATATTCAACATGTATTTAATTGAATTTTGTGTGTTTCATATGACGTGACGTCGTTGAGTGTGACGTATTGTAGATTTGGTGCGAACGATAAGATATGGGAATGGAATGCAATAAAGCTCGTTCACAGTCGGCGGCTGACGGGCAGTTCAGTTTCAACGCAGCCTAAATACAAATCAGTCAGAACCGAGGCGAACATTTTTTGTTTTGTTTTTGTAATTCTTTGTATGAAAACATATGAAACATCAAAAACAACAGAAATCTATAGTCGCCTCGTTCGACTCTGTTAGATATGTCAGTACCTTAAAATTTAAATATTCCAAATTCTTAGACGACCCATCGTGCGTCTAATATCTTTTGTTGGCCCAAAGACAAATCAACCTTATTAACTTTAAAGGTTGCTCACTTACAAATACGTGCTCCTGTAAGCTTTATTGAATACTGCATCCTTGTGTCAGGCCTTCCTACTACACGGCGTATTTTATATTAAAATTTGGCAGAAGTTATGACAGTTTCCCTTGACTTTTACTTGTATAATTTATCTGACTAGTACGTAGATGGCGACAGTGGAAATCAGTGTGAAGAATTGCAAATTTCTTTTCATAGCACCGTTGCACATGTCGCCTCGGCAGTAACAATCGATTGTTTTGGTAGCCCGCTGGTAGTCGTTTTGGGTCTCTTGGCAGGATTCCGTATACACTTCGTAAATGTCCTTCACTGGTACCCATTTGCCGTTGATTTTCTTTTGATCTCCGCTGAGCGTCTGCTGGGCGCATCCACGTTCCTCGTTTCTTGTAGTTACTGAAGCAATTTTTTTGTATTAAAGTTAAACACAATTTGTATATCCTCGCTGGTCGAAAATTAATCATACGACATTAATGGCCGGTTTCTGAATAGAGAAAAGTACAAAATCACAACAGATTATTCTCAATAACTTGAGTTCTCTACGTTTTAGCAAACTGCTTTCAGCTGATCATTAAAAAAATTAAATAAGTAACGAAAACCTGTTTACATGACGTTTAAGCTTATGTATGGTTTGATGTGTTTAAAATTCTCAATTCAGAAACCGGGTGTAATGCCCATCAGATCAGTGCATAGTATGTTCAATATTTATTAACGTGTTCACCTTTATAGACAATGCAATTAGTGAAAGTGATACTACCTTCTATAAACTGTTGCAGAATGCAGAACTCAGTATTTTCTATGACTTTTATAGATTACTTATTTTAATTAGTCTGTGAACGTAACTATAGGTCTTTACTTTTAATCAAAACATATTGGCGTTCTAGGGTGATATTATTATCTTATTATAGTCACATAGCATTCAGTTAGGTAATCCTTATGGTAGTTTAAAATAAGATAAATTATTCAAAATTCACATGAGTAAGCGCCTCTGATGTTTGATTGACAAGTCGGTTTTTTTATTATTTTATGTTAATGGTTTTTATTATTTAAACCGCTGGAATAAATATGCAGTCTCAATATATCATGGTAATTGTCATAAGAGTAAAGTCAAGTGCCACAAAAATTAGCAAGGAAATCTTCCTATAAGGTAAATGGATACGAGTCAATTTTCGACTTAGTATTGTTATAAAGTGACGATACTTCGTTCCTAAAAAATAATACAAGGCTATTCTGCGCTAATCTGGTTCTTAATAGGTCAAAGTTTAACTCTCAAAACTAAGCACCAATACACTAATATTTCGTCACGATCTGCACATCGTTTAGTCTACACGATGTTTAGAATTCCCAGTTTCCTAAAATAAATGAAAATTAATACTTAGTTGAACGTGAGAATATAATATAGGTAAAACATTTTTACACGACATAACTCTATTCGTGCCAGATGAGACGCAAGTATGCAAACCATTAACCAGAGAAGATGCTGATATAGCGTATTACATTGTATGACTCATTTAACGCTGAGAAAGTGGACACTCAATTTATTTTTCAACGCGTGAAAGATATTTTGGTCCCTTTCAAACAACTGGGGATTAAATAGTATTTTATTTTACCTGACTAGATAAGATGTTTATTTTAAGCTTCCTTAATTCGAAATAGATTTAATTGTTGTTTATCAATATTTTTTTATAATTAATAAGAAAAAATCTTGATAAACAACAACAATTCAGTTGATAACATGAAACACGTTACAATCTACTAAGTTATATCATAATTCAACAATGCCGCTTGGCTTGGTCTAGCCGTCTAGCCAGTGTTATTGATTCACGTGTACGATCAATACTTGGAAATCTCATAGGCAATATATGCGTAATCGAATCAAACTGGTAATAATATCTTCTCCCGTTACCGGTAAAAACATGACTTCTCATTTTAACAAATTAACACGTCATACCTGTTTGTATGAACCTTATTATGTGGTCATAGTTCGTGGAAATATTCATTATTGATAATATTTTTAATGGACGTATTACATAGAAACATCTGTTCTACATTTACAATGAAAATTAATTTTGTTACCCTTTTAAGTATCATCATTTGGTCTATCAACAAACTGGGCATCAATTCATATTTTTTTTAAGTAATAATCACGTCTCAATACAATTTATACTTCAATATATTCTTCGCAAATCAATGGCGACAGGTATGCTTCTTATTTTGTAATCTTAGAACAAGAGCTGTGCTAAAAATACTTGTTATTGAAGTATTCGCTATAAGTAAGCTAATATTTTAACAGAATTAGGTACCTAGACAGAAAAATTTGGCTCTTCAAATTTAGTCTACTTTTCCACTCGTTATAAATCGTTTAGATGATACCATATGGTGTCAATCCTTTTAAGTTTCTCAATGGCACTCATCCACTTTGCAACAGAGCGTCATGACAAAGTATGTGAATGGGCTCATTAGCATTTATCTGACCGGAGTTGCTTCAGTCGACCGATGCGTCATCAATCATGAATGTAATCGACATGCACTCTCTTTCTTAAACAAACAACACCTGCTTTCGTTTAACGCCACTATTAGCATCTCACGAGTGCATTTTAATGAACCTTTACCATATGTTGATCAAATATCACAACTATCGTCCGTCCCTATTAAAAAGAACAATTCGGCTTTGAACACAAATGGCGAAATAGTATTTCATTATAATATCACTCATAAAACCGAAGAACGTAAAAAAAGTTACTGGATGTTTAAAATAACAGTAGTAACAGTAATATAAAGTAGTATTTTAAATTAAGTTAATAACAAGAAATGATTAATTTTTCATTTTCCTGATGTCTAAGTTAAATTACACAACATTTGATTTAAAGATTTGAAAGCTACACTTGAAATTTTTTAAATTGTTCTAATTATTGTGGCGCGCCTTTAATCGATTATCCTCATTCTCCAAATAAGCCGAATACCCTTTTAGTCGTAAATGATGCAATAAAATGGCGACATACTATTAACTCTAAATGGAAACACGCGGCTTTAAAAGTTGCTTAAAGGAATCTTTACTTGTATTATTCTACAGACAAAATTTCTCAGGCTGAATAGGGATTGAAGGATTTTTAATGATCTTATGTTGAGGTTACATAATAAAACATATACTTAATGAAGAATATAATTATTTTTTTTAATTATGCTTCTGAAGTGATGTATATAGGCTATTATAGAGTATTATGTTATCGTTTGATTCTATCAAATTATCGACCTTTTAGATACAGCCTTCGTGACGGAAACTAATTCATTTGATTTTATTATGTTTCAAATTCACGTAATCTAATATTGTGTAAATTCTGGTACCTATTGTCTTTTGTACATTCCAATTTCCATGACACGCAGTAACTGGGTGATTGAGGTAGGTGCTTTGATATCATACAGACACAACATGTCAAAATTTAACCAATAACTTAAAACATAATCATTATTCTCCTAATTTATTAAGTTTGTTTCAACATAAAACCAAAAAGTAATGTGTTCGTTTTTAAAACATTACAATTCCAAATATTATAAGGACGATGAGGACAATAGGTCATTGCTTCCTTTCGTGATTCGAATTCATATGGATTCGGATTTGATCGTCCTATACTTCACAATAATATTGCGAGTGATTTGTTTCTTTTTATAATACATATGTTTTAACGAGATTTTTAGTAGCTCTTTCAACAGCTTAAATCTCTCTAGATTTGTTATCCTTTTCTACGTTTATTGTGACAGGAAAACCAGAGCGTATTTTAATAACGATTAATATAAAATTGTGGAGCTTAAATTTTTAAAATAACTTGTTCACAATTACCAACTTATATTAGTTTCACAAGGATAGTCCATTTGATTAGGAAGGCGCTATAATATTTTTATTCGATTACTAGAACCATGTATACCGACACGCCTTAGTTATAAGTCTAGACGGTAAATTTGTTGAATTGCGGTTTTTCATTACGACGTACACTATCTTGAAAATGTGACATATTAGTCTTGATTGCCAAGTTTCATTGGCGCCAGTTAGTATCTTAATTTTGTCGTTTTTAATTTCTGTCACTTGAAATTGGTATACTATTTATAGCAAATTATATTTTACATTTGTGTAACTTATAAATGGACGTATACTTTCTCCAGTATTGATTCAAACGTTCTCGACGGTAGTCACCACAGTCTAATAGGTAATCAGCGAACTATATGCAAACAGTATCACTTACCCATGTGTTATTTATTTGGTAAACATCTCGCCATTTGAGATATATACCTATTTATAACTCAAAAGGAATGTATTTTATTTTTATATAAGTTACACATAAAATTCCTTTTGATTGTCCAAAAAAAAATTCGTTTATTTTGGAATCGTCATCATTAGCGACTCCTTCTAGGATAAAACAAAAGTGGCCTATATGTTGATTCATATGATTCGTAAGCCACGTTAAGCCATTGGCCCCGGTTGCATCTGCAGTCATTAACGCCCACCAATCCGCACTGTCACTATTCAATTCAATTTCCATCACATGAAACGTCTCAGCCCCAGCAATAGGGAAATTCATAGGCTGTTGATGATATGGTGTGGATTTATTATAAGGAACAATGTGAATATTTCCTATATTCGATTTCGTTCTCTATGAAATCATTAACTTAGATCCAACATTCATTAGAAAGCTTCGTTCATTCTTCGAAATCTACGATTGCTAACCGAATAGTGTAATTTTCCTCATAGTGTTTAAACGCTGAAACCTATCTTGATACTGTCAAGTTATAATTTAGATAATACTTACACCCATTTGCTAAAGTAAGAGTAGTGATTCGTTTGTAACACATGGTGGAAGTATCACAGTCCACTAAGAATCTGCTTGATCCGTCGAAGTGCTGGCATGTCGGCCGCGTGTCGTACGGCACCGCCTCAGGGTTACACTTGTAGCATTGCACGCCATTTGAAGCTGTAATCATACGCCCATAAATATACTACTCGTACAAATATTCTATTACAACTTTTTGAATTTTGAAGGACACAGGACACATAGAATAGACCCTCAGGTGTCATGATGGTTCGTACGAGTTATAAATCGATGTTTATTTTTTTTACTTAATTCGTTAAGGTATAGATATACCTAATTCGTTGTTCAAATTTCTAATAAGTTGCTAAACTTTTCGAAAGATGTACCCGTTTAGAGTTTCATTTTCAGCATCATACGTCGAACAATGGATTGTTTGTTGGATGTATCGTGCTACACAATGTCTATATTGATGCTGTATCTGGATCGTATCGTGTTTTAGTTAGACTTATACCTAATTAAAACACTAACGAAGAAGCCAACTTCGTGGTGAAATCGTAGATATGAAAAAGCATGTCAAGTAATTTATTGAGTACTCTTTGACAATTTGTCAGCTGTTTGGAAATGTAGAGGGTAAAGCTTCACATAATATTCTTTGACAATCTTTAGTGACAGTTGATTGCCATGGTAACGCTGTTGGCGTCGACGTCGTGATAGCGTACTAATGAAATATAGCTCTTTCACGCATGTAAGTATGCCATACATGTCCAGCAATAGGAGTCGTCTTGCGAATATCTTTATCAAATACGCAATAGTATGGAACGCCCCTATTTTACTGTACCACTAAAATTATACTCATTTTTCAATACAGTTAATAAAACTCTAAACCTTTGATATTCTACAGATAGTAGTTTAGTCATTTATTTTATAAGTGTTTTTTATTTAATGTCAAAGACGTGCTAGTCTCTCTTTCGATTGAATAAATTAAATAAACCAACTCTTAAATAATTGATATATTTGCATTAACCTTCACTACGCCTACAGAGAAATTCTTTTGAAATATTTTATATTCGTAATGGTTGTTTGGTTACACAATGTGTAAATGTATGTAATAAGTGTTATACTATACAAAAGAAAAAAAAAAGAATTGTAGGTATCTTGGCAACACTTGCTAGTTATTGAAAATATGAGAACAATAATGATATAATTATTAGGTACAACTGATTTATTGTAGGAAAGCGACTATTATCCTTATACTTTTATGACAAATTAGGTTTTCCGATTCATTATTTAATTATAATGATAAAATTATTTCTTCCAATGGTATTCATTGACCTTGACTCTATTTGTGATATAAACTTATCTCAGCTGTCAATACGAGATAAAAGAGTTATGTGACATTTAAAGAAACAATAACACGAAATTTGTCCACTTACGTTTCCAAAATATCGCAAACGCCAATAAAAACAATACCACATCCATGTTCATTAGTGAAACTCCACTTAAAATTCCTTGAACCTATTATTAAAATAAACTAACTAAAACAATTGAACGCGCGTTTTTTTTTTCGCATTTATTCTTATTGTATATTTTACAAAGTCACGCTGTCCGCTCCCCGAACTGTAGCCGACTGAAACCTCGCACTTCCACATTCAAGTCATGATTCACGGGATGGAAACTCAGTGGCAAAACGGGGCATCTCCCTATATTGAATAAATGAGGTTCTAATACTCGCGCGATAGTGCTGATTCACGCGGTCACTGTTGGCGCCTGCGCGCGAGACTGAACTCTTGTTTGGCGGTTCACTCCCGTCAAACAAACGGTCACGAACTTCACAAGTTCCGTTCTATGCGTGACGCGTCGCTCCTTCTATTTTGTTTTGGTTTTTATCACCACGATTGGTATTGGATGTGGTAAAAGTAAAACGTTAAATAGTAAGCAGCCTTACTGTTATTAGTTGGACTCTATTTGACACTAACTACCGATGAAAGAAATAATCTGTGTTAGTAGTCTTCATACATATTTTGAACGCTATTTTAGCCAAGAGATTTCTTAATTTGCAAATGTTCCCAAACTCATATATCTATAGGTACCTCACACATTTATAGTATTATGTCATCAAAATACATTCTTTTAATTTTTTCTTTTTGCAATTCTCAAAGATATTACATCTGTAGACCAGATGGATGGCTGTTATTAAAAGAGTTTTGAACTATATCATAATCCTTAAGAACATTCACGTAAGTTTTCGACATAGTGAACATTTGTATTGATATTACAAAATATTTACGCTGAATAACAATCAATACTACAGCCAACAAACATATGTTATCTTTGTGATTGTTAACAAGTAGTTTTCACGTCAGTTTCGAAGTGTTCGTTGTTTGCTTTATCTTATTTTGCGCAACCAGACTTTTCCCAGATCGCTTCTTTCTTTTCCCATCATAATTAGTTGAAGGATTTCATATCTGTCACGTCTTGTATGAGATTGATTGTTAATTTTTGTTTTACATCCGCAGTTGATAGTGCTTTTTGTTACGCTTGTGATTGTGAAACATTATTCGTGGACTTTGTTATCCACAATTACACATCCTTTCCGAAGCCAGATAAAAATAACATCGCTATTATTTTTATAGTTGCAAATTAATCGTTCATTCATTACTGATAATAACGCTGAATTTTATTGTTCTGATTAGTCCGTTAACCCGATAATAGATTTTTTTTCTCTAAGCCTTGAAAGTTTTAAGGTTGATGAGTAGGGGCTCTACTTCACAATTATGTAGAAAACCTATTGAAGTGTGACGTCACATGACATGTGATATTTCAAATTAATTTATCGTCGAATTTATTGAATGATTAGGCAAAAAATAAGAAAAAAAATAGGTACCTGTTTAATATTTACAGGGTTCCGTACCCGAGGGTAAAAAGTTTAGTAAAACTTCGCTGTCCATCCGTCTGTCACCAGGCTGTATCTCTGAACCGTGATACTTAGACAGATGAAATTTTACATATGATATATTTCTGTTGCCGCTATAACAACAAATAGTAAAAAATAGAAATCAGAATAAAATAGATATCTAACGGGGCTCCTATGCGCACCTTTCGTGTGCGAGACCGACTCGCAACTTGGCCGATTTTTTTAAAATAATATACCTAATAGACAATGAAAAAAATCAGCCATCTTACTTTTTGTATGTTTACTATACATATCCATATTTTTGTGTTTTTGCAATTAAATGTTAGCAGATTTGTAATTAAAAAAACTAACTAACGATTCTGATATATTTTTCACCACAGAGCACCTAAATTCTGTGTTCTGTGGTTTCACGCGCCTTGACCCGCGTAAATTATAGCTTCACCTGTCCCCTGGGTACGATGTAGCTTCAAATAAATTAATCAATTTTTAAAGTCGACCCAGTAGTTTCGGAGACTATTCAATACAAACAAACAATTAAATCTTCCGTCTTTATAATATAAGTTAGTATAGGCGGGCATTATGAAACTAAAATTAGACCATAATTCTTATTATGTAAATGGTTCAAAAACTTTCAAACCTCCTTTAAACTACAAAATTTGTTACTTCTTTTGCGGTGTTACATGTAGATAATAATTTTTCGGGAACAATTTTTGTTTCGCCTATAACGAGATGTGTTTGATATTTTAACAGAGTTTAACTATGAATTAGAATTTACAGGAGAATGTAAATTCTAATTCACACACTCTGTGTCTACGTCGTATATGATCAATGAGATATCTAATACATATTTCGAAACGAACTCATTTCAATTTCTTTTGTACCTGTTTACTCAAATGAGTTTATTGGAGCTTTCGCTAAATGCTAGTTATTGATTTTCCTTGAACGAGGGAGTGTCGAGCTTTGTGTCCTGCCTTAAATTAAAAGTATATTTCATTTGTCACAATAATTTATATTTTCGTGTTCTCACTTATACAAATTCGACCATACTTTTTATATTAGATCATACCATACTACTTTAGTAAATATAGGTAGTAAATTCGGCCATACATCTTATACTATACTATCAGTATGGTATGGTACATATCAACTGTATGGTCGAATTTGGACAACCGGAAAAATACTAGTGTAAATAATTGCATTTAATTAATATTTTGACACTAGTATAAATATTTGAAAGAGCCACAGGTTGCTGATCTCTGTGCTAAAACTTTCCTTAAATACCATACTCCTCCACCCGCGTACTTTTTTTAAAAAGGGGCTCAAAGTTTCTTGGCAAGCACTCCGTTTTGCTTAGCATACAGATCGGCAACCTGCGCTGCGGTTCTTGAAGTTGCAGCTCTCTATTTCCTAGAAATACGCTGACTTAACTGAGAGATAGATGTTCAAAGTTGTTTATTTTAAATTTGGTCTGAAATAGAAAGTTAAATAACATTAAAACAAGATCTTTCAGTGGGTCTATAAAATCTGCCAAACTTTGCAAATTGTAGCTTTTGAAGTTCTCCGCTTATACGTTATAAGTAATGAATGACCCACGGCTTAGCCAAATGTTATATTAATACTAATAAATAAGAATGCCTGTTAACGTTCAACATTAAAAAAATATAAAAATAAATTTAGGTTCATATTGGTTTTATTTGTTGATTAAAACTCTCGTTTCGATTGTGTCTGTTGACAACGCCTTAAGAACCTATAAAGGCAAATTCGAAATCGAGTCATAGAAGACATTAATTTAAATCAGGCTCAATAAAAGGATTGTGGTAAATTTTTATTTAAAGCGGCTGGAAGGCGATTATAATAATTACCCTTGGTATCATTATTATGCAGTAATCTTTTCAATGATAAACTAAAAACATCACCGTAATGCGTGGTCACCATACCACCGAGACCAAATACAAAGAAAAACAAAATGTAGGTTTAATATTAGATTTCATTGGGGAGAAGAATAAGCTGACAAGGAAATTTCTTTTCGTATCTAGAGACATGCTAGCTGATTTTCCAATCATAAGTTTTTTATATATAGAGATGAATAATGTACAAAAGAAAATAAAATGACTATTTTTTTTCAATGCCTAAGTCAATACGGAGATTAGATAATCTTAAAGTTAATACAAGCTTTTAATGTTATTATTTCTTCGTTATATTGTACAATGTTTACGTCCAGCCTCAAACCACTAAGTTGCTTAAAAACTTACACCTTACACCGCACCTTGAAATTTCATCATCGCAAATAAAATCGTAGTAGACACACGTCTCTTAATGAACGACCATCAAACAGTTAAAATGTACGTATATGTTAAGTGCGTTTTTATTTTTAATTAGCTGTTTTACCGCACTTTCGTTTCCGTTAATTTTGACCTATTTTATTTGCGTATGATGTAGCTTCCCGTGGGTGAACGAATTTTTAAAATCGATCCAATAGTTTCTGAGCTTATTCGATGGAAACAAAACAATGGTTATTACGGAAATTCTTTGTTTAGTTCACAATTAGTTTGATATTACTAATATGTTTTGGTGACTTCTTCATTATGGTACAGTTTAGTGTATCAGTCTTTTGCTTTCCGGTAGTTATTCGAGCATGCGTGGTACTGTTACATAACTAGTTGGTTAAATCAAAGTTACGATAATATGAACGTTAATGCCTATTGCAACTGTACAATTTTCAAATTATTTACCGACCTCAATAATAAATTGCGATGAAATTGTAAATATTACTCTTCGGCAACTTCAAATGAAGTGATTCTAGTAGATTGCTCGGGAGTGTTGTTCTTCTTATTTATTACAGAGATTATTCTTAAGGTCTTACTAATAAGGTAGGGTTGTGTAGTCAAGTTTTGTCTTTTTTACTCAGACTGAAAGTCTTATTGGAATGGAGTAAACAGGGCTAAGTGTAACTAAACAACAGTTATAAGTATTTTTATTAGTAAGGCTATTAAGCTTTGTTTATTTGTGTAGCTAATTAAGTTAGGTTTTGAATTAATTATTACCAAACAACGTTAAAATAAAATTGACATATTCTCCATTTAGTTTTTAGACGTTTATTGAAATCACATATTTTCACAACACATACACAACAATGTATTTTCACAAATATGATAGCAATCGAGACATTATAAATAAATAAACATAAAACAGTTATAATAACATTAAAACATTATTAAAACTACTTAATATTTTTTTACGTAACCATGTCCACTGCGAATACTCAGTAAATGGCCCTAATTTGTCTTACAAAATGGATGTGATTTATCATTTACACTTTATTTTGTATTACAGATTTTAATTACCGGTTACTTATGTATATACCTTTGGAAAAAGTGACCGGGAGATAATAATGTACCAATTTTTTTTTAATTACATAATCATTATGTGGAGATCGTTAAATAATAATTCTAAAACATTCTATAGTCTAAGATACTATAATAAATTTATACCCACGTCTGTTATTTACGGACGACAAAGATTATAGATAACATTAAGATTAATAAATCGCAAGTGGTTTGCCTCGTTAAGTCGGGGTGTTTTTAATATATCTTTTTTTAATATACAATAGCTCGTCTGGTTATACACATCTGTCCAATTTCTCAACTTGATTTTAATCAAAAATATTTTGAGGTTAGAGCTCAAAGTTACCTACTATGGAAATTTAACATATGATAGTAACTAGATATTTTTTTAACAGATCTATAGGATTTGCAAGCATTTAAATAAAGGTAACTGTAAATAAGTTATGGCTTGGGCTCCTGCTCGTCTATGATCTAACACTAAACTTTTTTTTTTATTTTATCTTTAATATCACATGTACCGAGATTTTTTTCTCGCAATATCACTAAATATTGGAATAATTCCTATTGGAGTTTGGTATACTCCAATAGGAAGATCACTAAGTGAATACAATATTTCTGCAATTTTTTTCTATAATATAGGTATACTATTTATATTATATAAAACTTTCTCTTGAATCACTCTGTGTGTTGATGAAAATCGCGTTAAGCGGGAAGCGACTTGTTTTAATACGATGTAGATGTTATGTCACTACATAGTATAAAGCAAAGTCGCTTACTCTGTCCCTATATCCCTATTTATGCACAAATCTTGAAAACTACACAACGGATTTTGATGCGGTTTGTTTTTTCATAGATAGGGGGGCGTCCATAAATTACGTGAGGTGTTTTTTCAAATTTTCTGACCCTCCCTCCCCCCTGGTGAGATGTCGTGAGATTTTATCCAATCCCCTCCCCCATCCCCAAATCTCACGTGAGATTTTTCAAAATGTGGGTTTCTTATTTAAACACGTTGGATTTTTTTTATAAAAAGAAAAAAAAAATTCGCTTAGTACTTTTATTTACGACTAGTTAGAGACTAGTAATCAATATTGCTCTCACTCATCTAGTCACACGTTCAGCTGACAGTGGCGCGAAAACAAAGGACGAGCTTCATTGTACCGTAAATTCAAATTAAATTGAGCTATTTGGTATAAAACGAGTATAGTGGTTTGACAATCAGGAGTAATGTATAATGTCAAAGTACGAATGAAATTATTTTCTTTCCAACGAATTAGTGAATGATCTCAACCTTAGACTTGTCACTCTATGAGGGATTCCCCGCACCGAGCCTTATTTTAAAAATTGCGTGATATTTGCCGAGACCCCCCCTCTCTCCAACGTGAGATTAGATGAGATTTGACTCGACTCCCTCCCCCCCTTAAACATCTCACGTAATTTATGGACGCCCCCTAGGGTGATTCAAAAGAAAGGTTTTTATGTATAATACAAGACCACGCTGGCGAAGCCGCTGGCGGAATACTAGTTATTTATAATTGAAGAAGTTCCATTTCTGTTTAGTGGCGGATTTATGGTTGCCAGCGCTAGGCAAGCTTATTATCCGATCCCCTCTAGTTTGGTCACGTCACGAAAAAATACATATTTTTTTTTGTATCTGCGATAACGATTTCATTTTTCCTCCTTCATGTGCTGTACAATTATTTGATAAAACAAAGAAATGCGTGAAATTACCGCTAGTACTGATTAACTGTTTGTATCAGTTCCTACAGCGTTTTTGGGCGATATAGGTCCTAGAATATAGGCCGCTTTGTAAAGTATCGCCCCAAGGCTTGTTGGTTGTGCCTAGTTTGCCTGTAAAATAATCCGCCGCTGTTTGTTATAGAAGTCTTTTATAATAGTTGCTTTATGTCTTTGCGCTAGCAAATGACGTTGGCAACGAATGAAAAATAGTCTAATCGTTTTGATTGGTACACAAAAAAAAACAAATAAATTCAAACAACAGCGGCATCTCTTGACAGTCATGGCATCAAGGTAAAAAGGAAATAATGTAAAGTTTACATATATAAAAATATATACCTATTAGGACGCTAACGTGTTACGTGACTAAACAGTTTGATTGTTTTTAACTATTGATAGATGGCGCTGGCAAAATAATGTAACCGTGACTTAACAAGAAATATATTATAATTTAAATACATAAAATATATGTATTGTATAATATTTCTCGTGCTCTACATTCATCTGCCAATCGCTACCTAAGACTATTAATGTATTTCATGAGATTGAAAACAACTATTACGCCCATTATGTCCGTGTATCCTTCGTGGTTAGTGGCGGGAGACGCGTTGCATAGGTTTTGACGGCAGTAGCAGAACCTGGAATAATTTTAAAACTTATGTAGTTAATATAAAATAAGGGTCGGTGCATACCTCCGGGAAGATGCGTCGCGAACCGGAGCAGGACGGTTGCGAAATGCTACAACTGACTTTTATATGACATTCTTGCCCACTCGACAGACGCATACATTTTCTCCGTTTTATTTTATACAGAGAAGTCAAGATTAAAAACGACTTCATTAGAATAAGAAGTCGCATTCCATCACAGTATTAGAAAATATAAAAAAAGTATATAAATGTTAAAATAATTCACTCGTCAGTTGAATCACATGCCGATTGAAACAAGCTCATCGATTAATAATTAAATTATTGTACATAAGCATAATAAAATAAAATGGATAAGTATAAGTAGTCAAGAGCAGACTCGATTCCACTAACAGCACTCGTTCACGAGCATGACGCATGGACCAGCCATCGCTTCGAATTTTTAATAACTAACTACAACTACGATATATATTCAAGTTACCTGTTAAAGGAAGTGGTTCTTTCACCTTTATCGTCAACCTCCTGACAACCCTCTTCATATGGTTCTAAAACTTCCATTTTAGGAAACCATTTTCCATTTTGGAAGTCGTGGTATTCATTCTTCTGTGACGCGCAATCTCGAAGAACGCCTTCAATGGTTACTGCAATATAAAATTGAACCTGTCATTTTGTGTGATGTAATAAGATTAATATACAAGGTTTTGATTTAGCTTAACTGATTTTAGAACGTTCGAAAATTTTGCAACACCTTACACTGATTGGCATTTAAGAGGATAATAAAGGCGATAATGTAGGTAGGTATGAGTGATTGTAAGGCAAAGAGGAAATCACTAATATAGAAATATGCACAGTTATAAAATTTTTAGAAGTAGCGTCTCGTGGACAATGGAAATATTACTTAACATTAAGTTACCATGGTAATCTAATTTGTTAATCTATACAAATATTATAAAGTGGAAAGATAATATTGTTTGTTTGTATGTCTCTTTCAATCGAATAGGCTCCAAAATACTGACCGATTTTAAAAAATAATCACCTACGTGTAGCTACATTATACTGGGTTGATATAGGCTATAATTTAAGCGTGCGAAGACGCGGGACATCAGCTAGTCATATTCATTTCTTTGTCTATCATCAACATAATCAAGTTACAATAGAGTCGTACTAAATTTATTTATTCATTTATTAAAAGGTTAAATCAAGGTCAAATAAATAAAAGGTAAAGATTAAATCGAGTGACAAAAGAGATTGAAAGCACGATTTTCCTATTAACCTATTAGGTTAGTTTAGATGATAAACTCGGTTCCTATCTATTTTTGTATAGTTGCATAATGAACTCTACCAACTATTTGTTATTGTTCTTTTACATTGTCAACAATTCTTACAAACTAATCGGCACTAATGGAATCCATCAAATTAGTTTTATTGTTCTTATACCTCCTCCTAATATTTTCAAGCTAAAGTCTTGCTTCATGCACATTGTAGAGTATGGGCAGTCTACGATGAACTTTTCAGAGTAGTCGAAGTGTACGCAGAGATTCTTAGTCGTGTTGTAGTACTGGCCTGGAGGTGGATTGATGTAGCACTGGTAGCATTGAAGTGGCAATACACCTGGAATGTGAAAATTTTATTATTTGATTATATTGTATTTAAAATAAAATCGTTTTTAATATATCCATTTCAAAATCTCTAAACTTTTATATCTTCAAACTACTGAAGAGATGAATCTAATTCATTCAACAAAAGAACAATTACAGTCCGATATGTCTAAATTACGTGAAAGACGTGGATAAGCATACATAAAAATTTTTTGACGCGTGTAGAATCACATAAACAGCCAATTACACAAACATCAATTAAAATTGTATTATCAGATTTGTTTACAGCGACATTACCCATACAAATTTGACATTCTTTTAGAGCTTAAGGCGTTATTAAATTATATGGATATTTGTGCAACTGACCGATAGACTAACATGAGTATGAATATTGCGCCATTAAGTAGGTACGATGTTTGTTGCTTCTTAAACAAAAACTACTCAACGGATTTTATAAAGTTGGTTAATGGATAATTTTAAGCTTTAATATATATGCTACTTTTTATCCTTTTTTACATCAAGAATTTTTAAAATCATTCCGTTATTTTTTAGTTTATTCATTACAAACACGTTTTCTTTAATCTCTCATCTGTACATTCATATTATTTATGTTTGATTTCTGAACGATTCTGGCACATGTGTTTAAATATTACTATAGTAAAAAAAAGAATGCTGGCAATGATTATTTTATGTTTTTATTTATTATCTCTCTTAATTTAGGAGGTTGCGGTGGGTGGTAAGCGTTGGTTTGCGGTTACGACTCTTATGCAATATTCACAGACATCTAAACTGCTTGTAGCTAAACATATATTAGTTATCTCAAATTTTGTAGGAAGGATCTTACGGTCGATAAAAATTTAGGTCTCATAGGATTTTCCACGTGAGGGAATTTCTGTCGAGTGTGCAAGGTCAACTATCATCTATACTATACTGATATTATAAAGAGCCATTTTTGAACCATTTTTGAAAAACCTTTCACCTATGGGAAATTACACTACATCCTACGCATATGCATACGCATAATAATATACGCAGATGACATAGGCTACAATTTACTCTGGCGAATGCACTCATACAATATTGAATTTTATACTTATTCACACCTTCAAAGGTCGTCTATGTTCGGTAAATTTAAGTTATACTATACGTGTAAAGGTCGTTTCGTGATTGAACTCATATAATTCTCATTGTATTTATGTATAATTGGTTCAGACATATTTGGCTTCATTATAAAATAGAAAGTGTTACTTATTTGGATACTCATCAGAGTCTGTTTTATATAGTTATACATTCATAACGTAAATGTCAATTTAGATCCCAGTTTATATGCAAAATTAATCAAATATAATAACTAGAACAAATTTTCATCTTTAAGTAACAAGTGCTTGAAAATTCGTTAGTCCTGTTAAGTTCTGGATATCTCAGTGGTTAGAGCAGTCGCCCGTATAGCGAAAGGTCATGAGTTCTAGTCTCATCTCAGAGAGCCAGGGACAAACTGGATTTTTAAGCATTATAAATATTTTCGTTTTCATAGCTTAACAGTGTTTTATACACATGCGTTTCAAAGTATAAAAGGTGGATAAGCACATGTGATCTTATAGAATGAAATAATATATACTATTAATATTTTAAATGTGAAAGTTTCGTTGTTTGGATGTTTGTTCCTCAATCACGCCGAAACTACTGAACGGATTTCGATAAAATTTGGTATACAGATAGGGCTAACTTAGATAATATGATACTTTTTATCCCACTAAACATTTCGCTAGGGAGCATCTGGGCGAAGTCGCTGGCGAAAGCTATTATAACTATAATAACTTATCATTTTGCCACTCATTATTGTGGTAGCCCAGTGGTACCAACCCCAAGAAACTAGAAAACAACAGCTCACCAATACAAAAGACAAGAGACAACGGTAGGTTAATTAAAAAGACATAATTTTAATTCTGTAGTCATATAATTAATCACATACTTTTACTAGGCAGTTAATCAGGACTTACACATGTTGTTATAATATATTGATCACTAAATAAAAAAGGGAAACAAATAAAAAACGAAATTATTTTCTATAAAAATCCTCGATTTCCGCATCTTCAGTATTTTCTGATTCATTTTCCTTTTTAAAATGTTACATAGCTATGTTGAATTTCTTGCCTTTCGTGGCTTTAAATGAGTAGGAATTGGTTATTTCGGATTATAATTGTAATAGGTGGCACTGAACACTAATTGCAAAAACATTAAAAAAGAAGGAATAAAACAAAAAACAGAGGCATATAAAAACAGCAAATCTACCGTTAATATAGTAAGGTCGGCAACACTGTAGTCCTTTTGCTATAATTACTTCTACATCTGCAACCACGCTGTCGACTCCCGTACAAGCGTTAGACATTAGTATGTAATGTTTTTCTGTTGTGAAAAAATCTGGGGTCCTTCGGCCCTTCGTTCCTGTTATATTTTTATTGCATTCTTTACTACTAGATTTATTCGTATTCAAAAATCGAGATGGTCTTTTTTAATGAACGGTAATAAGTAAAATGTTGCGGATTAAATATTTTATTGGTATGCTTTTAGTACGTTATTGTTGTTCTATAGCTGTAGAGTATTATGAAATTGAGTCTAGCTCTACTGAAGAAACTATTGTAAATTTGACTGACGCACGCAGAATTGGTGATAATCCAAGCCAGAACAGTACAATTATATTGAAATCAAAAGACAAAAATAATGATTTAATGAAAGATCAGGATTCTGAAAACGATTATTTGTCTGACGACAACTTTAAAGTGTTTATAATGGACAAAAAGCACAAGCATAGAACTAAATTTAAAATAAGTGTTGAACCAAAACCAACCACTACTGTACCAACTTACTCCACTCGTAACAATACCACGATTAGAAAGAAAGCCAATGTATCGTTTGACATTTTTAAAGAATATGAGTACATATACGAGGATGAATTTACTAAATATACTGACATAGAAAACAATGACCATTCAAGAAGTGTATTGATGGAGAGTATAGTTACTACCGAAAGAAGTAAAAATATGTCTTCACCTTTCTTTGCAGATTTTTATAACGTAGAGCCAGCGGCAATTATGCCAAAACTCAATCTCAGCTATGAAAGTCATTCATCCAATGTTTGGTATGTTCCCGAAAGATATCCGTGTTGGGATTTGCCCGTAATTTATGGTGAATTAGCCATGAGAAAAAATACTTCTGAAGTATTTTTAATTAATGGTGCAAAATTAAAAAATGTTGTAAATTTAGAAGAAAAAGAGTCACTAAATCAATATAAGCCAATTTCTCGTAACACACAATCAGATATTCACAATAAATGGTGTGGAGTGGAGCCCTGTTTTGGTGATCACACACTTTGCCTTTTTCCTGATCTCAATAAAATTTCTAAGATTTGTGATTATAAATATAAAGTCAAAATACCAACTATGTCTGTTCAGATCGCACTAGTGAATATTATCAATTCGATGAGAAATCGTATTGCTAATGGTATTTCTGTAGAATATTCTCATTTGCCTCCTGCCGCTAACATGAAGCAGATCATGTACGATAACGATTTAGAAAAAATATCAGCAGCATGGCTCAGTCAGTGTTTACCTGGTTCCGCTCCCTGTTCTGCTCTCGATGGTAATTTAGTTACTCAGTTGGAATGCACAAAATATGCTGATAAATGTTGTCGTAATTTAAAAAGTTCTACATTTAAGTGGTAAGATTCCCAACTTATTTTCGTAATTTTCTTAGGAGTTTAGTATATTTGATAATATAAGGGATATTATCAAATAAAACGTATTATTTAACTTGGCAAAACTTGTTAGTTAAATGTTATCTAACAATTCCACCATATAAATCTTCTCATAGTCAAATGATAGATGAGATATTTTTCTTAATTTTTATTGTTTAATTTGAAACAATTAATTTAAACTGCGCAAATAGGGGATGTTAAAAGTCATTGGCATAATATGTAATTTATTATTTTTCAGTATCCCGAAAGATGAATGTTTCGTCCCTGCAATAATAGGTTGCGTCTACTCGTGGTTTTTAAGTGCTAAACATAAATTGCAAAAGACCGATGTGAACTGTGGTCATACTGATACTTTTACCTATAACACGGCACAATTATTTTGGGCTAAAACTTACAAAATAGGTTGCGCATATGCTGAAAGAAATAATGGAGACATTAGAGTGGTATGTAATTTTGCACCGGGTGCTCCTTTTTTTCTGAATACCCGGTATTATTGTGGAGTTATACCACACGAAGATGTAACAAATCACTTGGGCAACGACATTAAAGACGTAACTAGTTGGAAGTTTTTGAATTCTCATGGCATTAAATTACATCTAATGAACAACGATATTAATAGCACAAATAAGGAGCCATATTACTCGAACACATTGCTAAACTTGAAGGGAAATAAATATTGGGATTTGAATTCCTTGAGTCAAGTATACCAACGTACAAATCTAAGAAATAAAATCAGTGACCATTCGAATGGTACAAGAGGTTTTATTGTGAAATTAGTTACAAAGTATATATTTTTCGAAGAAAGTCAAGACAGATGTGATTCGTCTGAACCTATGTACGTTGTCGGAGCGCCAGGATCATTATGTCTCGAGAGAGGCAGAAGATTCGATGCGCTTTGTTATGATTTTCGAGATCCAACACCTGGGTATAGATTTGTTGCGGTCATAGCGCCGGTCGCATTATTTTCCTTAATACTGTACGATCTATTCAGTGGTGTGATGAGACAAACAACCATCGGTTGACAAAATTAAAAATAATTCTGAGGCAACAATGGTCCTTATTACTAAAAGTATTTTCATTTGTATGAATTTCAGGTTGCCTTTTAGTTTTAAATTGTGACTTAGTTTTATAAATAACTAGCTTTCCGCCGGCGGCTTCGCCCGCGTTGTGCCTAATGAACTGTTTAGCGGGATAAATAGTAGCCTAACAGCTTGTTGCACAGAAGTCCATTAAAATTTTCATTAGTTTAAAGTGACATTACCCATACAATTATGACATTCATTAGAGCTTAAAGGCGTCTTTAAACCTTAACGGACGTTTGTGAAACTGACCGTAAGTATGTTAATCCAGGCTTAGAACTACTCGTATACCAAGTATCATTCGTATCCGTCCAGTAGTTTACATACATACATCCATCCTCACAAACTATCATTTTCAATACTAGCATTTCTAATACTAGCTTTTTCCAGCGGCTTCACTCGCATGGTTCCTAGGAAACTGTTTAGTTAGATAAAAAGTAGCATATAGGTATGTTAAACCACGTTTAGAAGTATTCGTATGCCAAATTTCATCGGAATCCGTCTTGTAGTTTTTTCGTGAAAGAGTAACAAACATACATACATACATCCATCCTCACAAACTTTCACATTTATAATATTAGCAGGGTTAGTAGGATAGGTTAGGATCAGTAGCATATGAACGTCATTGCTGTATGGTATTATCATCAACACATTATGTTAGGCGTAGGTGGTTGAAGAAAATTCGTATAAATCTTCCCTATGGAACTGTTTAGTGGGATTTAGTGGGGTTATCTATGTTCTTTCTCAATATCAACTCTATATCGGTTTTAAAAACTCTCTGTTTTAAAAGAAACCGTAACAAACAGAATTACTGTCGTATTTATAATATAAGGAGGAATAACACCCGCGTATGATGTAGCTTACCGTAGGCGCAAGAATTCAGAAGATATAACACATACAGACAAAAACAAAACTAGAAACTTTGCCTCTTTATAATATTAGCCTACGTATCAAACAAATAGTTGTTTTCTATCCGAATAGCTGGGGGCCAATTCTACTAAATAAATTTTGTTTAAATCGAATTGAAAACGGATCGAACGAACTAGTTTCATTCGGTTTCGATCCGTTTTCGATTCGATTTAAACAAAATTTATTTAGTAGAATTGGCCCCCAGTTCCTATGTTCCGCTTTTGTGGTTTCTTGCTTAACTTGAATTGCCTACTCTTGCTTCGTCTCGATTATTGTCAAGGTAATTTTATGCCCTTCATTGCAGACGAAACATTGTTTTCGGTTGCAACAAAATATTACATTACTTGCTGGTAATGAAATATTATGAATAATTAAATAATTTACTAACTCAATGTTTTGCTCTGTCACTTTGGTAGTATGGCGTAATAAATAAACAATATCTATTTTGATATTATCTTAGATTTGTTAAGGCATTATTCACATGTATTTTTATTTATAGCTGTGTCAGTTGTCTTTTGTTATCTTATTGTCATATTATATATTATTCAGTGCGGAGTTAAATCTATTTGATGCCTTAAGTAATCCTCATCATTTGTGCATTCTAATTAACTAGTATCCATGTTCACCCATTTATGAATATATAAAATATATAAAGGTCAAAAAGACGTGCGGAGTACACAAGTATCGCTTTTTAAAACCTTACCTTTATGCTAGAATTTTTTTATTTTGTTTATTGGCTAATATAAGGCAATATTGTCTACGTATTTTGTAAATGATACTATGAGAAATTTGATTTGTGATGGGAATTCTAGAGATTGATTTTATAGAGACATTTCCAAACGATTTTACAGTATTTTAAAGCATAATAAACTGATAGGTATTAGAGGTGTGCGCCGCGCCGATGACCGACGCCGCCGATCATGACACGCCGCCGCCGACCGGTTATAAAGATCGGCGTAAACGGCGCTAGATGGGATAAGCAACGTAATGCGGTTAATTCAATTCCGTATTTCCATATCAAGTAAAATTTTAATGAATACAAAAGTAAAGTCAATGATCAGATGCAAACGAATAAACAATCGAATCTTTCTTCTTTAATTACAGCTTTCAACAATGAAATCTTGTACAATTAATGTAGCACCGTTTACAAGATGGAGTAGGCAGAAATCATAAATTCAATACTTACCCTTTTTTGTCTACTCTAGCTAACCTGCTACAAGCACACCTAGCGAACGTGTATTCTCTGTAGCTGGCCTTACTGAAACGGCTAAACGTTTGCGTCCAATTGAGAATAATATCAATAAAATAATTTATATGCATGATAACTATTAGGGTGGGGAAAAAGTCTTTTCGCATAATTTCGCAATGCATAAAGATGTGATAAAATAAAATGGATGCCATTTTTTAAAAAGTGGAGTAAGATCGTTTTATCAGTAGTTGCAACGAAGCCAAGCTCACTGAAAGAAACCTAATGAACCGTGTACTCTTTTGTGATTCTTTATTAGAAGCCCCAAAATGTTTATAGCAATGGGATCATGTCCTTACCTACAAGACGGCAAAAAGTTACCGAACAAAATAGTACCTACATACTTTAGTCAAATGTAAGTGTTTTTAATAAAAATGTTTAGAATTATATTCTGAATGAAGAATACTTAAAAAATTCACTTTGTCCCCGGCATTCTCAAATGGGACTTAAACCCATGACCATGGATTGCCGAAAATTGTTGTTTAATATCATTATGACTGCATTTCATTATTTAGAAGAGTATAGTTGTGCAATATTTGCTTGTTACTAAAAAGGTGTTATTAGTTTTAGTAGCTCTTATATTTGTTGTCAATAAAGGCATTCTAAATTGTTTAACTTTAAATTTTCCATCATTTGACATAACGACGCCGTTTACGCCGCCATTTACGCCGCCGCCACTGAATTTTTAGCTTCACGCCGCCGCCGAAGATTTCAGCATCGGCGCACATGTCTAGTAGGTATCACATGTTAGTATATTCAGCCATGACTTATGCAAATGTACATAGGTACATTTAAGATGCGAACTAAACATATTAGAATTTTAAGTAATCAGTATCTCATGCGACGGTTCAACGAAATTAAATCAATACGTATATGATAACGCTACAAAATAATATATTACTCATACTGTCACTTTGATTCGATAAGGTTGTGTAACCGGATTGGTGTTTTGTTGTGCTGCTTTGTAATTTAATTATAAAAATGTGAGAAGATCATGGCGACACCAAGAACAGTGAGAGTACTTTTCAAAGAGAAATTAAAAAGTAATGTTCTTTGTTCTAATTTTAATTCTGCTGATTTGGAACGAGTGGAGGATGACAAATATTTGATGAGAATATTGGCACATGTCAGTAATAATACAAATGAGGCGGTGGACATGCTTTGGGAAATAATGGTATGGAGAACAACCGTTGGTGCTAGCAATATTAATGAAAATAATATCAACATGGAGTATGTTAAAGAAGGATCGTTTTTTCCTTACGGCAGAGATATAGACGGTTGTCTCCTTCTCGTTTTCAAATCAAAAGTGTATAGCAGAACTAAAAAAGATTTGGAAGAGTCGAAAAGAATATTGATTTATTGGCTGGACCGTATAGAAAGAGAAGAAAATGGCAACAAGATTAGTATTTTCTGTGATATGACCAATTGTGGCGTAAACGATTTTGACGCTGAAATTATTAGTTACACTAAAATGTTATTTCTAAAATATTATCCATACTTTTTGAATTACATAATAATATTCCAAATGCCCTGGGCACTATCTACAACATTTAAATTGATGAAATCTTTTCTTCCCGCTAGAGCTGCTGCGAAAATGAAATTTGTGACAAAGAATAAATTAAGTAAAATAGTTCAGCTCGATCACGCTTTAAAATGTTGGGGAGGAAAGAGAGATTATGTTTTTAAATTTGTTCCAGAAAATAGAAATAATTCATTGCAACTGCAACGAATATCTGATAATAAATATACGAAATATATTGAGAAATCGGAAAGGATGATTTATTTCAAAGCAAATAGCACCACAGTTTTCAAGGGAAATGGTAATAAACTTATTATATCTGTGGATATAACAGTTGGGAATATACATAGAACGCCAGTTTTTTTCGAAATCAGAATTAACGCACCTGAGATATTTTATGTAAATCCCGATTTGGGTATTTTAGATATAAACTCTTCAAGGAATGTGATTATGATGGTTCAACATGATTTTAATTCGTTCACATTTCAAGCTTTAATCATGGAAAAGTTTTCGGTAATTAGTCTGCAATTACCAAAACTAAATATGTCTGACAAAGAATTGTATGATATCTGGCATAATTGTCCAATTTACAAAATTGAGGAGTATGATCTGAAATATCTTTTAAATGAAATTCAAGATGAAAATATCACAATCATGAGTTCTATTAATAATCTTCGCATGAGCAACCAGGTTATCCAGGAGCAATTAGAAATACTGAAATTATATCAGTTTCTTACATTGCTAGTTGTAGTTTTTGTATCTTTTGTCGTATGTTATCAATTTGTATTCTAATTCCTGGAAACTGTGTATGAACGTAATAAATTTTACACGATAGCTTTCGAAATCAATGAATAACAGATGATATTATCTATTTATTTATTAATTACTTTGAAATTACTGACCTGTGCACAATATTAATATTTTTAACGTCACAAGCAACAGATAACGTTTCAGAGCGATCATCCTCATTCAATGTATCTTTCTGTGATTCGATGAGTGTTGTCAATGTAAACACGTGGCACTAATCTGTGGACAAACAATTAACATCATGATAATAAATTCCAAGCAAAGATTTGAGAATCAGTTTGTCTTGATAATTTTCTTCTTTAGTTCTTATTACGTAAACTTGAGTCCGATATTAATTTCGAAGTTTCTCTGTATCTTTGTTATGGTTTAAAAGGTAAAGTCCTGTGTTTGAGAGGAAGATTGTCGGACGGACAATACACAACGTTGGCACTCTTTGAATACGGATCTTTTAAGAAGATCTTTTTTATATAAGTTAAAGTTAATTAAATTTTGTACAATATTTATGGGTTTTATAATGATCTTCAGAGTGACAAATAGAACATTCAACAATACATCAGGATGCCAAAATACACTTTTTTTTGCCACAATACTTTTATTTTGGCCTATAGTGGCAAGTGTTTTAAAGAAGAAACTGTTACCTGACTTACCAGATGTGAATATATATGTTCAACTCTAATGAGATAAGATGGAGAATGTAAAAAGTTTCTGTAATTGTTTAAGTGATTGTCTGGTTCTTTATTATTTTATTTGATTCTACGTCTGCAATGCTTTTTCTGTCAAAGTAAATTATCATTGTTACATATATTACATAGGTAAAATACGTATAATAGCGTTTCCACTATTGTTTTATATTTATTTCAAAATTATCTTTTCAAGGTTAAACTGTTAATCTGCTCCATTATCTGATAATAATATTTATCTGACTTGTCATGGGTGATTCCTATTAGCAACAATAACAAATAGGTATTTGGTAATGCGAACGAATTGTGCATTGTGCTTGTGCCCGGCGACTACGCTCGGGTTCCCGGATACCACCCCCACATGCTATACCATAGCTGGTATACCACATACTTACCAATACACCAAATCAAAGTGTGGGCTGGTAAAGGCCCACACTTTGATTTGGTCAGTGATCGATCACTCACTGAGTTAGGACCGTTAGCGAAAAACAAAATTTGCTTGGACAAGAAAAACTGTGCTTGCCTTATTTTTCAGCAAAAAGAAAACTATAGTTTTTGTATACAAGGGATTACAAAGTTTGAATTAAAGTTACATACCTAAAATTGCTTTCAAAATACCCGATTAAAGGCACGCCTGCTTTTAACACTAATTAAGTGCATGTAACAAAGAATTTAAAATTTGCGCGCTCGACGTCAATGTAGAATGTAATCAAGAATTTGACATCTACAAAGGAAAAATATTATAATGTAGGAAATTCGGTTTTATTAACTTAAGGGAAAAGTTCATTTTATAAGTAGGTATTATATTGTGTATATCATAATATAATTTATTTTATAAAATATACAATAAAAATATAGCCCAACCAAGTTATCGCAACGTAAGACAATGATGGAGGTCTCCTAACAAATAAGTTTTTTATTACTAAAACTGTTTTATTTTTTCATTTTATTTAAGGGAAGACCCTTAGTAAAATCAGTGATGTAATGAATACTACTTTACCGAATACGTTATATTATAACAAGCTAATAAATAAACCCACTCTTATTCTTTAATCAATCAGTAAAATTTAACACTGACAATATTTTGTTCAAAAAGTACAATATTTGTAAGATGGATGTTTAAAAAGACAACCATCTCTTAATCTCTATTTGACTTTGCCGTCTGTTACAGTTATCATATTTTACAAGGTGTTTTTTATTTTCTCTCAGCTCAGTTTTTCAACAGATAGTTTATAATATTCTATGAACACGAATATACGGTAAATGGGTTCTGGTTGGCGAATACGAATTACTTCACTGGTTAAAGGTTGTACAGTACTCTTTTAATCGAAATGAGGTTTAAGTACGACCGATATGAGGTCGGTGTCGGTGGTGTAACGTGACCCAGTACACGCTGCGCCTACGATTTAAATCGGCCCATTATTCAAGGTCTCGACCAGATTGGCGGCCTTTCGCATTACCAGACTTTAGCCGATAATAATAGGTGATTGATTAGGCAATAATATTATTGAAAAGTAGTCGACTGATTTTGTCCACAATAATAAATTTCTACCCTCATGTTACATTGGACCCTTTAAAAGAGTTGCGAAGAGACTTTTTAGCAATCTGGCAAGATTTGACTTCTGACAGATGTTAGTATTATTGGACTGAATAGCAGAACATGAGGTTATGCAACTACGGTTAAACAAGGTACATGCCTATAAAATATATACCTATAATTAAATGAAAAAGCGCTTCAATTAAATCAAGACTATTATTAAACTTTCAGAATCCATTGCGGTTATTTGAATATTTTGTTGCTGTGTGCTATTTCCGGGAATTATATGTAAATACATATAATTTCCGGAAAACGCAGGGTCTGGCTATAATATTTTTGATCACCCATCCGATGAATAGCTTTTACGTAAATTGTTTTACTGCGCAATCGCAGACCGATCAGGCCATTCACTTCGTCATCGAACGATACAATTGAACTTCATAATTCAATGTCATAATTGTAAGTAGGTTCATATATATACAATTAATTTAAAGGCTTTTTCTTACATAGTTCACGGTATTTTTATTAAAGGGTTTTTTTTATAGGAAATCTTGCCCGGTACCATATACGTTAATTAGTATGAAGTCCTTAGCACGAAAAATCTAAAAAAAAATGACGAAGAACAACAATACTTCTTTGTGTGATGAAAGAAAATGCTTTAGCACTGCTGTATTTTCCGCCTTTCCAGCGTGGATTTACGTGGGCTCTGTTTACGCACTCTCACAAGGAGGGCTAGTCAATTTTTCATTTCTACTTTCTTTCTTCGATAGGCAAAGGACGGAAACATGTCAAAGGTCTCTCAGTCACCCCATTTAGATTTTTGAGAGTAAAGTTTGATCTCACAGCGGATCCGGAGAAAACTATTTATCAGAACTAAAAGTACTCATATAATATCGATCAAACTTCACTCGCTGAGTTCATTTAACAATATATAAGATAACATTCCTTTCAAAATTCTAATGGTAAATAGCTTCTTCCTAATATAGTGTAAAAAGGGATTACGACTAAATTTGTATTTGTTTGTCCGTTAGGTAGATGATTGAAAAATATTAAAGACGTATTTTTTTTCCTAATCATAAAATTCCGGCGATACATTGAAGCAAAATGTCACATGACGTCACGCTTTTTTACATTTTCTACAAAGCTGTGACGTAACGAGCCACCCAGTTCTCAACTTTATTCTTAGCTATTTCTTGTTAAATTGAAGTTATAAAAAAATACGTATCTAATATTTTTCAATTATCTGACTGACGGTCTAAATGCAATTAAGTACAGGAACGCTTGGTTCAAACTGTCTAGACAAGAAGAACTACCTATCATTACAACTACATATTAATATTGTAATAGATAGCATTATAATATCTGTGCTATATGTTACTTAAAAATAAGTGTTACGACTTAAAGATTTTATACTTATGGTTATGAATAAAGACGTCATTCAAAAACAATTAGGTAGGTAGATATTTTCGCGATTGAGCAAGTATGTAGTTGTCAACTATTTATGCGTTTGTGCTAAATCATCTTTTCATTATGCATATATGACGTGGTGACCTTAGATTTTAAGTGAACGTTTCGAAGTCGGTCGGTAGATTGGTCGTCTTTAAAGGTCTCGTTGTTTTTTTTTTTACACTATATCAGCATGCAACTGCGTTTTGCGAAAGCTATCTAGGTATAATAACCGTCTATCAAAATGGATGACAATTAAAATATCATTATACAATTTCCTTATTTTATATGGAAGGTATTAAATTTTTCCCTATCCACTTTGCTCGTATTCGTTTTAACCGGTAGATACTCGTAAAACTAAATCTAATAATTTTTTTACAGAATAGTAATGCTAATTCTATTTTCATACTAGTGAAGCAAGTTTTCGACATAAACCATTTCATACAGCTGATTTGGTTTCGCGATATTATTACAAGACAGTTACTTAAATATCTCAAACTTTGTCATGATGAAATTAAACTTTGCACTCGGCTCTAAGAAGTAACCACCTATTATTTTTTTATTACTCCACTGCTCTTATTGCATATTAAATGTTAATTGGATTTCGAGACTTCCTAATAAGTAGGTAAATGTATTACTGCAAAATATCGTGTGTTATAAACTTTTATATTAACTAACTTAAATTAAAAATCTTTTAAAGTATTCCATTGTCACATAAAAGAGGTTAACTTTGATTTATATTAAAGTCTAAGTCTTAGACTTTAAGATAAATCAAAGTTAACCTCTTTGCAAAGTTAAGCTTAGACTCTAAGCTAAACTTCAATTGAGTCGGGTATATTGAACCTACAAAAATATATAATTGTGAACCGTCTTTTAGACGAGTCTACCTATTACTTTCAAGTATTCGATGTCGATTATTTTTTTAATATTTTTATTGTATTATATAATATAATAGGTCAAAGGCGAAAGATCAAATTCTCAGTTCCAACAGTTAAAAGTTCACTGGTTAAATAAACTATAACAATCTTACACCACGTTTTTACAATGCAATGATTAATAATATTCCAAATATAGTTACGACGTCCAACTATAATATAAAAACAATGTTAAAAGAATGGTCAAACGTTTAATTATGATGTATGTGATAAACGTACATCCTAGTATTATACTACTTATATCAAATTCGTTGTAGCAATGCAATTAAATAATTAGATTTTCTTCTCTAATTGAGTGTGTATGTTTTTATTTGTGTGGCTAATAAGTGTTTATTGTGTAGTTGTACACCTGTTTCAAATAGGTCTTATTTTTGCAAAAACATTTTGGCTCTCTTGTGTTTATTAATCGCTGTCTGTTTTTATTTCTCTGGAACATCACTTCCAATATTTAATTTTTACAGTAAATAGGAAGGCACTCGCTCCCGTAATACAGTTCAAACTAGTTAGGGAGACAGGGCACAAAGAATATTGTACTGTTATTGGAAATAAATTTATTATTATTATAGGTAAGATCTCTTATTTTTAAGAAATAGAATAGAAAATTAAGAACATTATCTTTCTTTAATGTACATTACTTCAAAATCCACCTGCTATGAGGTTAGGTTATAGGATATATGGCCAGTAGTACAATCATCCATTAAGGTTTAATGACGCCTTTAAACTCTAATGGGTGTAAAATTTGTATGGGTAATGTCGTCTTAAACTTATAAAAATTTTAATTGACGTTTGTGCAACTGGCAGATAGTATAGCACTTTAAGTGCAAAATTGATAAAACAGTAATTAACGTTATCTTTGTAATTTTTACATAATCAAATCACTAGATTAACGTTAATTAAAATAGTGTTGTTACTTTGAAATCCCCCATGATTGTGCTTAGGTAAATGATTATAGGTAAATACCTACGACTTATACGTTACTAGCTGTTCGCTTTCGTAAATTATAGCCTATGTCACCCTTTTATGATGAATATTCCCGTAGGTGAATGATTTTTTTTTAAATACTCCAATAGTTTCAGAGCCCAAACGCAAAAAAAAAAACTTTTTATAATCTTTGCATAAATTATGTGGATTAGTACAGCCGCACGTAAAAACCCACTAGCAAACATAAGCCTGCTGAGCGATGGGAGTCATAATCACGTCTACTAATCACGCCAACGCGCCATAGAGTTCTTTAACATTACTCGCATACCTATTCCAATTTTAAAAATTACGTCATATCTTTAAACTTAAAAGTCAAAAAGCTTCCAATTTGCTTCAAGCAATTTATGTTACTCCAAGAATCTCGCAGGAGTAGATAGCTAGCATCAGCTATACTTAATATTATAAAGAGGCTGTCCGAAAATACTGACTGATATTCTTTCACGGGAAAGAAGGTTCACGTGGGCTATTGCTCACGTTTTACTAAGTTAAGGGATGGTTTGGTGGAGTGTTAGCTATGAAGAAGTGACCGAGCCATATTTTTGGGAAAATGACATCAAAACATCAGCACAAGTGTATCAAGATACCATTGTCGAGAAAGAAGTTAAGACCCTAAACAATACCATGTTTAATAACCGAGAATGGTTCTATTAGCAAGTCTCGGCGCCAGGCTCCGTACTGGGTGTACGTTAAAAATCTTGGTTAAAAACGAACATTCAGGACTTCATCGGAGCTCTCAACTGGCCGTCACCGAGTCGAGATCTTAATCCGCCGGATTATGATTTATGGTCAGTTTTAAAGAGTAAGGCTTGCGCTTAATGCCATGATAATTTGGAGTCCCTAAACCAATCCATACGATTGGCAGTTAAGACTTTTCCTTTGGAAAGAGTGCGTGCGTCGATTAATAACTGACCTCAACGTTTAAAGAACTTTATTGCTGCTAATGAAGAGCACTTCTAATAAGCTATCAATATTTTTAATGGCTTTATATTAATGTATTAAACTAACACTGCTATAAACAAATGTTAATTTTCTATGTAACAATATTTATGGCAAGACTTTGTATAGGCGAAAGTTTGTAGGTATGGATGTTTGTTACTTCTTTAGACAAAAACTACTAAACGGATTTTGATGTTTGGTACATAGGTTATTCTAAGTCTGTATTAATATACAGCCTATGTTTATCCAACTAAACTACTAACACGTGGAAGAAGTTGGGGACAAAAGCTAGTGTATAATATTGTTAAGTATCGTTTATTGTAAAAGGCCTAGGCTAATAGAATTCAACGTAAAACGAAGACATAAGCGTTATATATAATAAGGTTTGATGCTATTCTGAGATCGTTGTGTCACTCACTATGCAAATTGAACTGCGTGACTCAGTGATCGAAGCCTTATTCTAAACGTGTTTTACTTTGCACCTAAGGTTGCCTATATTTCCTCAGCGTAATATAATATTTTCCAAAACAATCTATAAAAAATATTTTACATAAAAATATATGTGCTGTTCTAGATTTCAGTACTGCAAACACACCTAGTATTTTTGCGTACTTATTTATACTACATAGTACGCAGACCCAAAATAAAGAACAATATTATTAATTAGGATAGTTTAATCTTCAACTGATGCTTTTTAAATTATGTTTTTAATATTAAAGTGTACAGATTCCAATAATTGATCTGATCAAATGTCAAATTGACAGGTAACTGACTAATAGAAATTCCCGTATATTTAATACTTTGTGATGCCTATAGCATAGAAACCTTTTTCTCTGGCAACCCTATTTACACCATTTTCGTTTGCCTTTACCCAATTTGCGCTCTTATGTTAATGAACGCAAAGTTTCCTTTGGTACTTTTTCATTAATTTGTTTAATTTTGATGAAGTTAACATAGTGACATGTCCACACTATTTGTCTATCAGTCGCCAAGAACAATGTTCACTAAAATCGCTTACTACGCCTGACCTGTTCTGCTTACCCACAACGTTGTTGTTGCATTGTGAAACGTTTTGGTGTTATTTTCACATTCACACTGTCTGGTTTTTGCCGTTTTGAGCAACTTCAAGAAAATTGAAGTTATTTTTTTTGAGAGAATTTGGAATCGGACATTTTGAAGGAGGGATTATAACGTGATAATTAATATCAATGGCTCATACCTTTGGCTCTGTACCATGTATATGTATGTATATAAAACTCGAGAAATTGTTTAAAATAACTACTTTTACTTTTGTTTTCATATTGCAAGGTTATATTGCAATTAATAAATAAGTTTTTTTACAGTTTTCATATGTGTATTTAATTGTCCACTTTTGCTGCGATCATTTAGTATAAAAGTTCCATGTTATTCATCTCAGCATCGGGTTGGTTTACTTCAAGATAGGCTAAACTTAAGAACTCATTGAATCACTCTATTAATATCCACATCTAAAAATGTTACTTAAAGTTTTCATTATGATGATTCATTCTTTAAAAAAAAATACAAATTAAATCAATATACTATTAAGAAGAATGAATATAAAAAGCAGAAAAACTCTGTGTAAGAAATCAAGGAGTCGTAGGCGGTAAAAAGATGTAAACGAGTGAATCAAATATTTCTACTTACTAGTAAATCACCTGAGAAATACAAAGTAGCTCTGAAGAGAGCAATGCTCGGTATTACTCAGCGTGACCGCAAGAAAAATGAATGGATCAGATAGAAGACAGGTCTGAAGTGTCATCTCAATAAGTGCTAAAACTAGGTGGATATGGGCGGAAAATGGGGCGCGCATGGTTGATAGTAAGTAGACAATATGACTTCTGGAACGAAAACCACGTGCTAATAGCGTTCGTCGCTGTCCTCCCACGAGACGTACGACGGCGACATTTGACGCGTAGGTCAAAATTGAATGTCTGGTAATAATGATGCAATTATTGCAGATGAAACAGGTGATAAGATCTCCTGATATGTAAGGACATGGAAGACGCGTAAGTTCAATATTGAACACGAAACGACTGCATATGATGATGATGATGATGATGATACTATCGATTGATGATGCACATAGCGTTAAAATTCTGTTGTATGATATTATCGACTGAAAATGAGAATATCGACGTTAATAAAACAAAGTATCGACAGCTTTGTCATAGGCGTCACATTCGAAAAGTTTTTCACTGATCGAAATTTTTGAAATCGAAAAGTTACCTTGTACTGTAACCAAGGTTCAGAAAAACCTAACTTATAACGATCAGTTCGCCTAACTCATTATTTTTATCTACTGAGAATATATTTTTTTATTCGAAATGTTTCCCGTTAATAAATTATTGAGGCGCAAAGGAAGATAGAGTTAGTTATAATAATCCTACAAATTTAATAAATCTCATTAAAATCACATACATTGTCGGTGTTAACATCATACCTGTAAAGTTGTTATCACAAACTTACTTTTGCAATCGATTTGGAACTTTTTCGTCTTATTATTAAGGCTCATAATCAATCCTACTATGTGATTTTAAAATATCATAATTGCTTTATAGAAAAATATAAAGAAATTATCATTAACCTTTGAATTTTATAAACGGGTCATATTAAAAGAAGTACATAATATCTTTAAAACAACTTTTAGTAATATATATAAAATAGGTATTTAACTGGAGAACATATATCCTCATATCGAATTTATTTATCCGCTTCTATGACGCACGACATATAATTAAAAAAATGATGACGTTTTATTGCTTTCAAGACAAATGTGAGTTTTATAAGAATATCCAAAAGTTCGAGTGACTATAGAATGCACTCGAATAATCCTTATGAACACTGGAATATCAAGCAAATACTTCTCTAAAAGCGAGTTTTATCACGGAAAGTGGAAATACGCTTAAATAATCTACAGTTGGGGACAGGAGCGGGATAAAAGGATAATAAATTAGTTTTAAAGACATATATGTGCCTAATCAAATAACCGGCTAAGAATAAGTAAAAGTCAAATATTAAATTTGAAAACTATAGAGATTCTCTTGTTATATATAAAGAACAATATTCCGACTTTTTATTCAAAATTTTCCGAATGGTCCATTTCGTCTATATGAAAATAAATTGAAATCCTCACTATAACGTCTTTAATATGTCACTTAACATTCTACATATATCTTTTTTTCTATCTCATTTATTTTGGCTACATATTTATTATGTATGTGTAAAACAGGTTGTATTGCATGATGACTGTGTTATAAAAAGTCTAAACGTTCATTTTAGTATTACGTTTCCATGTATAATTTATCGCTGTTATTTAACAAACTTGATTACATAGCTAAATAGCATGAGAGCTGTGCGAATATAAACATTTTATTATATTATCATACAAATAACTCATTGAAATCGTTAAAATGACTTTTACCTATAATATATTTCTCCATGGTGTCTTACCAAAATATACTAATAAGCAAGTGTGAATCATCACTTCAGTTACGAAAGTTCTTCATCAAAGATTACCATATCTATAAACACATATCTAATTATATACCGTATTTGAATTCACGATGATGACATACAATCATAATAATGATACTTGCCTTAGCGTTTAACTATTGACAGATTATACACTAACAACGTTTTGCGAACGTAACACACAATATTGCACCTTATCTCTGCGATGTTTGTAAACAAATTTCACTTTTTATCAGGTCCGAGCACATGTTGCCGAGTAAATGTACTTTTAGCACTAGGTTTGAGCAGCGTGCTGCACGCCGTGGTGTCTACTCACAACTGGTCGCCAATGCCTGTTTGTTTTCTCGCAAGGACTTGTCTCATAGAACGTAACTTAAGCCGTAACACTTGTGCAATGCCAAATCAAAAACATTATATTTGATAAATGGTTATTGTTAAAATATATTTTTAATCTTATGCCAATACATATTATACACTGATTGCTGCTTTATGCTAAGTCGTATTACGAAATGCAAAATATTTTTTTAAATACATATATGGTTGGGCATCTAAGCGTGAACGCGAAGTTTCCTTTTTACAAATTAAAATTTATCTATTCAGTACTTCATCTTGCACCGCCCTCTTTTTGTTTATTATTTCTTTCGTCATGGGTTGCCTGGAAGAGCTAGCTACGTAGCAATTAGGTCGCCCTTTGTATTCTCTTCTCTCTCTTTTTTACCCATATCATCTTTTACAAAAAAAAAATTTCTCGACTTATTCCTACTTTTTGTAATCTAAAATAAAACATTACATACTTCTGACCAACTCAGATGATCATATGAACGCGTGCCGTATTTGTCATTCCATCAAATCAATCGTTCTCATCCGGCCGTGATAAAAATCATTATCTTCGTCAGAGATTGGACCAATGAGTTGGACACGCTGAGGAGGTCTTAACAAAATACTATTTTATTGTGATTCCGTATCAAGACGATAAGATTTACTCAGTACGTCGTGAAGAATTTAATTAAGAAGCTATTATGTATGAAGTGTAAGCAGGATAAATGCTAAAAAGTTTCATTTTTTATCTTTAACTCTTTAAGGTTATTACCTATAAATAGAGTATCAATACTCTTGATGATAATTTCAATTGCAATGATCACGTTAAACTGAATTGGGTCTTCTCATCAAAATCAATATTTATTCTATTCAATTATTTAGCTATTTCGTGTATGTTATGATAGTATTGACCCTTGAACTGACCTTCTCAACGCTGCCTTGAATTTAGTTTAGAGATATTTAGCGCATAATATACACTTCTTTGGATATACATTTGCACTACGCTAATAAAAATATTTTTAGAACGTCTTATGTGATTTTTTTATGTTCTAAAACATAGGAAAGTTTTGGAGAAGCTCTTTGTCAATTGTATGATTTAAATGAAAACATTATCCATTGAATCTTTTCCATTGCGTCGTTTTTTAGAGATAATAATGAAGCCTTTGTTGGTGGCCTTCACTTCAATTGGTGGTCACTTTTATTTACTATTCACCTTGCGCCTAGGAATATTTCTTAAGTTGTTCTTAAGTACATAATAATTTGTGACATTATATTACATGAATATTGTTTCTGAATAGTTAATTACAGTCATTTTAGTCACACTTCGAAGAAATAATGAAAATAATATAAAATCTGTATTCTCTGATTCATGTGCAATGACTAATTGTTTTGCGTATTTTAGTGCTAGCTCTAGTCAGAGTTAAATAATGTTTAAACTACTATTTATGGATTAATTTATATCTGCCTCTCAATTCATAACTTGGAATTCATCATTATTTATTGCATCATATCCATGCTTTGTTTTGAATATCACATGAACTCTACCTCCGGCCGAATTGGGGTCTAGGGCAGCTGTTATTAGCGTTCTGCCTACATTAAAGTTTGTTAAAATGAAAAAAAAAAATAGATGTGAAATAATTACATTACGTATGTTTGATACTTGTATTTGTCACACATAACCCAATTGTCCGCGAACTACCATAAAAATCGAGCATCTATAACTAATTGGCTCACATGGTATTGCGCAATCGTGAAAGTGGACTATTGTAATTCATCAGTTACATTGACTGACGCAGGTGTGACAAGCATTCAGAGTGATCTTTTAACGTTCATTGTATTTAGATTTGGCTAAGTAGTTGTCGGGCACGAATGGACATCGCTAAAGTAATTGGTGCGTCTATTAGTTCCGGTGATTCTCTACAGTTAGATGTTTTGATATTTCTTCTAAATATTGGCGCTTGATTAACTATGCAATACCGAAACACTGTTCACGCAGATATTTTGCGATCCAGTTTTATAGCGAGAAACCGGTTTTCTGCTTGATACTGCAATTCTTTTTTTACAGAACGTAATGGAACACCTACTCTAACAAGTTATGAGTACAGAGGCTTTATAACAAATATGATTATTTGGTGTAAACTATTTAACACGATCATTTGTTGGTTTGGTAGATATTCAGCCAAAATACGAATCTAATCATTTTATTAAGTTTCTTGAATACGAAGTATTGCTGTAACTGTAAAACTATGATATTTATCAAGCAACTTCCACACCTAGTCACATGTACAAACCACCACTCTAAACGTGTTCCACCCCTCCACGGAGCATCCTCAAGAGCTGTTGTGTACGGGCGGTGCTGTTGTAGACTAGATGTAGATGTTTGCTTCTACAAAACAATGCCGGATTCCATAAAATACCGTATTGCTTTTTTTAGTTTATTTGATTTTTTGTTTTTGCAGTTGACGGATATAGTGAATGCTATGTCATCTCGTGGCGAGCTGCCACTGGAATTGGCTCTGCGCGGGCGCAGTGCCTCTATAGCGACGACCTTACTGCAGCACTGTGCCGACGCAGATGCGCGCGGTCCCAGAGGACGTACGCTATTACATAGAGCGATAGACGCGAGAGATGCATTCTCCGCCAAATTCCTCGTCGAAAATGGCACTGACCCTAATCTTACTACAAAGTGAGTATGATATCTGATTCAAGGCTGGGCGTAGAGACAAAAGAGTGTCCCTGTCTATCGATTTGCTTTTTGCACAAGAAAAAAAGTCCAGACTTTTGGGATAAAAATCCGTGCATATTATTCGCTCACCTATAGATTATCATCAACTATAGTGACGGTGATAAGAGAAAATAGCACCCAAATTTTTTGAATGGTAATTTTTAACAGACTTTCCCTCAACTGATTTATTTATTAATATATATTTTTAAACATAAGCTTTAAAACTGCATTTTTGCCGGATTCGTTTTGAATGATTTTATTAAGTAATGGAATTTCCTAATTCAAACAATAACGCATCGATGGTTATGAGGTATTTGAGATTCGGTTCATAATCGTCCATTAAAAACTTACAGCCAATTTACCCAACGACTCTGCAGTGTAACACGCCGTTGGCCGCCAAACTGTTCCACTAATCTTAAAGTGTTAAAAGTAGGATGTTGAGTAATTTACTTGATAACTCAATGATCGCATGACGCATGGAATTTTATTTTAATACAAGATTGTGGCGAACAATGAATTCGTAATCTCATAGCTGGATAGCGATTTCCTTGTTCAGTCTTGTTTATTTTTTATTAAACTTGACAGCAGTCTATTTATGTATTATGTAATTGTAATTATGAAATAGTAGGTAATAACTATATGCACAGTGACACCAACACCAAAATATCTGAACGCGTTACGTACCTACCTCCGACCGGGCTAAAACGAACATAAAATCTTTTTTAATTTAATTTTAAAGCATAAAAACGTGTTCAAGTTGCCGAAACACTTATAGGTCCTTTTTCAAACAGAATACTATTATAATACTTAAATCGTCGTTCGTCTCGTAGAGAGGAAAGTGACACTGCTCTTCACCTCATAGCAGCACTCACATCAAGTTCCTGTGACGAAGACACCATGGATCAGATGGCTGAAATAGCTGAAACAATGATCGAGAAAGGTGCTGATATAAATAGACAAAATAGGAAAGGATTGTGAGTATAATTCTAAATGAGATTTTATAATTACTTTCATTAATATGAACAAGCAATTGAATTCACTTAAACGTTTTGACACATGAGCGGGAACAAAGCGGCGCTCACCGTCAACACATCGTGTGGCAAAAATGCTTACTGGTCGTATTGGGATAATTACTAAAAAACTGAGTTGAAATGTCACATCACGTCTAGATTTTCTACATAGTTGTGACGTAGTGAGCCCCCAGTCTTCAGTTGAATGTATATTATTTAAGTAATATTTTGTTTACTTGAAGCAAAAAAATTGTATCAAATTTTTCGACTGACGACCTAAAATAGATTTTTTTACACATGCATCACCCCTGTTCTATATCCTATTCCATAAAGATATCGAAAAGTTCCTAATAATAAGACTTGGTAAAATGCTTTGTTTTTTTATAAATGAAATCAAAATCAAAATTATTTATTCAGTCTAGGCTGTTACAAGCACTTGTGATAGTCGAGAGCTACGCCATCGGTTCGTAAATCTACGGCGGGAGACCTTGTACCGAGAAGGCAAGAAACTCGGCAAGGGCTGCTTTTTTCTCCCCGTTTTATTTCAAACATAGCGTCAAGATAGAAAAATGACTCCATTAAAATGTGAAGTCACTTTCCATTACAATATTAGAAAATATAAAAGTAAAACAGTATTTACGTCAATCGAATCACATGTCTACTTAAACAAGCTCACCGATAAATAATGTAATATACATAAAAATAAGCCATATTTTACACCAAGCAGTTTTGTCGTTTAAATATTCATTTACAGTATAATATCCTTTACTGAGTAGACAACTTTTAATATGAGTTTTGAATTTAGGCAAGGGTAGGTTTAAAATTTCCATAGGAATTTTGTTGTTGTAGTGTATACCTTGACCCATAAATGTTTATAGAACCTTATTTAACCTGCATGACGGCAAAACAAGTTTATCATTGTTTCTAGTATTAAAATATGTGTACATTACTATGTTTAATGTTATTTTTAATATTTTTTTCTAACATAAAGTATGCAATTGTATATCAACTGAGAGGCATCAGTTAATATCCCAACTTCTTTGAATTTATCTCTAAGTGATGTTCTTGAACCCATAAATAGCCCTTACTGCTCTTTTTTGTAAAATAAATACAGACTCTATGTCTGCAGCCATACCCTAAATCAGAATGTCATATGACATACCGCTATGGAAATAACTAAGTATACTGTCCTAGTAGTATCTACATCTGCCAGTTGCCAAATTTTTCTTATTGCAAAGGCAGCTGAACTAAGTTTTCCTGCCAATAATTAATTGAAACCCCATTGCAATTTAGAGTCCAGTGTTACACCCAAGAAGATTATTGAATCAACCAACTCGAGCTTTTCATCACTAAGTTAAGTTTCTGTTAGTTCGGCTTTTACATTAGGCAACAAAAAGTTTATACATTTAGTTTTTTTAGCATTTAACTGGAGATTATTTAAAGTAGACAGGTCATCTGTGAGAGAGTATTGTTTACATCGTCAAAGATATTTTTACATCTATCAATATTATATATTAAAGAAGTATCATCTGCAAACAATATTATTGACGATGAAATTAAAAATTACAACTTACATTAATTATATTCGATCAATTTTGCATTTACAATGCTAGACTGAAAAATATTCTTAATGAAAAATGATTAAAAATCCACTTTGTTCTTATTCATTTATTTATATATTTTCTATTTAGATCATCATTTACAGGTGTTTTTGTTTTATAAATAATAATACGGTTTGAATTGACACCTAATACAATGTATTATTCTCCACTTTATCCATGGCATTTTGAGATGGCACTTGAATCCATGACCTTTCGCAATCCGGGCTACTACTCTAACCATAGAGCTACCCAGGACCTAACAGGACTGACGAATTTTTCAAGACTACGGAGAGTATTTTCATCAATGTTCAGGCAATATAATAAAAATAATATATACAAGTTATATGTTAGTTATATACGTCACTAATTTTAAGATAATTTTGAATCGATTTTCCTATAGACCGTTGTTTTTTCAGTACACCTCTACATCAGGCGGTAATAGCGAGAAATCAAAGGATATTCGACCTTCTTCTCAAACAAACTACATTGGATACAAACCTCCGGACCATTACTGACGAACACCCGCCCTTGTACTACGCACTAGTTGACGACAGACGCGCCTCTATCTCATCAAGCGAGACTTTAGTCATGAACGGGTCCAATCCGTTCGATACACCGGTGACGAATAAAAATGCTTTTACTGAGGATCCAGTGGAAGGCAAAACGGAAAGCATCTTGGAACGAGGATTTGCGGCGAAATTGCTGCAAAAAGGTTGTCAACCGAATCCTGTTTACTCCGGCTCTGGCGACAGTCTCTTACATATTTTAGCTCAGGGATGGTTCGAAGTAAGTTTTTTTTTACTATAGAACAAAACAGATGTGTAGTTAAGTTTTTTTTTTCATCGTTGAATTCAAAGAGAACTTTAGGAAAATTATTAAGTAGAAAATTATTAATTTTGAAATACTAGAATCAATATATTGTTTTTAAGTTTTATATTTATTAACATCAAAGTATTGATTATTTTACTCTTAATGAAGATTACTACTATATGCCTCATCGTTATCAAGTCTCGATATTGTGGTTCTGCTGGAAGCACTATGATCACAGATTAACTGACTTACGGGTGGATTGTTTTGAAATAACTATACGAAACTTTATTTGAAAATTCCTAATGCATGTTTAATTAACTACACTCCATTTATGACAACATTAGAAAAAAGAGGATCATACAAGCAGAAGTACAAAACACTTTATTTACAAGACAAATAAAAAAATAAAAAATAGTTTTGGTAACAACCAACAACATTATTATTGACCAATGTCAGACTACCTAGTCTGAAAGAACCGGGCAATTTCCCTTCTCCTCGCACCCAGGTATTGAGATGGGGCCTGGCACTTTCTGGTGCTGGTATACCTTTGATACATCAGCAACTTAAAATCATAGAGTGAACTGTAACGTCAAGCTCATATCTTATTATTACTATTATTTCCTTCAGGATAATGTATAATAATTACTTTATTATACATGTAGAATTAACAGGACAAAACAATTGATTAACAACCTTATAATAGACAATTAAATTAGTTGGATTTTATAATAAATTAAACATTATTATAAGTAAAAAACAATGTATTAAATAACAACACAACTGTTAACCACGGAAACACTTAATTACGGAAAACGGCAAAAACAACAAAAAGTAGCATTAATAACGAACAACAAAGATTACGTATTTTTGACAAATAAGAAAATACGTAATTTTACAAAATCAAAAGTCTACTGCTAACGTATGAAGGCATAAGGTAACATATTGAAATCGGTAGAGTCATAGTGAAATAAGGAACTTACTGTAACTATCCACATCTGCTTCTTTAAGTTCTTAAAGATAGACATTTTTATTTTTACGATAACAGTTAAGCATGACGGCTGATAATAAATTGATAAATAGTAAAAAAGGCATAAAATTTAACAGTAACATGATAATTGATATTTTGTTACAAAGTATGCCCTCGAAAGAACCTTATTTAACTTCTGCCTAATGCTATAGTAAATGGAGTATCTGTATCTCGCTTATATTAACAGTGCATCTTTAAGATAAGCGAGATACATATCATAGAGGTCATCAAAATATCATAGTAGTATGTTAGTATAACGAATTCATATGAATTACGTTTGACAGGACTCTGCGGTGTTCCTTACCAGCCATTTGAACGGTGAACTGAATCATTCAAATGAAGCGGGCATGACAGTGTTACACGCGGCCTGCGCTAATGGCCTCGCGAGACTCACTACTGCGTTACTGGAACATGGCGCGAGGCCAAATATGCAGACTTCATACGGGGAGCAGGAGGATACTGTATACAGGTTAGTATTTAGATCGCATTAACGACGAGGAAGATATGAAAGCTAACACTAGATTTGATCCAACGACCTCATCAGACTACAGCTTTCCTGGAACCTGGCGGCAGGCCAAATATGCAAGTTTCTCATTCTTTAACGTCGAAGAGGGATTTAAACCAATGCAATCGATCTGATCTAACGACCACGCTAATGTCACTTCTGCGTTACTAGTGCATAATTTGAATCCAAAATATAGATTAATAAGTAATTCGATACAATATGACAACGCTAAGTCAACCCTACAAAAATATACTCAATAGTTGTTAGCAAAGTGAAGATGATAAGAAGTAACCTCCGCGACTCTACGTAGTTTTTTGAAAACATATATTACTATCACTTGAATTTATATATGTTGCTTAAATGAGAAAGCATCATCAATTATAACAGCCAAGTATATTATCTTATTTGAAATAGTAATGTCTGGGCACGTACATTTATAATTAAAAAAATATATAAAGAAGAAAAGATTTATTTAAAAGCTTGTAATTCTGGGTTAGTGAAAGTTGAGTTTGGCTGGCGCATATAAAAATGAATATAATTAGTTTTGACCCCGTTCAGTGTTAGTAAATGTTGCTGAAGCGTGGTTAACAGAATGTTGCTGAATTTATTCACTAAATTTAAACCTAGCTGAGCTCTTTTTTGTACTACTTCAATCGAATTTACCGAAAATAGCAGAGCAGTATCATCAGCGTTGAAAATTATTATTTCACCAACAACCAGTTTTAAATTATAGAGATCGTTAATGTAAACCAAAAATATGGTAGGTCCTAAAGTACTCCCCTGGGGAAGGTCAAAAAAAGTAGTTTTCTGATCAGAACTAAAGACTTCACCTATTTTTACACATTGAACCCGGCCTTCCAGATAATTTTCAAAAATTTTAAGCTGAGTACCTTTTATAAGTAATGATTCAAGTTTATGTAATAGGATTGGTATCAAAACTGTGTCGAATGCTTTGACCAAATCTAGAAATATTCCCATTGTCCGATTACCCTTATCAAGTTCCTTTACTAAATAATTAGAGAGTTCGTGCACAGCACGAACACATGATAACTTCGATCTGAATCCAAACTGATTTTTCGATTATATAGATTGTTTTTCTAAATAGCGTACAAATCTGCTGTTTATTATTTTTTCTAATATTAAGTAAAAGTATCGAAATTGGTCTATAATTCGTAATCAGTTCCTTATTCACCGATATTACGGGAACAACAACTGCTTTTCTTAAACACTTCTTCCTTCAGCTAGACACTTTCGTAAAATATGGGTAAGTATTTGATTGGATATATTGTACCAACCAACCGTAGAATCATTTTTCAGGCCTATGCTGATTGTTTCTACTTCGGATTCATCGATATCTAATAGCATAAACGAATTCAATCTTTTGCTATAGGATTTTTTATCATTTATAGATGGGCCGAGCGATAGACTGTTTTTTTTTTTACTTCTTGGCCAAGCTTTTGTCTATATTTACAAAAAAAATCGTTAACGTTATATGCCGTGTGCATCGAATGTGTTTGTAATAAACTTGAAGGTGATTCATACCGTTTTGTTAAATGCGTTACGTTTTTTATACACTTCCAAATTTTTTTATTATCTGTTCCAGCTTTCGCAAATAAATAGCGAAATTGGCATATATCGAAAAAATAAAAAGTCATAACTACACTTTTCAGTACTGATTCTAGTCATATCTTATCATGCAATGGGTAATAGAATGTGTAAGTGAGTATTAATCTATAAAAAAAATATTCAGACAAACACCTCTCCACTTGGCTGTACTAAACAACCAGGAAGGGGCGGTGCAAGCAATAATAGAGTTTAAGAAACAAGTGGAAAAGGGCGAATTTCCTTCGACCGATCGTAGCAACGTCAGCTTGGTCCCTAATCTCAATCTTAAGAATTCTGAGGGTGACACACCGGTCAGCCTCGCACTAACAGAAGGTAACATAAATCAATTGATAATAGATAGAGTATTCAAAAATGCTGAACAAAACATCCGTTTTCATAGTTTCAAATCCATTACCTTTCGCTAACTTGACGACTAAGCTACTCAGTACTAAAGTTTGCTATATTTGGTATTTATCTATTAACCCATATATTCCTTTTGATTCAAAAACGAACAGTACATCTCTATGCCGAAAACTATTTTGACTTCCGACTATTGAATTTTAGAATGTTTGTCCTAATAGGTCTTTTGTGCACGCAGTAACCCAGTCACAACGTGCACTAATTGTTTATTTACCATTTATTTTTTAGATACATTTACCAAAGTAAATGTACAAGTTAATGAACTTCAACAAACATCAAATTTTGTATTGGTTTTCGAATCAAGACGCATATAAGAAATCGAATAAAGAAATAGTTGTGGGCATATATTGTCTTTTTGAGCATTTTTATATAAGTTCGCTACATTGTCTATAACACCCGGTTTCTGAATTGAGAATAAAAGTTAAGCACGTCTCAAACCATACTTAAGCTATCTTAATGGTCATTCAAAGAGGTTTTCTATACTTAAACAAGTTTACGTTTCTGGTTTTAGTTTTTATAATTATTAGCATTTTGAATAAACTAAGTCTCTTTGCTTTGTGAAACGTAAAAAAAACTTAAGTTTTTAAGAATAGTCAGTTTAGATTTTATATTTTTCTCAATTCAGAAACCGGCCGTAAGTTAGCTACATATATACATAGCCTAACACTATTATATAATATTATCCATAAAACTTCACCATCAAGTTTTGAGACGCCATTGCCCAACTAGCAAAAATATGTCGTATAGTAGTCGCGGCAACGAAAATTATTCAGCATTTTGGCTCCTAATAGAAGTCGTATAAACGTAATAAAAACGTTTATCCAACGCGATTTGGGCCCATTTTATTCAGCAATTCAGTCACATAGACATCGTATAAAGGTAACTTATTCAGGTAAATCGTCACGTAATTATCGCCGGAGTGACTGGTACAAGCTTATGTTGCGCTATAACTGTAACTTATATGACTTTTATATAACATGTTTGTCTTATTGAAGCGACCTGGGATACAAAACAGCTGAAAACATTTATAGTAAATAAAATAAGCAAGTGCTTCGACGTGTTGTGTTTTAAAAATTATAATTCATCGGTAAGTACAATTTATTTAGCAGACATGTTAATTTGTAGGTTGCACCAAATGTAGGTTCGTAAACTCACGCATAGGGTTGTAAAGTATTGCGAAGATAAGTTTTCTGAGGAAATATACTAGGTTATATCATAAATATTTAACGCCCCCCTTTAATTCTTAGTAATATGAATATAATAACTAATATTTTTATATCAATATTATTTTTGTACACCATTTTTACTGCTGACAGGCGGTATAATAGCTTCTTATACAGCAAATTAGCAGTATGAGCGCCATGATACCACTCTGATTATAGTTTAGGGTCCTTAGAACTTCCTAAAAAGTTTTCTAAAAAAGACTTTTTGTTTGTTTTTCCATTTATTCCAGTCCATTTTCGATAACTGTACACTACTCACAGCATTTTACACAAAACAATCTGATCGGTGTAATGGATACAATTATACGACATTTTAGGCTTGTAATAGTCGTATAAATGCGACGTATACTACATAATAGTAGTATAAAAGCAACAATGTTGCTTTTACTCGACTGAGCCAACCTTGCCATAAGAAAGCTATATAATATGCATTTACTCGACGACATAGTAACATAAGCGTCGTATACTAGCGACTTATTCAGCAAAATATTATATGACACTTAAGTCATATAAGGATGCTAACTAAACGTTTACTCAGCATCATTATGTGACCGAAATGCTGAATAACTCAAAAGCTATATAAGATGCTTTTATACGATACGTGCTGAATAATTCACACTTACTCGACTTTTATACGAGGGTCAAACTGAAAGTTCTTAGAACTGGCCACTTATAAACAATATAATAAAAAAATAATTCTAAAATTTGAAAATATAACTCTTTGCCAATATTACTGAGTATATATTTCATTCATTTGTCATTTGTTTTACGATTTGGCGGCAAATTGAAAATTGTCTGTGTCACGTCATCATGAATTTAACACGAGAAAATTTTCGTGCAATGATTTTTTATGACTTTCGATGTCATTTAAGTCAACAAGAAAGTTATGATAGACTACGATTGGCCTTTCACGATGAAGCCCCATCTCGTGCGACTGTTTACAACTGGTTTAATGAGTTTAAACGTGGTCGCACTAATCTCACTGATGATTTACGTGAGGGACGGCCTTCTACGGCGACGACTGAAGATAACATCTGTGTTGTGCGGCGTATGATAGAGACTGACAAAAGAGTGACCTATCAACAGATTCGGACAAGCTTAGGCATCGGTATGAGTCAAGTGCACAAAATCCTCCACGAACATTTAGCGGTCAGGAAGCTTTGCGCCCGGTGGATACCTCATAATTTGACTGAGGCTCAAAAACTCCATCGTGTGGATTGGTGTCGTAAAATGATTGAAAGATTTAACGGAGGTGACTCAAATGCTGTGTTCGACATACTAACAGGTGACGAAAGCTGGATTTACTGTTATGATCCTAAAACCAAAAGACAATCTGCTCAGTGGGTGTTTCCTTTCGAGGAGTTGCCAACTAAAGTGAAGAGAGATCGAAGTGCGGGAAAAAAAATGGTGGCCTCGTTCTTTGGAAGGATAGGTCATTTTGCAACAATTGTGTTAGAGGATCAAAAAACAGTTTCTGCAGAATGGTACACTACCAATTGTTTGCCACTTGTCTTGGAAAAAGTTCGAGAGAAACGACCTCGCAGTAGGATCCTCCTTCACCACGACAACGCCTCGTCGCACACCGCCAAGCGAACGATCGACTATTTGGCGACATCAAACGTTGAATTACTGGGTCACCCGCCGTATAGCCCCGACCTCGCGCCTTGTGATTTTTATTTATTTCCAAAAATTAAAGAAAAACTTAAAGGAAAGCGGTTTATGAATGCTGAAGAAGCGGTGGCTGCGTATCGCGATGCCATTGAAGAGACCCCTAAGGACGAGTGGGCAAAGTGCTTTTCCCAGTGGTTCCATCGCATGCAGCGGTGTATTGACGTGAATGGACAATATTTTGAAAAGATATAATAAAACTAATAACTGGCTAATGTAATCAGTTTTTGATTTTCTAAGAACTTTCAGTTTGACCCTCGTAACACCGAAAAACTGAATAAACTTTACATTATATGACTAATTTGCTAGTTGGGTGTAGAGGATTTGACAATAGTTATGTAAAAATCAGGTCACAAGAATCTTATTATGCCGCTTATTGAGGGTGGTGCTGATCCAAATATACGAAACGGGAAAGGGTTTACACTACTGCACCAAGCGATCATTGAAGAAGACTCTAGAACTGCTATTTATTTGTTAGACCACGGTGCCGACATGGACGCTCTGTGAGTATTTCAATAAATTAAATATACTATGGTTCAATCTAAGTAAACATATTTAGTATGCTCAATTTGTTTACAACTAAATGTGAAATAAAAAAATCTATATAAAGTAAAAAGGAAATTAAATAAATACATTATTGATATCTTTCCATTACCTATTTCACAATTCTTTGAGAAACCTTGTACTGTCTGCCATATTAAATTTTAAAAGAATGTTATTTAGTAAACCATGCATTCTAATCTAAACTAAATCTGCCCTGCGATTCTGTAAAACTCCAAACCCGAATTCGAATTCTCTCAGGTGTCCGAATTGACTTCAAAAAGAGGCATACGCTCAACCTTGAATTGGTAATAACGTTTCGTAGCATAAGTGAAGTGAGTTTCGAAATGATATAGGAATAGAATATCTGAGACACGTGTATTCAATCAATTTTGTTTTGTATTTTTATACAAAAAAAAATGGAATCAATAGAATATTTACACTAAATGACGTGAATTCGGACACATGAGTGAATTCGAATCGAAGGGGTCTGGATTTTTACAGAATTGCAGGGCTGATATGCAAAGTTTCATCTTAATCGGTTGAAGATAACTGCATTCAAATTCAGTTGCAAGATTCGACTAACTTATAAAGATTGCAAGTTAAATACGAGGTTGTAAAATAAATTAAAAAGTTTTTATAACTATTATGTTGTACATAGCAAGAAATAAAAACTCATTCGTTTTAGTTTGCTGTCTTTATCTTTTATCTTTTTGTCAACTAGAGGATAATGATATGACACTAAATATATTTATCTATTTATCCTATTGAGGTGATCAGTGAGAATAATTTAACTAATAACTTGATCGTGCTCTTTCCTACTCCGATATTGTAATGGTGCGTCGTACCACCGACCGTTTATTTCGTCCTAGGTATCTGCATGCAAATTTTTTGTCTTTAATCTTCAACATCATTTCATTTTATTATTCACCTTTCGTAATTTGAAATTTTTAGCAATCCAATATGCTTTTTATGAATGTCAGTTCGTAAAAAAATCATATGGTGAAAAATATAAATCTGATAATAGTGGAGTTATTATAATTTAAATAAGTAAAATGTAAACGTATATCTTCGTGAAATATCTACTAAATTCTACCTATTATGGAAAACCCAGAAACGGGATTTTGTTATTACCCTCTAATAAATCAAATTTTCAAACTTAGTCAGCCTTTTATTCATTTGGGTAAGCATCGAACCCACCATAATATCATATTAATACTACTGACCCGCAATAATAGTACTATATATTATATATTCGTCGACATACACTATATTTCTAGGGTTTTTTTCATATAAGACTTTCTCTCTAAGAACAAACTATAGAATATTCATTATAGTACAGAGCTTTTAGTGATCAAAGTCTTAAAATATGAATACTACTCAATTCTACAGAACCGAAGCAGGTGAAACACCGCTACAACTGTCGATACACTGCCGCTTGGGCTTAGTGGTGGAAGCATTGTGCGTGCGAGGCGTGGACATGAGCAGATTAGACGCGAATGGGGTACCGCCCTTATGGGCAGCACTGGACTCCGGACAAGAAGAAGTCGCTAGCGTAGGTTTAAATTAATAGGCCTTCCCTATGAATGAAATCGAATAGGGAGAATGAGCCATGACTGATGGGGTTTTAACGACTGCAGATGCAACTAGGACCAACGGCTTAACGTGCCTTCCGAAGTACAGTGGAGCTCGAAATAATTATTTTTTTCACCATTTCGAAAGTTGCTTAACAAACGTATTGTAGACCGAGCTTCTCATATCCTGTTAAGTTCAATTGAATTGAATACATTTTTCAACCTATATCTGTGACGTCAAAATTAACAATAAGTGTCTCATGGCAGAAACGCGGTTATAAGCGTATATTTGGACTATTTATCCTGTAAAGTTCAATTAAATTGAATACATTTTTCAACCTATATCTGTGACGTCAAAAATAACAATAAGCGTCTCACGGGAGAAACGCGGTTATAAGCGTGTATTTGGACTATCACATCATTGTAAAAGCGCACAGTAATAAAATTTCCTGTATTTAAAATGAAATCGTTTTGTTGAATATTACTACCATACGGAGGCATGATACACTACGAACACACACATGATATATATCCCACCTTTTCATTACTTCCGTTCAAACTCTTCTAAATCTTCCTTTTCTATTCTCCTTCTTTGACAAGAATCAACTTTTCTCCCCCAACTTAGCTTCAAACTCAAGGTTTTCAATGGGTCTTAAGTCTACAATATTCGAGGGCTGTCTTCTACTGAGATGCATCCTGACGCTTCCAACCGAGGGTTTTCTCGTCCTCAATTCATTACAATGTCGGTCAGCTCACTAACAAGTTAATCAATTTTCACAAACTCACCCAAATACAACTAAACAACTAATTTACTAAAACCAATTTGAAAAGAATGTTCACAGACAATTGTTACTATGTTATCACAGATATTAGTTAGAAACGGCGCTGATGCTGACTGCTGGGGCGCAGGACCCGACGGCTGTCTACAAACCCTCTTACACAAGTAAGTTTACATTTGCAATAGCTTTTTATTTTCAGCTTTATTCACTTGTAATTACGCCTACAATTACGTTGACGATCATGTGATCCATTGATTATTAGGTGCCTCCTGAAAAGGTCCCTTGTTCTTCTGTCACTCGGACCTGATAGGAATTGGTGCGTGTATACTGATTATGACATTATACTATCTACGATTCTTTATTATATAAACAAAGACGGGCAAACATAGGCTGTTATTAGAGTTAGTTTGATAACTAATTTTCCATTTGATGTGCAAAACCCTAAGGAAGTATAAGTTAGTACACGAAGGGATTTCCATCGAGTATATAAGGTTGAATGTCAATTCATATATTATATTTTTTGGTTCTGACGTTCAACGACCGACAATTGGCTACTTGCCTATTTTAGGAAAAGTATTTTAAAAGTTTTATATGGTCATATTAAACCACTGGCATATTTATTTTTTAATTATAAACATTTTTATTCATAAATTTTGTGTCCCGCGAAAACAATCAGTCACGTGACTGCGTGCCGTGAAGTCCCATTTCAATAAACATGAGTACTCGCAACAAAGACGTTGATATTTGGTTTATGGAAATGTGGTGTCACCGATGCTTTATCATGGCTGCACGCGTTTCAGTTCTTGTTATCTAGATAATTAATTGTAACCTAATTTTGCAAAAATAAAATATACTTACAATTTATTATAATACAAAAAATACTACATAGTTGTTGTTTACGAAAAAGTGACCATTTCTAACATATTTGATAATGTATTGTCTTAACTGTCAAGTAGCTAATTACGCGACGCATCTGTCGACAGATATGCACCGACACTAATTAGCCAGAGGGCTTGGTGTAAGTTTTTTTGATGTTTACGTTCTTCACCTTCGATCGTGAGCGCGTTAAGATTTTAGTATAGAATCCAGTACAGCGCCCCGAGCGGTAACTACCAAGAACTACAAATCTCCATACAAAGTCTTAACGCGATCACTAGAGTACGTGTTAACGTAAAACATATATTGGGTTGGCACAAAAGTAATGAGACACACTAGAAAAATCTATAACATTTCCTTTTTAAAATCAATTTTTTCGATAATATTCTAGAATGTTGTAGAACATTCTAGGTACTTCTGGTGTAGGGTATATAAAGCCGCGCTCGCGATTTGTTTAGTCAGTTTGAAGAAAAATGGACGAGCGACAAGTTCGAACACTATACTTATACGAGTACTTGTAAGGCCACAGTGCGCGGGCTGCGGCTGACAATATCAACGATGCATTAGGCGCTGGAAGTACAAGCCATGCGACGGTGTCCCGATGGTTTGACCGTTTTAAATCAGGAGACAGGAGCCTTGAAAGTCAGCCACGCTCAGGGCGACCACCCGCAGTGAATGATGACGATTTGCGCCGCGAACTGCAGTTAAATCCGGATGCTACCACTCGTGAATTAGCGGAAGCACTTAAATGCAGTCACCACGCCGTGGAACACCATCTGCATGAGCTTGGTTATCGAAAAGTTTTGGCTCGGTGGGTACCGCACATCCTTACAGACGCCAGTCTTGCAGTCCGTGTCGCTATCTGTCAGTCACTTTTGCTGCGACCCCGACGTAAAGAGTTTTTGTCAGATCTGGTTACTGGAGATGAATCATGGATTTATTACGAGAACGATACACGTCGTGCTTTTTGGCTGCCTCGAGAAGAAACGCCACCGACTCAACCAAAGCCGAGTCAAAAGAACCGCCGAAAAATTCTGCTTTGCTGTTTCTGGGATGCGCAAGGCATACTGTTTTATGAGCTATTACACAATGAAACTATAAACGCTGACAAATATTCAACCCAGCTTACCAAATTATCTGCCGCTATCAAGAAAAAACGACGAAGACGAGTCAATGTAGTTTTACTGCACGATAACGCTCGACCTCACGTCGCATCTGTGGTTCGCCGGCAGTTGGAGAACTTGGGCTGGGAGACGATGCCCCACCCACCTTATTCCCCAGACCTCGCCCCATCAGACTATCATTTGTTTAGAGCCCTGAAACAGCATTTGCGGGGTAAACAATTTAATGATTTCTCTGACGTAGAGGCGGAGTTGAACAACTTTTTCGAGGCACAGCCATCAGAGTTCTGGGCAAAAGGCATCCAAACTTTGCCGGATCGTTGGCAAGAAGTCTTAGATACTAATGGTAATTACATCATTGACTAAACTTTTTTTATTGTAATTATAATAAAAATGTAAAAACTTAAACCAAGTGTCTCATTACTTTTGTGCCAACCCGATACTTACCACTCAGAACCATAGGCGTGACGTACATTTTGAAAAACGAAAAAACTCGAGATAGTAAATTTTTGAACACCCATCTTTGTAAAAGTTACTTAACTTCCGTAGACTGTAGAAGCTCCTCGGCAAGTTTTGGCATACATTAGTGCCGACAAAGCATTCTGATGTAATATATGTTTGTGACTGTTGTAGACTCGTAACTTAAATTATTATGTATCAAAGCACTTTCGGTCAGACGCACGTGTACATGTAATGAATCATGACATTTGCTTCACTTGTTCATCGTAACGTGGGTCCATTATTGTATGTAAGAAGAAAAATGCAACTGATCAATATTCAAGTCGTTGATAAATTTAAGCGTTACGTGCTTAGAATGAAGGTGCATTATATGATGTCACTTAAAAAGTTATTGTTTAGTTTTTATGCATACACACTAAAAGTTTTACGATGCAACTCACCGCTGCATAAATAAATTAAAATTTGATATCCTTCTTTTGATTGTGAAATATTTTTCTTTGATAGAAAGTATTGGGCCTTTAGAAAGAGCCCTTGAATCTAAACTTTTAAGGCGTATTTAGAAACGTTTTTGGTAATGATATATCAGCAGAACGATTATTTTTATAATGCTTAATAATATGGTTTATTCTTTTGAGTTCTAAAGTAAATCAGTAGATTTAAACGTCAATCATACATCGATTATACTCATTATGACAATGAATAACTTTTAAAAGAGATAAAGGTAGAAAATCATTAATTGAATATTTAACAAATTATGCATTCACATTAGGTGACTTTAGACCAAAGTCATCATCACTCTATTTCTATGCTTACATAGTTCAAAATAATTGTAACAAATTTTTCAATTAACATCCGTTCAGTCACCTAATTGGTATAAATCTAGAACTGTGTAGTGTGACTTATGTATTTGTACAAACTTGAACTCTATTGCTGTAACAAAAGGTGTAAAATTGCTGACTGTCTTTCTGTATGCAGTAGCAGCATTAGATTTCATTGTTTGCGTCACCCACGTCTCGTCCGGCTTGTCTAATACAGATCTGATAGCTGTCGACGAAACGAATTTTCTTTACATTACATAAATGATTGTGACATTAGAATTCTGACGATTTGGCTCGTACTAGGTGCGGGGGTTCACATTTATCATTGCAAAGTCTTGTAAGATTCCGTTTTTTCACCTAGTTCAGCGACCTATTCGGGTCGATTGGCGGTACTTTCATACCCATACCAATTCCTTGTATTAGCAAATTGACATTTTACACATAAATTATCATATCAAACGAGTGCTATGAAATCCTAAAAACTTAACAATATTCATAAACAAATCAGCAACTATTTCCAAATAAAATTAAGTTTATGAAAATATTATGATATAGCCGTGTTGGGCCATTTGAATTGTATGGCGAGTGATATTTTATCATAAAATATCACTCGCCCTAAACTAAACAAAATTTTAAATTTTTATCTTAACATAATAGGTATAGCATCGTACCGTCTGTTACGACCTTTAAGATGATTGGTACTAATTTTAGAGCGATCGATGAAAACAAAGAATCCCTCGCCACGTTCCTGATACGGTCCGGTTGCGACGTCGAGAGTCCCCGGCGGGCGGGACCGGGCGGTGCGGGCGCGGACGTCGTCGGCGACGCTCACACTCCGCTGCATTTGTGTTGCACTTGGGGTCTGACTGAAGTCATACAAGTAAGAACAGCAAATCGATTCCGTACAAATCCGAAGCCGAGTTCGAATTCACTTCGAAAGCGTTTCCACTTAACTTATAAGTGTAGAAATTCTATTGATTCCATTTTTTTTATAAAAATACTATACAACATTAATTGATTAGTACGTGTTTCAGATATTCTATCCATATGTCATTTCGAAACTCACTTCACTTATGCCGCGAAACGTTAATACCAATTAAAGGTTAAGCGGACGTCGCTTCCGAAGTAAATTCGGACACCGAAGTGGATTCTAATTCGGGTTCGTATTTCAACGCATCGCTCTGCAGGAATGTTTATCTATATGAGTGGGGAAAATATTAACAGTGTAAAATACGTCACGGATTTGCAGAATTAACATAGATATTCTAAGCGTCATGTCATGTTAAAAATAAAAGGCCAGATTTTTGTCTGTTTATCACGTGACTTGAAACACGACCCGTAACAGTCGTCTACGACGAAGTATACTAATAATGATATTATAAAGCTGAAGAGTTTGTTTGTTTGGTTGAATGCGATAATTTAAGAAAATTTCAGGAAAAAAATTGCGTTGAATAGTCCTTTTATTGGGGAATGCTATAGGCAGCAATAAATGTTTCCAAAAACAGGAAAACCACGCGTGTGAAGCCGATGGCTGAAAGCTTGTTTATTATAAAACAGATTCCTACATGGCACTATTCTTGTCTGAATGACATCTTTTAACCTGTACACGACGTATGACGTCATGAATATAATTAACAGCAAAATTCGCGAGCATGAAAGTTAAAATTTTGATTTAATTTTGAAGCAATAAAACGAGTTTTTATTCCAAAATATATTTATTGTTGCTTATTTAAATTAATATAAATGAAAAGATTTTAAGAGCCATGCCAAACTTCGTACTATAATAGATTCTTAGATGTCAAGATATGACTAATGATTTGTTATCGTCTGTAATTTACGTTTCGTTTAAGCACATGGGTAACTATTACTTATTTGTTACGAAAAAGTGCGCTTAATCGCGTATCTGGGTGCTTCTGTGTGCCTGTCCTACGTAACACAACAAATTGTTTTACTACGCCAATATATGGTAATATTGAAAAAGTACCGATACACGTATGCTTTAAACTCGCGGCTACAATTTAGGTTTAAGGGGTGTATTAAAACAAAAGTAATAGTGATTTATCTTTTAATTATAGAAAAGTTTTGAAGGCTAGGGTTTTAAAGTCTAGTATGTGAACGGAACCCTGGGCGTTTTTCAGTTTGTTTAGATAACGAAACGAAAGCGTTTGAATTATCAAAAAACAAACACCTGTAAGTCAAACTTAAAATTACAAAATAACATTAACTATGTCTCCAATATGATATAAAATAGTTCTCTATCTCTAGACACTACTGGAGCATGGAGCCAATATAAATTCAAAGGATTCCGAGGGCAAGACTCCTTTACATATAGCCATAGAGAATCAGCACTCTGCAATAATATCGCTACTCCTATCACAACCCGGCATAGATCTCTCTGCCAGAGACAATAAAGGTGTGTCCCCATTCGCCGCTGCACTCATTGCAAGAAATAATAAGGCGGCGCAAGCGATATTGGAAAAGAATCCTTCGGCTGCGGAACAGGTATTTATTTTACTTGGTTTATTAACAGTATACTTTATTAAAAAATGTGGTTATGATAAAGAACGATAAGATTCAATTAGTTATTCAGTTTCTAGCATCCGAAAAACGGCTAGATGTAGAAGTAACAAGTGCTTAAAAAATTCGTCAGTCTTGTTAGGTCAGCTTTCGTAGGATTGCCAAAGGTCATGGATTCGAGGCCCATGTCAGAGTACCAAGGACAAAGTGGATTTTTAAGCATTTTTCAATGTAGCATTGTGAATGCAAAATTGATAAAATATAATAATCACACAGATATAAAGATCTCTGGCCAACCTTAAGTCCAAGCACTTCCAGAATGTCTTATCGTATTAATTATATTCTATTTGTGGATATCTGTAATTGGCTTATTGTTAACTATATCTTTGATTTTATTATATTTTTGTAGCTGTTGGATTATTATTATATATTATTATTAATATTGTTTAGGTGGACAAAAAAGGTCGCAACTTCCTTCATGTCGCTATACAGAAGTGTGATATGGAGAGTGTTATGTTCCTCTTGTCCGTTGAAGTGGACGTGAATTCGCGAGTCCAGGACGCGACACTAGCGCCACCATTACACCTGGCGGCCAACGCGGGAAACGAAGTATTGTTGAGAAGTCTACTCCTTGCCGGCGCTAGGCCTAATGACAGAGATGCTCACAAGTTAGTATGTGTACTATTTTTTCTAGAATGTTTTATCATATTATTTTTACCATATTACCTTATTATTGTTTTATGATATTTGGAGAAAGCGATAATCTTGTTGAGGATTAACTATTCGTTTCTTTATTTTATACTCAAAAAAGTAGTTTGTCTAACGTCCTATTTTGATTCTTGACACATTTTTTTTCTGACTGCTCTAAAACTCAGAAGCTAAAAGTTAGTGCTTAATTGCCTTCGCGGGCACTGAAACTATAGGAATTTTCCAGTATTGTTAAAGACGAATAAAATGTTATTAACGCACTGTGAATGTAAAAATCAAGCCATACTATTATGTGAACGCGAAGTACCTCTGATCTGACCTCGTAGACAATACTACGAGGGATACAGGAGTTATGTAGTGTGTGATTTCAATATTCACTTATTACTTTAGATCAAGATTCATATTTCGCTCAGCTATTAAAAAATCTGTAGTTGATTTGCGAGCACACAAGTAACTTCGATGTAATATAAACAGACGTACAGCGTTACACGTGGCAGCCGGTGCCGGTCACGCGGCAATAGTAAGCGCGCTAGCGAGCGGCGGCGCCGAGTGCGGCGCTGTGGACGCGGGCGGGGACACCGCGCTGCACGTGGCCGCGCGCGAGGGGCACGCGCAGGCCGCCCGCACGCTACTCGCCGAGACCGACATTGACGCCGCCGCTACCAACCTCAAAGGTAAAGTATGGCCGCCCGCACGCTACTCGCCGAGACCGACATTGACGCCGCCGCTACCAACCTCAAAGGTAAAGTATGGCCGCCCGCACGCTACTCGCCGAGACCGACATTGACGCCGCCGCTACCAACCTCAAAGGTAAAGTATGGCCGCCCGCACGCTACTCGCCGAGACCGACATAGACGCCGCCGCTACCAATCTCAAAGGTAAAGTATGGCCGCCCGCACGCTACTCGCCGAGACCGACATAGACGCCGCCGCTACCAATCTCAAAGGTAAAGTATAGACGCGCGCACGCACTCGCCGAGACCGACATAGCTGCCGCCGCTACCAACCTCAATGATAACGTGGACACGCGGCTGGTGTGTATGCATTAAGTTATACCGTTTGACTGTAAACCCTGTTTTCTAAAAGCTAACCTGTATATTCGATTAACCTTATTTTCAAAAAGTCTTTTAGATATTGGTTATTAAATGAAATGAAAGAGATGGGATAAATATAGAATAATAGAAGTCAAACAAATCAAAATACAGGATAAAATGCGGCGAATCAAGTTGATTTCTGTCGTTTTCTTATGTGGGACTCTCTTCTGCGAACCTACACCAGAATGGGACTAGTCAAATAGAAGGCGCATTCCCACTAAAGCTCTGCAACGTCCCTCTCCATGGAGGCGATGCACGGGGACAACCCAAGGACCAGCTCCCGCGCTGTTTACCCCAATTTCAGCCGACCCTACACGGGGTATCTTTGCGGGTTGGGATTACATCTCAGAGACATTTGAGACACACCCCCCCAGACAAGGCGAGAGGCGTTCAATGACCGGCCAGCGAGCAAAACGGCCGAACTGCTCCCTACTAAAGACTGAAAATGCGCAACTGTGCATTTCCAAACCTTGCCCGTCCAGTTATTTGGGTTGGGTATTTTTTTGTTTTCATGTATTAGATTTTTTTATACTGCATGTAGAATTTGTAGGACGATTTCCATAACAAAAATAATAGATATAATCATACCCAACAGGTCGTAACCCTCTACACGAGCTGTGTTGGTGTAAGAAGGATAACGCCGCGACGATATGCGAAATCTTCTTGGAATTTATGCCCGATTATCCCATCAACAGGACAGACTTACAGGTGAGTTAAATTTTCCAGGATAATGTTAGAACAAAACTTATCCATAAAAGGTAAATCCTCGCCTAAAGAGATACCTAACGTAAAAAATGCATTCTGAATTTTTCACTTAATATCATAACTTTACATTTTTTTGCGACCTTTTGCCAGCCAAAACGTAGTTGACATCAGCACTCAAGAGTCGTAATACACAATATACGTTATCGACCTGGCCATTTTATATTTCAAAACAATACAAAAACCGGCAGCTTACAAGTTCAAGTTTATAATATCGATGTTATGAAAAGTATTTTATGACATGCGATTTAATAGTCACATTTAAATAACAAGGTAGTTTCTTGAAGAGCGCCAGTCATCCCGTTTTAAAAAAAAAAATATAGGCACTCTCCCGTTTTTCGGTTATCCATCCCGTTGTCCCCGGAGATAACTCTGGTACTCATAAATATCCCGTTTTCTGAAAAAGCGCGAATGTCGGTTGCCTAGCAAAGCGAGAAAGAAAGTTAGCGACAATTAATACTGCATTAGGACAGGTTTCCTCTATTACATTGAGATCAATTAATATATTCGTGAAATAGTTAAATCGTTTTGAAATATTATGTTATATTATGTTCATAAGTAAAATAAATCCATAAATTATACAAGAATTTCACATTATTACTCCCACCCATGCGTGGAACAACGAAGTCCCGTAATGAGCCAAAGTAAAAATGGTCACATTAGCTATGACCCTAAGTGTTCATTCAGGTTTGACATTTGTAATGTGAAGGGCAACTCACCGCTTCTACTGGCGTATATGAACGGGCAGGGCGCCATGTGTCGCGTGCTAGTACGAGCCGGAGCATGTCTAGCGCAAGAGAATAAGGATGGCATATCCATATTTAACTACCAGGTAATTTTTTTTTTAATTAGATTCTAAACCTTGATCTGTTGAGTGTTAAGTTTAAATATATGGCATATTATGTACTCGATGTCGTTTATAATTAAATTTTAGGCATATAATATAGTTGTATATCAAGAAAGTTGCAAAGATTAAAATACTAATAAATTACTCATTAATATGAAGTTACTATTTTGGATTTTTGGAAAAAAAATATACATGTCACAATGAGGAACATGCATCTGATTCGAAAAAGGGTTAAATATATACTTAATTACGATAATTATTGCTTTATAATAAAGTCTATGTTAATATTTTTAACATTTTTTCGTTTTTGTCTTAAAAATAATTATTAAAAAATGCGGTATCTTCAAAATATTCAAACGCCATGCTACTTGTCAGAACAGATGTGACGAAAATGTACACGTATAGGATGTCGTTATTACAAAAAGTTTACATCGATGCAATAACATCAATGTATTAATGTAGCAAAATAAACAACAGATTACAATTGAAATGATGTTGTAGGCTTTCATTTTTATTTCATCAATTTGGTAAACTATATGATTTATTAAAAAAAGTATATTATACTTTAAATAAATCAATTAGTTGTTAATCGATTTGGGTAATTGAATAATAATCAATCACTCAAACTCCATATTGATTTAAAGTGTCATATCTCTACTCGTGTACTTTGACGTCACGACAAGAGCGTCAAAAATTTCGGCGTTTAAACTGCTCGTAGCTATTACTTATTTTCATCAATTATTAATTTTACAAAATTTTATTTTTTCGGAGCCGGATATTTTTTACAGTTATATATCGATGTAAATTATCATATAAAAACATTTTCCAAAAGTATGCATATTCCCTATTGCGAATTTTTCGAATCAATTCTATTGTGTTTTGTTAATGTTCAAAATGTACCGGATATTGTACCACAAATCCCAATTTTCCATTTGACTGTAAAATTAACGTCAATTAACTGATCTTCTTATTCTGTATTCTCTTTTCTTAGTCTGTGATTTATATTCAATATCTATGTTTTAATTTATTTAGAAAGTAATTAAATAAATAAATAAAGTTATACTTTTAAGGTGCAATCGCTACGTTAAATCATTGTCGTGTAGATCAGATATAAGTTAATTAAAGCGTGGGTTCTAAGCAATGTTATGATGTCGTCAAATATATTTTTTATATAATTAGGTGGCGACAAAGCAATTGCTGCATAGACTTTTGGACGCGCTACCCGCAGAAGCGCCATGGGCAGAGAGCGATCTCTGTCAAGAGTGTGGCACCAAGTTTACACTCACTATGAGGAAACATCACTGGTTAGCATACCTTATTAATGTTATCTCATCAACAGCCTATTAATGCTGATAGACTATAATGCCTTCTTTACGGATAAAGTCAAATAATGAGAGAGAACGGTGGAGTCAGATAGGGATTAACCTACCCAAATGCGATTGGTCGGTGTTAGCGACTGCAAGTGCCGCCGGAACCAATGGGTTATCGTAACTCGCGAAACAGAAAACACAATAAACTAGCTGTAATGAAAGTTGCTTTACTTCTGTATTATGACCGAACGTGCTAACTGCTAAGCCTGTACAGCAATGGTTCCCAACCGGTGCCTATCAGATGGCAGCTATCAAATTTCACGGCTTTTATGGCATTCATAGCCCAGCACGGTGTCCGCTGTGTCGTGGGAAAATAGAAACTTATCTCTAAGGCCTAAAAGGTTAGGAACCACTGCTTTAGAGTGTTATTTTAATAAACATTTATTTTTACTTCACAGTCGTCACTGCGGTCGTATGCTTTGCAACAAATGCTCGAGCCAAGACGTGCCCATATTGAAGTTCGGTATGAACAAACCACAACGAGTGTGCGAGATATGTTTCAACGTACTTCAAGTTGGGGCCAGTTAGTAGTGTCTCGACTGCTCGGAACACCATTTTGTCGATAATTTGAGCCTGTACGTCGGATTACAACAGTATGTCAACATTCCCCATTTGATATGAATCTACCCTCAAAATATTAAGGTTCAAAATCAAGTGGAGATTTGACAGATCTGTATAACCTGATGCGCTGTTGACTGTACGTCCAATGTTGACTTTGCCCATCATATTTTAGCTCATCGGGACTTTATATAATGTCACATTCACGTTTTTATAAATGGTAGCATAGTAACTCATTTATGCCTTTTTCAAATATACAAACTTTTTTATATACACCTTGGCACCTCAAGTTAATGGAAAACTTCCGATTTCTATAATTAATTTGAAATTTAATGTGATATGTGCTCGATGTCTTTTAAAGTTTATTTAATGAAATATGTATATGTCAAGAACGTTGACAACAATACTTTTTAAGAACAAAAGCTCATAATATGTCGTTACTATTTGGAATATTAATTTATTCATTTTTTTTTTTGTAAACATTACTAAAATATTACTGCTACTGCTTGAATTTTAGATAATTCTAGATGACTCCTTATAATGGATGGATATTAGTTTACCTGTTTCAAATAAAAAAATATTACAATAATGTCACAATAGCGTTTTAGGCTTATAATAGTTAAACATAAATAGGTAGTTTTGTATGTATATCATATGTATGTATGTAAAGAAAATATGTTATCTAGCTTAGATAATACAGTTGAAATATAAACGCTTGTTTTAGTTAAACTAACAAGTGTAAACCTGCATATTGTCAGCGAATGTTGTCAATTTACCCAAATTTAAAATGTATGACTATTTTGAAGTATTCATTGTTGCACCCCTATATTTATAAGTCCCCAATATGAAAGGAAGAGTTCTGTGAAAATACATGGAGATGGGATTGTCAATTTACAGAAACTTTCAATATTGAGGCTGATTACAGCTTTTTCTCTTCTCTAAGTTAACAAGACCAAAAATATGTATTTTTTAAATAACTAAATACCCTGATCAATATAACCAATACCGGGATCTTCTTTCATTATAGGAGTTCTGCCTGATAATGATAAGAATTCGTCTTAAATACTAAACAATTATCGACATATTGCAAGGAAAGTCAATTTTCCTGCAATATTTGTATCCCTGCATTGGTTAAAAGCATTGACCGCAGCATTTCAGAAACTATTGGTTCATAATGTACATAGTGTAGGTAAAGATGATTACCAGTTTTACCTTGGGGCAACAATTCGGGGCAAGAGACCAGCTTAATGGGACATTTTTAGTTTATGAGAAGAATATTCCATTTCATACATTTTTCAAAATTAGGTCCTTCTTCTATGGAAGTCAATGATTTTATTAAACCTATATTTTTGGTTCATGATTGTCTGTACTAGAATCTAACCATGCTTCATCTTCGATGGTTTCACTACTCCTTGATGATTCTCCTATCGAGCTAGTTGATGCACTTGTCGTACCTGATTCTCTCGAAGCGCTAGTTTTGTTTGGGTCTATTTGATCAACCCTGGGATTAGTTAGCCCTACCGATTAAATTTCTTTCTGCCCTTTTATGTTGTGAAATTGCAGTTCGACTTCTTTTTTTTGTTACATATCGAAGGCGATTCTCTTTGCCTGTTCCACTCATTGAATACCATTTCGAGTCCTTTTGCCAATGACTTCTAATGAATCAAAATGGTCTCCGAGTAAAAATTTTGAGGAAAAGTCCATATTTAAATTTAATATAAGGATCTGTTCATTTTTTTTACAGCCAGTTGCACAAACGTCCATTAAGATTGCCATTAGATTGAAGCTAGATTACTGATACAAAAATGCTTAAAGGCGTCATTAAACCTCGATGAATGTTTGTGCAACTGACCGTTAGTCTATATATTATTAAGTGAACTATATTGACAATTATTTTTGCCCTCATTTCCGCTTTCAATCATTAAATCGTAACCTATAATAAATAATGCATGATTGATGCTGTGCCTCAAAATGTAGCAGTTCTGTATTTATAGTAACATGCCAAAGTCTGAGAGTGTTACTGCAGCATGATTTTAAATCTTTGAATTGAGTTTAATTGTTGGAAAAATTATTGTTCGTTTGAGTATAGAGTCTCAGTTAGAAAATCTACCAACATGTGTGATGCTGAAGCAGCAATCTTACTTACTAGAAATTCTGGGATTTCCCCGTAATATGAACACGAAGAGTGCGAACAGTTGATTATTTTATCTTAAAATTAATGCTTATGTACACGTAATAAGGTTTAAGTAGGTATTAAGTCAGGTATTCCTCTAAACATTACTAGGAATCCTGGCACGCATACTACTTTTTAATAAAATACATATGAAGTTTGATACATTTATATAAATAAATATTAAATATATCAAAGTCGATCTGTATTTTACACATTTGCTTCAAAATAACAAATATTAAAGAAAGCCATTAGCAGCATAAAAATCGCAGCTTTTCATAAGCATAATATATATCAGACAGATATCAAATATTTATTAAAAATATCGGATTTTTTGCACACCCTGTAATAAACAAATACTGATCATTCTACGGTTTTTATCAAAATATTAAAAACCTGTGTTTCACATGCATTCCGTAATAAAGCAATTGTTTGAAATTAATTTAAAGGCCTGCTGCAGTGTATACAGGTAAATGGCATAATATGAAAGAAGTTACAATAACTATCTATGTACTTTCTTTAGTAATCATCATTATTATATAATAATCGCAAATAAAATGTTCTGGAGTCGAACAAATTGGTGGTTTTTTAAACTTTTCACAAAACTTGTTTACTTAACATTTTGATGGAAACAATCATACTACAGCAAGATTATGGAATGTAGCTTTATAAGTTATTTACCTGTGTACCAGGCAATATTAGTGATAAGTGATCGTTATAATACAACATTTATTAATGTTTGGCAAGTGACAATTTAAAATTATATTTATATTTTGTGCCATTTTTATTTCTTCTGTTATCAATTTTACATTAATATAATGTCTCTTTCTATCAGGATTTTGTTTCTTTTCAAATGTTTATATTTGCTATAGTAAAAAATAAATGAATGGAAATTCTCTTTTATTAAACTATCCGGATTTCCTGAATTTAGTTTCATTTCAGGAAATCAAGATAATTACAGATTCCATCAGTGATGCTCAGAGCATCACTATTATTTAATCAATATGCTAAAAACTTACCTTTTAATCCCACTGGTGATGCTCATGGCATTGACTGCCAATTACAAAGTTTTGTTTGGGGCAAATAATTACAACTATAAGAGAAAGAAGGAAGCTTAAAACTCAATGTTTTTATTTACAAACAACACCTTCAACTTGGTTATACATCCTTGACACAACATAATTGATAAATTATATAATCACTAAAAGCACTATTGTTTTATCCTCAAAACAAAATAAATTTATTAAATGATGAAATCAATGCATGTGCATTTTGCCTTGAGGGAAGGTTATTCTAGATTTTACTTGAGCCTGCTGAATAGGTCTTTGGTAACACATTTATCAAGCACATGTAGGTAGTCAATGAGTTCCTCTTCACAGGTTTCAGCAGTGTTAGAGCGTGAATTGACACGGTCATTGCATTGTTGGTACCTACCCCAAAGATTCTGTGCATCTTGCTTTTGTGAACATTGCTCCTGTAATATTTATATTATTATATTATAATGAGATACAAAGAGTAACAATTAGCTAAGAACAATAATTATCTACTATGATATACTTCTCTGCAACATATAATTTTTCTACAAAAGTACACTACATAGTAGAAAAACAAAACTACATAAGAAATTAATATAGAAAAACCTTTATTTGTTCTTGTGACATGGATTCCACAAAAAATAACTAAAATAAAGAAACCTTGTTAAAAAATGTCTATAAATATTCATGAACCAAACAAATAACAATGATCAATTAAATGCTTCATAGGTTGCATGCTGTTATTGTCACTTTCAGTAATATATTTTACTAATCAGAACTAGGGAATTTCTTTTCCTAAAATATAGAGCACTAAAGTTTCCTTTTGGAATCAAAATTATTTAGCATTTCAAGTCTTTTACATTCAAAATCTTAAGTCTTCGAGCTCGGAGACTCCTTGTCTGATATAGCAAAGGAAAACTCAAAGTAGATAGAAGGTATCTATGTATGATATAATCAAGTTAGTTTTAATGAATTCTGTAGAATAATGAAGTCTTTTAATTAAAATTATTAATTACCCTGAGTGTAGTCTGAGGATCAACCATTTCCTCCTCCTCTTCCTCAGCCTTCACAACAGGAATAATTTTATCGGTCATATCACCTGAAAAACACTAGCACCAATAGACACAGTAGCATACGAATAATTAAGAAATAGAGATAAGAAAAGAAACGTGCAAGTATTTTATAAAATTACCTAAAACTCCGATGACGCAACAATGTACGAAAAAGACAACGACGAATTATATAGATAGGTAACCAAAGAGCTTGCGTTTTGAAGGGAAACTCGAGTAATGCCAAAGAGCACTTATGCTTATGGATATATGAGTAGTAAAACAAAGAGTTATTTTTTTTTTAAATCGGTTTTGCGAAACCATAGATTTACCGAAGCTAATACATAACAAGATGAGGATGTATTTAAAAAAAAAACATTAGTTCCTGAAATCAAACTAGATGTCGCTATGGTACATTCTTGATTTCTCCATGACAACTTTTCCGGTTTTCTTTCATGTTTAAAAGTAAATTAATTTTCAAAACTCAATAAAAATCTCATATCCTATTTGTACTTTTTCGTAATAGTATTGATATCTAAGTTATGAACTTTTAAAATTTCAGTTTTTTAATATGTAAGTTAAAAGGAACGGAAATGACTGTCTTTAGTCCATTCGTTTTCTTGTAAAAATCAACTTTTGCTAGAGTCGCCATCTAGTGGAGGTGCTTTTTTAGGGCTTTCGTTTTTTTTAAAATACTTCCTCATTATATTATGAATTCTATTTCCATCACAAAATCAGAAATAACAAGACACATATTTTTCGATTACTGATTAATATTCCGGTTGCTAAGTTATACAAGACACAGACAAATAAATATACAATATTCAAAATAAACGATAATGGACGAAATAAGTTGTCCAGTGCAGACTCATCCCCACTGGCAGCACCCTTTGACGAGCTTGATGCATGAGCCAGCCCAACTTCTTCTTCTTCTTCGCTCAACTATATTTTAGAGAACGTAACGACCCAACGCACACGATACCACCGCAGAAATTTTTAAGATAACGTGACTACTCTAGGTAGTTAAGAAATAATATATTTCAATAAAATTGATTTCTGGAGTAGACTGGGTAGGAAGACAATATTATTGCAAGAACCAAAAAAGCACATACCCACTGTACAAATTAACATTGACGTTAGACCAAAGAGAATAGAATTGTCAGTGTTGTTATGGATTCGGATTAATATCGAGTTCAAATTCAATTAGTTCGAGTTCGCAAACGAAACTTGAGTAATACAAACGAATTTGTATGAAGGAAAATGGAAACTAACACAATGAAAGTGAGCATAGAGAAGGTTTTTTAAACCTTATGGAAATCGATAGAATTAATGCTCTGAAATTATTAAAAGTAGCATTTCGTTATGTTATACAATAATATTAACGTGAAATTGTTTTTATAAATAACATACTTATTCCATAGTAGGTCTAGGCATTTTTCATATATACATATATAACAATAACAAAAATGTAAGTTAGTTTTGTTGCAATTAGTTGTTAAAATCCTTTTGTTATCTATATATTTGATACCTGATATATATCAAATACACTAGGTATAATGACGTTTGTACAAAGGACAAGGTGCAAATAAGTTGTCCTTTCGAAAATAAGTTTCTTTTTTTCTAAGATCAGTTATGAAATTTTATAGTGATAATTAAAATATTTTAATAAAAATTCAATAATCAACAAGAAACATCCATTCGAAACGAATTGCTTTAATAGGTTATAACTTTAAATTTCAAAATCACAAGACACGTAGAGTAATTATACTATCGCTACTGAATTTGCATGTCGACGACGGACGTCGAGCCAGGTGTTATGTATGTTCATTCGTTCGGTGGGTATTTGCGTTTATGGTTCTTACAATAGTATTATCAATAATAGATTGACTTCCTACTCAGCCGACTCTAGAAATCAGTTTTATTGAAATATATTATATCTTAACTACCTAGAGTAGAGTTTGGCAAGCGAAACGTGACACCACCTATTTTTCCGTTTTCATATGGCAACAACATAGAACTGTCAGTTTGACACTACGTTAGACAATTCAAGAATATTGAATTTTGGTTGTTTTTGCGAATTTGAACTTGTGTTTTTGGTTAAAAATTATGTCGAAGCCGATAAAAAGTTCATCGAGGAAACTTCTTTCGATCATGATTGACAAGTTTACTGAAGTGAAAACTGAATTAAATAAAATTTCATGGAGAAATTACAACGATTAGATAAAGTTGTATCTTTTTTAGGTTAGTTTTGTATTATAATTTTGATACTTTCGTTTTAATTTTCTGTAATTAACTAAACAGATATTTTTTATAAAATATTGCTCTATTTCAGATAACTGTGATGGTGATATTCAACCAATAATGGAGGAGATAAATGCAATAAAAACTTTAGAAAAACAGAAATGCTGAATTCGGAAACGCAGTACTTACAAAAATTTCTTCAATGACAGGTCTCTTTTCTTGTTTTGATTTAAGATAGATTGATAGTATTCCTATAATATTTACATAGGTTTTTTATGATGTATTGGTTTTTATTGTTGACATCCAATGATGTCATAAGAATGTTTTGTTTAACAAGGAAATTCACAGAATTCATGAAACTAATCAAACCATGTAATTGTTATACATGCTAAATATGCACATAAACTTAACTAAATTAAACATAAATTGCATTCATAGTTGAATAGGTATTTAAATTATTTTGATGTATGTGTCTATCATTATTTGCTTTTAAATACATTTAACATATCTTTGTTTCAAAGTGTTTTAATCTTTTATAGATGTAAGTATAAGGACACTAAGAAGGATAAAAAATGAAGCATTAATTAATAAAGGAAAATGGGACACTCCTGGGAAAAAACGACCTCATCAACCAACAGTGTCTGCTTTAGATAATTTTGATTTAAGTGCAATTCGGAATAAAGTAAATGAATTTTACTGTGTGAAAAAAATTGTTCCAACATTAAGAAGCCTTCACAATGAATTAAAAGATGCAATAGGATTCAGTGGTAGCCGTGAGACTTTATGAAAAATTATGCTTAAGAATGGATTTTCTTTTAAAAGCAATGAAAATGAACGTTCTATGCTTATAGAAAAATACCAGATTTCTGCATGGAGGCACAAGTATTTGAGAGAAATAATATAAAACGAAACGAAGGAAAGCAAATTGTGTACCTTGATGAAACTTATGTACATCAGAATTATAAAGTTAAAAAGTCTTGGCAAGGACCTTCAACAACTGGTGTCACTACAAAGATATCCTCTGGAAAACGGCATATGTTGTGCATGCTGGATCTGAGGAAGGTTTTGTGCCTGGTGCATTATTAGTGTTCAGTAGTAAATCCAAATCTGCTGATTATCATGATGATATGAACTCATCGAACTTTATGAAATGGGTCAGAGAAAAATTAATACCAAATTTAAGTAAGCCCAGTGTAATTGTTATGGATAATGCCAGCTACCATATAAACAAATCAATAAACCGCCTATAATGTCTAATACCAAAGCAGATATCCGTAAATGGCTTGTAAATAATGGAATACATTTTGAGGAATATCAGACAAAGGCAGAGTTAATGTGTTTGGTTAATGATAAGAAAACATTGCCTGTATATGAAGCTGAAGAGATTTTAAAAGAACATAATCATGAACTTTTATTGCTGCCACCGTATCATTGTGACTTAAACCCAATAGAGATGGTTTGGAGTCAAGCAAAAAGAAAAATTGCAAGCAGAAACATTGGAATACCAGAAAGGAAATGGAAAACTTAATAATAGAGTGTTTAACTTAATTACCCCTAGTGACTGGAAGAAATACACTGATCATGTTTTAAGTGTCGAAAATGATTACAAATTAAAGATGGCATTGTTGAAAACGAACTTGAAAAATTTATTATATCTGTTGGTGCAGACAGTAGTGAAGAGAGTGACTCTGATGATTCCTTGTCATTGTTATCAGGTGTAGAATATTTAGAAACAGATTTTGACTATGAATCAGACTAAAGTATTTTTAGTCTGATTCATAGTCAAAATCTTATCTTAAATTTTCTATTGTGATTAACATGATGATTTTGTGACACCTGTATTATGTAATTTATCCATGGCACTTAATTGTAACAAAAATAAATGTTTTTTTTATTGTAATCTGGTGTTTATATTGACTAATTTAATTTGATAGATAGTGGTTCTGGATCAGAGCAAAAGGTTGTGATGAAAATCCCTTAGGAGACATGTATGTGTTATGAACACATTATAAATATAAGGGCCAGAAATCAAAATTGGCTAACATCACATTTATTAAAAAAATGTGGCCAGAGTCGCCCATATTCATTACAAAAAAACAAAGAAGTCGTTGCAAAAAACACCCTTTTAATTAATGACAAATATGAATTTTTAATATTATAAGTGCTGTTAGCCAATAGGTATAACGAATGGGTTAAAAAAAAGATTCGATTTAGTCCGTCAGTCAGATAATAGAAAAATATTGGATACGTATTTTTTTCGCTTTAATTTAACAACAAATGGCTTAAGAGGTACTATGCGACGACTTCAAATATGCTTTGCAACAATGTTACTTTAATACAGTTTATCGATACGAAATCAAGTGTCAAAATGGAGTCCAGTGGAGAATGCCGATATTGACATTTCGAAATTGCTCATCATTGATAGAGAATACGAAATAGTGATTTTGACACAATCAAAGTGTCTATTTTTTACGGTGATGACGATTCTTGGTTGTCAGTTGAGTTAGTGAATAGGCCTACTGATATGCTGTTAACTGTACAATTAAGAACAGTCACGCTTTAGTCAAATGTTCCAAAACAAATAATTTTAATTGATATCTAAATGTTAAGATTAAATATAATTAATAAAAGTATCAAAATTATTTTGCAGTACTACATTCAGTGTTTACTGCTTAAGAATTTTTGAAATTGCCGCCCTTTTCTTGTGACACGTTTCGCTTGCCAGACTCTAGTCACGCTATCTTAAAGATCTCTGCGGAGTTGTCATGTGCGTGCGGTGTCACGTTTATCTTGTGTCATATATATTTAAAAGACAAAATAAAAGGACAAAGAAAAACGCAGCAAATATAATTAACTTTGTTTTTTATTAAAAATATATATATATAAAAGAAGGTAGAACTCGGGTTGGGTCCTAAAGCCAGGTCACAGCTTAAACGACAATCCACTCTGTCCTATAAATACCACTCTCCTTGGTCTATTCTTTTAAGCGTCCAGCTTCTTTTCGTTGCGTAGTACAAAGCGAGGTTATTAGTTGCCGTAGTAGATACTAGATCAGCTCGAGTAGTAGTGGATGATCTTAATCGAAGCGAAGCTCGAAGCACGAATAATTAGCGGTAGTAGGTAGGAATAACACAAGCAGTAGTGGTCAGCTGGCTTGGCTTGGCTTGAACTCCTTCGAAGCTCCTGAAATCGTACCGTATAGATGGTTTACGATTTAAACTGACAGGCTTTAATCGACCTAAGGACTGTGAAGCATTATAGGAAAACTGAATAAGCTAGTAAAAAGGCGTAAGAAAGTGTAGGTGGTTAAAGCATCTTGAATGATTTATTCAGAACGGTAGCCAGTCAAATGTAATGATGAAACTAGTAACTAAGCTTAAGAAACAAAATACAACTTAATGCGGGACTAATGATTACTCATTATTATATCTATAATATATAAATCTATAATTTAAAGATAATAGCAAAAAAATATTAACCTATTAAAAAATAATGAAACCACCTACATATAGGTAATATACAACGGTACATACTAAATTCACTCGCTTCTCAATTACAATAAGCATTATCTTGGTAGTACGCAGACGATACCAACATTTAAACTTCACCATTTAACATAGTTACTACTTAATAAAAGAATTTGCACAACTTACCCAGTATGGGAATATAAAACACTTGAACTTAAACTTTATAAGTACACAGCTTTCGGTAATACTGTAATAATACTAAGAGTACTCTGGACAGGAAACAAATACAGTTCGATAATTATTTTACAGCAATAACTAATAAGAAAATCGAAAACGTTAAATACGTTGCGTTCAAAATTCAACTTTTAGTTAGTGAGACGGTTAGTCGTCTTGTGACCGCTCAGTTTGCTATCAGCGGCGAGCCAGAACCGGCTTGCATTTATTACCTACAGTATTAGCGATGCGTCGAGTCACAAACAAGCGCAGTAAAACCATTGCGAAAGAACGTAGAAATTGAAGGTTCCGTCTAACATATAACGAATATATCTTTTCTATGATTATACAAAACTTTCTTAATTTTTTTTTAATATTGAATAATTATAATTTATTTTATTATTAAAAAATATTTAATAATTATATTTTTTTTTAATTATCTCGTGTTGAAAATTGATAATGTAATAATGTAGTGTATTATACACTACGTTACAGCGGTCGTTACGTTCTGTTACAGGGGCGGTCAGGAATGGCTTTTAAAAAAAAAACTTATTTTATTTAACACTTAGTTTATTTATATGAAGAACACGATTTATTACACTATTTTAGATCAATATGTTGTCCGACGGGAGTCCAATCCAAAACTGATTTTATTAAATATTATTATTGCGTTCAAGACTCGGTTTCCTATTGCATGACGACAATGCGATAGGAAACGTCTTTGTTGCGTTTTTCATTTTAATAAGAACTAAAAGAAATTATATTATAACAGTTCCCTCAAATATAATTGAGCGGAACGATGGCTGGCTCCTAGGTCAAGCTCGTCAACGGATGTATATTTCTGAGTTTCTTACTGGTTCTTCACAGTACGAAATCCCCCCCCCCCCCCCCCCGAGTTGATATCATTCGATACATAATGACACATACAAATACAAGCTGAATTCTGCGCTCCCCTTTTAAGTCTTCATTCCAAACCAAATTCGGATGAAAGCTACGAGCAGCCAATAAGTTGTCTCATCACTATGTTGACGTATAAACCAAACATCGTTCCTTTCCACGTAACATAATAAATAACTTTTTACTTTTATTAGGTTAGAAACAAAATTTGATTTGAATATCATAGACAATATACAAACATCGCGAGTGACATCTAGTATGATTTCAAGAACTAATTTTTATTTTTTAAATACTTCCTCATTGACATTTAAATCCTACAATTTGTGCTGCCATCTAGTGACATAAAATTTTGTAGTTTCTTTATTTTTTAAATACTTCCTCAGTCTGATCCAGATTGTATGTCTATCTTTTGGGATGCCTGCCTTAGCCCTACTTTCCGGACTGTGGTCGTTACTCGAGGACTTTATTGCCCCAACGGCCATGTGCCCTGCCCATTCCCAATTCAGGCTCGCAATTCTTTGGGCTATGTCGGTCATCTTGATTCGTCTGCAAACCTTCTCTGATTCGCGGAGAAACTCCGAACAAAGCCCTTTCTATCGCTTTCTAGTTGATTTTGAGTCTATTATAAGGACCACAGTTAGCGACTACGTTTCAATGGAAAATGTCATCACTGGCAACACACATTGGTCAAAAACCTTTGTGTTGGGACAAAGGTTTTTGACCAATGTGTGTTGCCAATACTGTGGTATTTGGGACAAGAAAACACTTCGGAACTTCCCGAACGCTACATCGATAAGTATACCTAATGGGTAAAGTACAATATGAACTTTACACATGAATTTTGTCTTGTCAGTGGTCATTTTGAGTCCTACTATTTGAGAAAATATTCTGAGGTTTTGAAGCGATACCATGTTTACGATATCCTTGGTTAATCTAAGATAAGTGATGTAGTTATCGTTGATCTTGAGGCAGAGTCCGTTCCAGTCCGGAAGCTTGATGATGTCTTCCATCCGTCTTAATGCGGTCAACTTGTACGGCGTTATGATGTCACCTTGCCGACACCATGACGGGTAGTGTTGCCGACGACGACGATAGTGGAACCTTTTTATATAGTTTTTGTATACTTTTTATATTTTTAATATTTTCTATTGTATTTTATTTTAATGATTGTCATTATAGAAAAAAATATCGAAACCCACGGAATTTTTATTTTGCAATTATTATCAGATAGGCTCCGAATTCTATTACTGGAGACAAATTCACATAGAGGCATTTTCATACAAGCACTTAAACGCTTCGATATAACGATAGTCAATACGGTGCTGTGGAAGATTGCAACACTGCCCAATCATAAGTTTTTCATAGTCGTCAAGCACAGAAAAGAATCTTATTCCTCAGTTTTTTTAATTATTTGGCATAAAGATTGAATTTACTTGGTCTAAGGTGGGAAAACCCCATCAGAAACCGGCTTGCTAGAGAGACTCTAGAAAATAATCTATACACATGGCTCAGCAGCAATATAGTCCTCAAATTTTTGAAGAAGGTTTCGTCTACCTTTTTGACGATACCATTATACTCCTGTGCATTACCAAAGTGTTCCGCCTTGAAGGATGACGGAATTTAATCTAGTCTTCAGAACCTCATCTGTGATTCCATCCTCACCCTATTGTTGTCCCTAAGCTACTTGAGAGCCATAATAATTTCGTAACGACTGACGTCCGGGATATATTCGGTGTAATGTCGGATGAATTTGACTCTTGGGTCTTTGACCACGTTAATAACAGGAATGCGTGGTGTAGTGTTTACTTGTCGATTCTGAAGTGATTAATAATTCTGAAGTATGACTGAAACAAGAATAAGCTGGAATAAACTTTGCTTGGGTTTTTATTAATTTTATATTTATCGGACACTGTATTCAATGTCTTTGAAGGGTTACTCATAATAAGGCCTGTCATGTGTTTTTATGATATCTGACTCTGTTTTTCACTTTGAATAGCTCATTTAATTGAAGGTCACTTTGAATTTTTACTTGACTTCTTCTTTCCTCTAGTCTTTCTTTGCCGATTTTTCTTCTCTTGTCTATTTTGTCTTACCAGTCTTATAATGTTCTGTACACGAAATAGAAATTTTCATTTTCTCAATGTAAACAGTGTTTATTAGTAATAACTTTATTATTAAAACTGAAATATGTATAAATAAATACAAATACCGAATTTCCTTGTAAATCTATAATTTTCTTGGGTATTTTTAATGGAATTAGATTTAATTCTAAAAAAATACCCTTTCGCTTTCACAAAAGCAGTGGCCCGAATCGCGAAAGGTCGTGACTTTGAATTGCATCTTAGAGTACCAGGGCCAAAGTGGATCATCTAAGCATTTTTCATTAAGATTATTTAGATATGTTAATATTAACAATATTTTTTGATTATATTTATTCTTCCATTTTTAATTAGAACCAAATGTCCGTGCCACACTGGACGTCTTTTTATGTCTACGCACATGTCTGGCAGATACAGGACAATTGCCAACATTCAGAAACTACAAAACTAATCTTCTTTTTTGTTCGTAGTGATTGTGCTCTGTGTAAACGTCTATAAAGTACCGTAATAAAAAGAATTATTTAGAATGTGATAAAGTAATCTTAATTAGATACTTCATGGTAAACAATGACTACTTTAGTCAAAAGAAAGTCTTAATGAAGTCTACTTTAGGAGAAGCACGGTATTCTTGACTTAAATTAATTTCTAAGTCGTATTTATAATATGAATTTTGACTACAAAGTTAAAGCAAGAAACACTCAAAGTAAGTATAGTTTTCTTGCTATGGAAACGTACCGACAGACGTAAATGGTCTTTCCAGATCCAAGTGTCTGTCACCATGAAGAGAGCTTGGAATAAGAAATTTGTTTTTATATTATCAAGGAATTAAATATTGTTAAGAGAGAGTATTTGTTTTATCTTGCACTACATAAGTTCAATTTAAAGAAGATGATATTACTACCAACAGTTAGCGTCAAACAGAAATTGGAGAATAATATTTTTGCAACATATTGTTTCAAAGATATTCCAGGTTTGTTTCAGCAAATAATTAATATAATCAATTCCTTTTACAGGTTCGAGGCAATATCCTATGTCTCGATACAAGTTATCGTGACTAGAGATTTTTATCAAAAATTGAGGTTATACCTTGCAAAACATTATTATTGTTTTATCTTTTAGAATGAATGGAGGAATGGAGCATAAAACTCCAGGGCACAATGCAGTGCTTCATAAAGCACCTAAAAATTACAAATTGCTCATGGATCCATTCCTTGTGAAAGGAGCAACAAAATTGTACAGATATGATGGATGTGTACCTGGAGACCCTACATATCCTCCAGTTCAATGCAGAGATCCAAGATCTCAGCTGTCCAGGATTTGGAGTAGACTAGAACCTGCTGATTTACCAGTTCCTAGGTATTATATTTATATTGATTTATCAATTGCATCTATGTCACCTGTTTGCGAGTAATATTTTCATTTATGGCTTTACTATTGTATACAGGTAATTTAGCCCATTATTACCACAATTCATCTCTTAGTTTCATTGCTAATATATGTAAAGCAACATAGTTTGGTTGTTATAAATAATCTTCATATAATTTTATGGTGTGTGTGATTGTTATATGTCATCGTAATAAGAACCAAATTGTGGTTATGAAGTTTAGTGAACATTATTATATATTGCTAGTTGCTTTTGAAATAATTTTAATGTTATTTGCACTACAGTGATGAAGGTTTGGTTAAGATCATTGTTTTTATTAGCCTTATTGACAGTGCTACCAACCTTACTTTATTAAAAACTAATATTATGAGCGGGAAATTCAAATAAGTTAATTACTTTTTTAAGTTATATTTTGTGTATGCTGTTTTACTTATACTTTTATGATTTTTCAGGTTCAGAATAGACAAAAATTATGTGGGGATACCACCACAGCTGGAGATTACTATAGGAAATTTAAATGATAATATAGATAAAGCATTTTTGGCAGATATGATGAATAAAGTGGGTCCCTATGAGGAATTGACAATATTTTATCATCCAATTACCAACAGACATTTGGGTTTTGCAAGGATAGTATTTCAAGATATAAAATATTCAAAACTTTGTATAGACAAATACAATGGGAAATCAGTTATGGGTCAGGTAAGAATATTTTTATTTATTTATCTACTTAAACATTGATGGTTACAAAAGTAGCCAAAATGTTTTTGTCAACTTACATCCTGGTCACTAAAGGGACTTCTAGTGGCAGTGAGGAAAAAGCTTTTGTTGGTAACTTCAATGATTGTGTATGTAATCTGTGTGTGTAATTCTAGCTCGATAAGTGATGTCAGTGATGCATACTTACTTTTGATGTTGCTAAGAGACATCAATTCATGATTCGAATGTTCAAGTGGTTTAAATCTAGGAAAATTTAACATTTTGTAACATGATAACTTATTAATATGCTAACAACATATAATAACAAATCTTGTCAAACAGGTTATAAATTAATAATGTAGATAACATCTTAAAAGCAATCTATACATAGTCTGAAACAAAGTCCTTTACTCTGTCTGTATGCTGAGATCTATTAAACACAAGGAATTTTATGCAGTTTTATCTGTATATAGATATAGAGTGACTAAAAAGAGGATATGTATAATACAGGACCATGCAGGTAAAGTTGCTGGCAGAAAGTGAATATATATATGTCACAATCCTGCAATAAACACATCTATTGATCATTATTATTATCAAAAAGCTAAATTTCAATTATCATTCTACAAAGGCAGTGTTTGAACAAAACGAGTTAAAATCATCAGGTAGTTGATAAAATGAGTTACATGCTCTTTTTACTCGGTAACATGTCCTGGTTATCAAAAAACATGGCAGTGGTCTTTATCTTATTTCAAAGTTTTATGGACTTACACTGATTTCATACAGCAAAAGAATAAAGTGGATATGCCTCAAATTCCGAGATTAATTTTAAAGAGCAGAAAAAAATCCTGTGATTTTTTAAATAAAAAGTTATTTACTTTTACACAATTTAAACTACTGCTCGCACAACGTTTCCAAACTTACATCGGATGTCCAAAGTTGCAAAATACCAATACGCGCGATGTTGCCACGATGGTCCACATTAATATCAACATTTCGATGCAAGTACATAAATAACTCTACCTAATTCCGACCTCTGTTTATTAGTCAAGTGACAGATATCACTAATATTTTTTCTAATGGCAATAAAAAGTATTTTTTGCAACTATGTTTGTAGTCAATAGAGTAGATTTAAAGTACTCAAGAACTCTTTTTTGGAATTTTTTCTATTGGAGATATGTGGGTTTCATATTGTCATTCTGAATTTTATGATGTCAAGGTGGGTATGCACATAAGTGGAGTATGAGATTCTAAAGGTTATTATGTTGTTTTTTCAATAAAAAAAAAAAATGTTTGACACTTGCGTATTGCCTTGTTAATGCGTCTGACTTCCATATGTCATATGAAAGCCAGATATTTGAAAAGAGACAAAGCTTGGAGAGAGGTCTATAGTTTTTATAATAATAATAGTATAACAATTAGTTATTGTATAACAAATATATTGAGTAGCTCGGTGGCGTAGTGGATAAGCGACGCGGCACGCGATCGTTGTCGTTAAGCAACTTTCGCAAGGATTCGTCACGGGATGGGTGACCAAACAATTATTATCTCATGCTATTCCGTGCTTCGGAAGGCACGTTAAGCCGTTGGTCCCGGCTGCATTTTTAGTCGTTAATACCCACCAATCCACATTGGGCCAGTGTGGAGGGTCATGGCCCATGCTCCTTAACTATCCATAAGGATGGTCTGAGCCCCTGCAGTGGGGATGAAAAATAAAGGGCTGATGATGAATTAGTTATTAGACCTGAGTCAATATAAATCTTTCAAGACACTAGACTAAAATGGACATTGTAGTTAAATGCAGCCATGAGGAGCATTGTGTGACGTCACAATACAATAAACTTAACGTCAACGTTTTTGACATGAGTGCAACAACCCCTAACTGATTGGTTTAATTAAATTTTAAGTTAATTACTAAAAATATGTTTTCCTTTATTTAATAACATTTTTGGAGAAAAATAAATGTGATAGTGGTATAATATGATTATAAGAAAGTTTTAAAATGCTTTTCTAAAAACAGTCAACTAGTTAATTGAGATTGTGGCCAATTTTTGTTTTTATGTCCGTCAGGTAGATTGTTAAAAAATATTAAACAGGTATCTTTTCTTTTTTTTTTTGTAATCATTAACTTACGGCGATATATTGAGTTAAAATGTCACATGACGTCACGTTATGGTACATTTTCTTCAAAACTATTACGTAGCGAGTGCCTACTCCTCAACTTTAATACTTGTTATCTAACCTGTTTCTTGTTAAATTAAAGTAAAAAAGGAAATATCTAATATTTACAATTATCTGACTAAGGGACTAATTAAAAATTCTTTTTCTTACCCAGTTGTCATCCCTATTGATTCATCTTTGCTACTCAATAATGTGTCCCACCCATAAATTTAAAAAAAGCTGAATTCTGTTATATACTTAAATATCTTTTGTCAGGTGCTTGATGTCTTCCACGATCCATTTGGAAAGAGGTGTCAGGAGATGTTTGAAGATAAGACCATGGAAAGAAAACAACATATTTCACAACCAGTGGTGAAACTTCCTTTATTAGTTGAAGAAACACGTCCAGTAAAAGTGGACCCCACTCTTAGCAAGCGATTAGAAGAGGTCAAAGTGACTGAAAAGGTATGATTTGTATATATGATCACTTTAAAAGTACATTGTTTTTAAAAAACACTCAAATAGATATGAAATATGCACAAAGAAAATTTTACTAAATAATGTTAAACTGAATGATTTGTAAATGATTAAGTCGGTTTGAATCTGTGTTTTGTGCTAATTGATTAATAATTCATTAACATTTATGGCATGGTAGATGTCAAATTATCCAAATACATATGAATATTTTCTTTTTGAAATTAATAGTTCCTAATAGGCTATTAACAGTCTTCCAACTAGATACTCACTATAAGGTGGTCACGTCAGGTAGTCTCTGAGAGCCTTCCAAGTGATTCGTGGAGCAGAGATTTTAGTATAGATACGCATCCACAGAAAATCTCTTTATTTTTCTACATTTAGGTACTGCTTAATAGACCAAGTGGGTGGTCTATGGCCAGATTGATATTTATCAAATGGTCTGTCATAGACAGTAATAACAAACTATGCAAAAATCACTAGACCATTAAAAAAAATAACAGTTGCTAAAACCTGTTGCTGTTTAATTTGTCTAGGAATCACATACGCGGTATAAAGACGTCGAGCACAGCGACAGTAACACGCGGTGGTCGGACGAGGAGAGAGAGTATCGTCACAGGCATCGTAGCCGCGGTGATAGAGAGAGAGATCGCGACAAAGATAGAGGAGACCGTGACCGTGATCGTGACAGAGACCGAGATCGAGACAGAGACAGAGACCGAGAGCGAGACAGAGACCGAGATCGCGACCGCGAAAGAGACAGGTAACATAGACGTCGACGATGTAGTACCTGCTCACGTACAAATTAGCATGATATTTGAGGCCTATTCTATTTGTTTTTGAACGAAAATTTGGGAAATTACAATAATTCTTATAATTTTGTTAAAATCATTTGTGAAGATCAACTGTGCATCAGAAGCAGTGTTAGGTCCTAGGTTAGGGACCTCCGTTGCATCATACAGTACCGATAAATGCGTTGAATCAGCATTTTGAAAATAGACGTTTAGTATTTCGAAAAATAAAATAGGCCTTCAGGTGTCATGTTAATTCGTACAAGTAATAGTTGTTGTGGATTTGTATGAGTAAATTCAAAAGAACTTTTACTTTGAAACTTTGTGGTCGAATTTTATCAATTGATTGTCATTTATTATTTTTGCTCTTTATTAAGAGCAATAATTTGCGAAAAAGAGATATATTTATTAATAGATAATATTTATTAACAGAAATTATATTTTATTGATAGTATTTGACGTGTTTATTTCATTTTCCAAGCGGACGATGCAGAAGGAAATGTAGACGAAGGTATATAACTCGTATTTAACAAAGTTTTATGTGTAAATTTGATAAGAAATTATCATATTAACTGCTTTGCCTGATTAATAAAATCTTGCTAATCACAAAATGTAGTTAAAAGCTAGGTAAAAAGAATATTATAGCCAATCCAAAAAAATATTTGAGATCCCCTTTGGAAAGCATACGAAGGATATTAGTCAAGGTTTTTAAAATAAGATGAGCTTTTTGGCTTGTAACTTTTCTGACGAAAAACGTAAACATTGTACGATTCTTAGGTGGATTATTGCTGGTATTAGTATGATTTAGTTATGAAAAACATAGAAAAAATGTAATGGCTTTTATTTACATTGACATACACTGAACATAGCTAAAGGACCGATAGTGTGTCGAAAATATTACATTTTTTCTGAAGTAACTTGTGTTGAGCCAGCATACGCGGGTGACAAAGGCTATAATATTAAGCAATAATTATTTTTATTTCGCATGAGTGTGGTAGTCATGTTCTTATAGTTATAAAAGGTTTTCCAATAGGCACATTCATAAAGTCATACAAAGTAATTTAAGCCAGCGAAGTCGCGGGAAAACAGCTAGTATTTCATAATTTTATTGGATGTGACGGCTAGGTATCGTGAAAGATATGGGCGTGGTTCGAGCGAGACAAGCGATTCTACGTACGCGACGTCGAGTCACGCCCCAGAAGTACCGTACACGCCTTCCAGTGCCCCATACGACTCTTACTATCAATCCAGGTGAATTTAATAATATTTTTTATGAAATTTCCCAAATATTATGTGTGCCGCTTTTTTAAAAGTCATTCAACAAACACACCAAGATAACTCAGTGCGGATTAGTGGTTGTTAATAACTACAGATGCAGCTGGGATCAAAGTTTGACATGGTTCTTTCTGAAGCGCGAAGGAGTTCGCTATGTAAATATTTGATCACGCATGGGATAACCAGCATTTCCGAACACCGCTTAACCTCATAATTTACAGTAACCGAATACGACAGTAAAATTTGTGCAATGATTACAATTTTTCCTGTATAATATTTTTCAAAGAACCTTAATTATAATTATATTTTTAGAAGTTCGCGGGTCTGATTGGATTTTATTTATCGAAGTATAAAGTATGACTAAGAAACGTGATGTTAGATTAGAACAACGGTAAGCTCTTATTATATTGACAGCAAGGTTGTATTTTCAGTAGTTACGGGTATCGATATGGGTCCAGTACTCCTGCACCGGGCGGCAGCGGGGTGTGGTGGGGGGAATGGAGACATGGACCGCCTCCTAATGTACACACTCCTCATGTGAGTATACTCTATTATGCAACCTGTGGCTATTATATTCGATTTTAGTGCCGTCTTTCTCTATATAGTAATTTCAAATAAACAAATATTTTTTTTTCATCCATACAATCATATATAAAATACTAGCTTTCCGTCAGCGGCATCGCTCGCGTAGGCCTGTATTATACATAAAACCTTTCTCTTGAATCACCCTATCTAAATATTAATTAAAACTGCATTAAAAGATCTTAGCGTACAGATATCGAAATGTGACTTGATTTTATACTATATTTAGGTGTTTATAATTTTTTGGCCACATTAATGAAGACAATTATGTCTTGGATATTTTTTATTTTGGTTAGAAGTGTGGTATATTTAATACATATGTATATTTAAATAAAATATATTGCACTTTTCTTCAAATGACATTGCATAATGATGACGATATATTACTTCCAAAAATATATTTACTTGACAACTTTTTTGACTTTTATATCTATCGTGTTTCTCTTTATATTTGACTGTACGTGATGTTTTGGTTTTTAAATATCTGATAACAAAGTATTATCTCAAACTGCTATTGATGGATCCTTCGGTGATATGATTATGTATATTTTATTCATTTATCATATTGTGAATTAATTTACTAACATTATTCATGATTTATTTTGTGTTTTGGTTTTCATTGTAACTTTAAAAAAAAAATGTTTATTTGCACCCTTTACTTAGGAATTTACGTTTCTATAAAGTTTAACATGATACCTTTATCTTACCCATAAGAGCACTTAGGCAATTTAATCTGTAGTCATATTTTTTTGATTCGCGGAGTACCTGTCAATTGTTTCATCCTAAAAATACTATCCTTAAGCTTTGATGTTAGACGTATGCAAATTTCGTAGCACATATTGTATAAAGCTAATAGCAAAGCAATTCCGTAATAAATTTCTTAGCACGCAAAATAAATAAACTAATAGTATTTTATTTAATTTTCTTATTTTTTATTGTATTTGTGTGCAGAGGAATTTGATTTATCAGAAGAGACTGAATTAACGGCTAGAGCTTGCGCTCTGTTATATTCGATATGTTACGTCAATCAGCGCCGGATGTAGGGCCAAAATCATCATAATATAACGCAATTAAATAAACTCCACAAAATATACTTTTAAAAGTAATACACAACAAGCCACGATGACACAGACATGTTTTCAAATTCTTCATAAGAAATAAAAGAAAATATATCATACACTGGAAACATGGTAATATGTAGTTCCGGCCGTAACTTCGTAGTTTATGAACAGATTTTAAAGTTTTTTTTTTTATTTGATTGTCTATGTTTTCAAATTCTCTATAAGAAATAAAAGAAAATATACACTGGAAACATATGGTAATATGTAGAACCGGCCATAACTTCGTAGTTTATGAACATATTTAAAAGTTTTTTTTTTTTTATTTGATTCGGTATACTACCGAAATGGTCAGAGAAATTTCAACGAAATCGGAATAGCAGTTGATATGTCGACATCAAATATTTATTGTCACCAGAAATAAAAAAGACGTCTTAAAACCTTGAAAAACGTGAAAATTGGTGCTAAATAGTCTAGTTACTCTGGCATTACTTTAGTGTATAAAAGCTAATATGCTCTAAGCTGGAGCGACGGTCGAGCGCCACGCCCGGGTGGGTGGCGACAACGCCCGCGCCGCGCGATCACTCGCCCGACTACAAGGAGCCAAAGGAAAAGGAAAAGGTCGGATTATCGTAGTCGACGTATTGTGATACAAACGTAGTGCAACCACGTTGATGGATATCGTTAGTGATTACGTATGCATCTGTTATTTTATCTGTTAGTATATCGGTGTGGAATCGCTCTATAATCTATTTTCACGGCAGGTGAAACGGACATTGACTTAAATAATTGTGTGAATGTTGAAAGTTAACTATACGTATCGCACTAGATATAACTCCGTATCGTTTCCGCGGGGTGAGATCATCGACCTATAGTATTCCGTACAACACAGTACTTCGCGGAATCGATACAGATATCTATGGTTAGCGATACATGTCGTTTACTTGTAACGCTTTTATTCAATGTAAACAAAATTCATATTATATAAGATCTGAGAATGAAATACCGGTATCGCCTATTTATCTTGAACATAGAAAATACGTCCGCACATATATTTTAGTCCTTCGAGTCGTTAATGTTCCGTATTCAGTATTTGAATGGAAATTATAATTGCTTCAAACACTAGTAGTGTTGTGTATATCGATATAAATAAAAGGAGGTTGTTTTTGTTTTGTAATGCAGAAGTAAGTTTGCTATAAGATGTCGAACACTTAATCTGTGGGTAGTATTATCATGTAGGTAGTTTGTTTATTTTAATGAAAATTGGGTGCGACGGGTGGCATGGGTGCACAAGAAATAAAAGACAGTAAAGTAAAAATGTGTATCAATCTTAATAAATTAATTTAACTATAATATTTATTTTGATGAGCTTGATTTACAATTTCAACGAGGTAAGTTTCGCATGTATTTTAACGCATGGTGGCATGATGTGTTTTTATATTATTTTCTGACTTGTAAAAAATATGTTTTGTTCATTGATGTAATAAAAATGTTAAAACTATTAAGTCCGATAAATACGATTTTGCTTGAAACACTTCAATATTAAAAAACGATATTTTTAAACTGTGATAATATACCTAGATTCAGTTTCAAATAATTTAAGCTATAGTCATATATGTCGTTTGTGTGTTTTGTACGCCAAGAAATCTAGAATTGCTGAGGCTGATTAAAAGTTCAGATAGAAACGTCGCTTTATTATAATATGCTATGAAATATTATCTAACTTTACTATAATATCCTTAACATACTTAATTTCAGGTAATAGATATCTGTATCATAATAATATGCTCACAATTCATACTAAAAATTTATAAAAAATATCGCGATTCCAGTTATGTCCAAATTGCAATAGCTATTCTATACAAGACTTTCTTGGGTTAGTAACTTATATTGATATTCAGCATATCACGCATATTTTATTAAATTCTTAGTATTAAAAAAAAACATGTGTGAAAATCTTGATAAACCATATGTTAAAACCGTACGAGACCGTATTGATAAAGAATAATAATAAATTTGATTAAAGGAAATATTACCATCCAGTGAAAACGTCTGATGATTATCACATCAAGTTATCACAGAATGTCAAATTAGGTAAATAAATGACCTTTATTTTTAGCATATTAAGGCTTCAAATAGAACGGAAGAAGTTGGAAGTGTCGTGATGTTGACTGTGAACCTCTAAGAAATATGGGTGTTGACAATAGCAAATATTTATCAGGAGTTGCCGGTGGACAGTAAACCAGTGGATTCAGTGGAGCCGCGTCCGCCTGAAGACATCACTGACAGTAAAGAGCCTGAACCGAAACCGCCGCCTCCCGCCGACGAACCGAAGAACGTAGACCTTGACACCAGGTACCCGAAATAGGTGGTTTCTTGGACTAAACTGCGGCCTAATAGGGATGATGAATAATTTTTGTTTGTCTGTCCGTTAGGTAGAGTGTTAAAAAATATTAAACACGTATTTTTTTCGTAATCATAAAATTACGGCGTCACATTGAGTTGAAATTTCGCATGACGTCACGTTAGAGTACGTTTTCTACTCAACTGTGACGTAGCGAGCCCCCACTTCTCAATTTTAATGCCTGATATCTAAGCTATTTGTTGTTAATTTGAAGTAAAAAAAAAATACGTATCTAATATTTTTCTATTATCTGACTGACGGACTAAATAGAATTGCATTTTTTTTACCCCAGTCATCGTCCCTATTGTCGAATTTTTAAAATCTATCACAATCCCGTTTAATTTCACATTTTAAAGATATTCACGAACTTCACTACAACTATATGACATATGATAGCGATTGAGATCGCGACGACTTTTGAAAGATGTTAAACGAACGATATCTTTTATTAGAATTGATTAAGGTAAGCGATAGCAGTAGCTCGGTGGCGTAGTGGATAAGCGCCGCGGCCCGCGATTGTAGTTGTAAAGCAACTTTCGCAAGGGTCGGTCACGGGATGGGTGACCAAAAAAAAATATTATTTCGAGCTACTCCATGCTTCGGAAGGTACTTTAAGCCGTTGGTCCCGGCTGCATTTGCAATCGTTAATAGCGTCCAATCCGCATTGGGCCAGCGTGGAGGGTCATGGCCCATCCTCCTTAACCATCCATAAGGGGACGTAAAAGGGCTGGTGATGATGTGATGAAAGCGATAGCCGCAAATATTACTTTGAAAGTTATTAACAAATGTCGACGGGTTTAGCTTAGTTTTTATGTTTCTTTATCATTCAAATCATCATTCGTTCTTTAAGCGATAGAGACCTTAAAAGTTATATAATTTAATGTTATATAACGCTATCACAATCGATATACCTTTGAAAGGGATTGCGATAGATTTTGAAATTAGACCATTAGCCCTCTGGTTGTTAGAAATTGATAAATTTCTCTAAACAATGATTTTTTTCTGTGTATCGGTATTTTCTTAGTTTGGGATCTAAAGTTACCAAATATTTATTAATTTGAGTAGATCTTCAAAAATGTGATAATTTTTGAAAGCAAGCACAATTTTACGCTTAACAGGAGGACTGGTCTGTGAAGGGCCAGTTATAGTGGGTGACAACGGAAGCCACGTGAAGCCGTTAGTCCCCGGCTGCATATGTAGTCATTAATACCCACCGATCCGCAACTAGGGCCTCTTCCCATGTAGTCTATGCCCCTATTTCGATTAGATTCGACATAAGAAAGGCCTTCGCGTCAACAGTGGGACAATTGATGATGAACCCGCGATAATACCGCTCAAAATTTTCATTGCACGAAACAAGTATGATGTTTTGTTATGTTTAGAATAGCCATGTTGCTGAAAGGTGCTAGTGGCGGCGGAGGTCTCGCCCCACCGTTCCTCGCTTTAGGCATGTCTTCTGAAGAAGAAGACGATGAGCGACTACCCGCACATATACCAGACTTGGATGCCCCGCAACCACCATCGGATGATGAAGGTAACATCTCTATCAAATACGGTGTAGTCAACCAAATTTAGAAATAAAAGAATTATTCGTGTAAAGTGTAGGTTAAGACCAATTTTATTTTATTGTATTTACAGTTTGCATATAAGATTGGAGGGGGGGAGGGGGTTTGACTTCCTTAAATAACTTCGATACTGTTTAACTTTAAATTATTAAAACACATTTTTATTATAAGCATTTGATCAATTTATATGAAAAATGAAAAATGCTTTTTCATTAAGAATATACACATTGTTTTACAACAAGCCCCCTACTACGTACGTGTAGTTCAAATTCGATTGCAGATCATTAATATGTTGTACTAGTTTGTTACGCTGTGGCTTTGGATTTATATTCCCGATTGGTGTTTTCCCAGGTTCCGGCAGTGACGATAGAGGCAGCATAATATCAATAAACCAGAAAACTGAACTGAACCCTGAACCATTATCAACGACTCCATCTCCTTACCTATCGAGAGATTTCTATTTAGAAAGTTTAAAGGTCACCGTACAATGGGTGCGTACATTTTGATTTATTAAATTGTTAGAGAACTAAATAAATTTTCTTAAGAAGTTAATAAGTTAACATTAAAGTCTCAATCGATGATAGAACTATACTAGACTTGTAACGTTAACTTGTAATTTTTTTTTATGAATATAATAGAAATCAAAGAAAGAAGAACGCAAGAAGTTCCCTACGATGGACAAGATCGGTTCAGATATTTCTTCGTCAGAGGACGAGTTGTTGACTGGTGAGGAGCCAAGAAGATCGCCCCTAGCACCACCAGACAAAAATCAGGATAACCTGGACGACGACCAGGTTAGAAGTTTAGCTGACTGACGTGCTTAATAAATATCATAGCATAGAATATCAGTTCACACTAACCTGGTATATATTTTTTTTTTATTGCCTGGCCTTACAATCTTTGGCCGAGCTTCCTAACTTGTCCCCACTATTTTCAGCAAGCCCTTATTACTCTATTCTTCTCTTACATTCCAGTTCTCACATTTACCATCTTTCATTCCTCATTCCTGATCTTTCTTTTTTTCCATCCTCATTTGTTCCTTCGGCTGTGATTGCCGGTCCTATTCTTTTCTATTCTACTTTTATTTATTTTTGTTCATTGGGGTTTTTTAACATACTTACGGTCAGTTGCACAAACGTCCATTAAGGTTTAATGACACCCTTAAGCTCTAATGAATGTAATTTGAATGGGTAATGTCACTTTAAACTAATCCGAATTTTAATGGACGTTTGTGCAACTGGCTGATACACTTTTTTATTTATTTCTATGTGGTTACACTGTCTTATTCTATGTTACTGTTTATTTCTTGTTTATGTTCTATTTTAGTTACCTTCTCTTTTTATTTATTTTACACTTTTGCATTTTTACTATTTCTACTTGTTGATTATATTCTAATATATTTACTTATCCTAATACAAACCTGGTATAGTTACATAGTTATACAATTTCAGCTCAACGTCGAAGTCTTAATAGGGAAAATTACGCAAAGCTCGGGAGTATATAGCAGCACTAGCTCTTTTGAGTATTTTGTATTTTGGGAACAATCCTTGAGTCATACATGCAGCAATGATGTATTGTTGGATAAAATTACATTCTTCTTATTGTAAATAAGAGAAAAAAATAAGACCTTATTTTATGCTCTCTACTCTGTGAATTGTCGTTTAACAAATTTAATGAATGCCCTAACACTAAGCGGTCGATGCCGCCAATATACGTGTGTCTCCCTATAATTATAGTATCTTATAATAAATAGATGTCGCTGTCATCGCTTTCTTCGACTGAAGCTAAGATCGAGGAGCAAGTGCCAGCGGAGGCCTACTACTGTCCGCCTGTTGCTCCAACTCCATACTATCAACACGTGTGGCCGCCTACTGGTATGAAATTTGTAATACACAAATCGCGTTCTTCTGTTATAGGAATTAAGCCGAGTTTAATGTAATAAGAGATTAAATACAAAATAATTCTTGATTTCATACTCTTCATAGTATTGTGTAATGACGTCATTTTTAATTGGCTTTCTCTGAATAAAATCAAATGGAGAAAAAGGTTCCTCTTAGAGTTTTTATGCAAATCTTCTCAGTACAAGATTTGCTGACCTAGCTTTCTGTACCTATTGCAACTGTTCCGCCTGTGTCTTATCGAGCATATCAGAACTTAACGTGCTGATTTGCGTGTTAAATGTGTTAAATTACAGATGGCTTTACTAATGCCTTTGAATGTTAAGCGATAGCTCGAATAATATTTTTTTTTTACACTTCAAAGGCTTTTAGCGCGTAATTTGGCGCTAAATTATGTTATCGTATATTATCGTCGTCTCATTCGACGAGACGTGTACGCACAGCAAGATCGCATCATAAATAAATATATATTTGTTAAACGGAATGCGGCTGATTTTCGTGGGCTCGCTTTATTAATCGATAAAACCATTGGTTCGTTTATTCGAAAATGTTTATTTATTAAATTGTTCAAATTAATTATGAAAAATGTCAAATATTTTATACTCGTTGTCACGTGACCGTAAACACCGCGTAACGTCACGCCCTTTTTACTAAATTCAAATCAGAACTTAGAGAATTGACCCTTATGCATAATAGACAGAAGTTGCCGTTATCGCAGGAAATTTTGAAAGCTAAATTTTGTTCTTAATAAAAAATGCTTAAAAGATCCACTTGGTCCCTGGCACCCTGAGATGGGATTCGAACACATGAACCTTTCTCAATCAGGGCGACTGCTCTGACCACTGAGCTACCCAGGACCTAACAGGACTGATGAATCTTTCAAGCACTAGTTACTTTTTTGCCACTACAGAGCGTATTCTCATCAATGTTCAAGCAATCCACCTAAACAGCCAAAAGAAATATTTTAAAAAATATTTAAACTTTCGGTAAAGATAAAAACTTGTTCTAATTATTATTAAGGATATTGTTCAGCATAGCATTGTGAATGCGGAATTGATCAAATATAATAACTAAATTTTGTTTTTAAACTTTAAAGTTATTAAACGAATGATATTTTTAAAAATAGGTAAAAAAAATAACAACCCTATTTAAACTATCCTATTGTAGCGTATGGTGCGGGGGCGTACGGTGCACCAGATATAGGTCTAGCTTATAGTGGAGGATTTGCGCCTCCGCCGATACTGACCCATCACTACCAACCGTACCCTGAACCGACGGTACCCGCACAGGTAATGTCATATTATATAATTTGCTATTATTTTCAAATCTATTTTTAATTCTTTCTTTTACTATAGAAGCAACATTGGATTCGTAAAAAAATAATACCTATTATCGCCAACTTTATGGAACCGCTGATTATTTTTTGGCAATTTCAGTTCCTTCCATAGTAAAAGTTGTTCATTATACTATAAAGTCTCGTTCAGGTAGGAAAAATTTAACTTCAACAAAATTCTAAATTTTAGCTTTTACTACCAACATACAGAAAGCAAAGTTTTTTTAAATACTAAAATATGAAGTAATCTGAGCGAAACACTGGACTCCGACGAAATCCACGAGGGCAACGCCATTAATTAAAAAGAAGAAGAAGAACTCATCCACATCACGAAGTCCTGGCACACAAAAATCTTTCACCTATTATATTTATAAACTGATGTGTTGTTGACCAAATTATTTTGGAAACATTATACATAGCCTTGTGTTTAAAACCATACAGAAATGGTTAAACACAAGACTGTCTAATCCTAATCTGCGCTAATTGCCGAAAATATATGATTTAGCGGGACAAAAATAACCTAGGCTGAATTGACGTTTTTTGAATTTGAATGGAATTATCACTGATATTTTTTTCTTCGTATGAAGTTCTAATTTCTTACAGGAACTGGATAATCCTCACTATCCAACTATAAACACCGTGATCGAACGGGTCACTAATGAGCTGAAACAAATCTTAAAGAAAGACTTCAACAAGAAAATGATTGAAAGTACAGCGTTTAAGAGTTTTGAGCTCTGGTGGGATGAACAGAGTCGAAAGGCTAGATTACCAACTAAACCTAAAGAGGAAACTGGTCAGCAACCCTTACAGGTAATGATATATGTTCTTCTAGCTAGATGTAATAGGGTTGTTGGAATATTTATTTACTTATTTCATTTTGCACATGTTCATTGCCTAAAATATTTATTATTAATATCTTAATTCGACTACAGCTTTAGAAATCATGTATTTTCGCTAACTACATCTTTTTTTGACTTTATCATATAGGACGTTACCAAAAAGTCACATATGATAAAGTCAAAAAAAAAATGTAGTTAGCATATTTATAGTATTTGTGGAAAATTGACCTTACGCATTTAGAGATACACGCGTATAGCTTGATCTCTGTTACAACGCAAACATCTAATGAGAGCTATAATAAAATCATTGTTATAAGTCAATAGATTATTACAAAAGGGAATATGCACACTTTTTAAAAACGATTTTTAAGATAATTCAGTAATTATTATAAAAATCGATTAACAACTGATCAATTTTTTAGGTATAATAGACTTTTTTAATCATCTTATAGTTTAAAACATCATTTAAATTGTAATTTGTTGTTTATTTTGCGGCATAATGCATTGATATTATTGCATGGATGTTAACTTTTTGTAACAACGACATCGCTATACGTGTACATTTTCGTCACAACCGCTGTAACAAGTAGTATGGTGTTTAAATATTTTTAAATTACGCAATTTTTGCACTTTTGAGTAATTATTTTCAAGACGAAAACGAACTAACGTTAAAAAATATTTACAAATACTTTATTCTAAAGCAATAATGATCGTAATAAAATATATTAAACCATTTTTGAATCGGACGCGATTCCCTAATGAATAATAATTCATTTTACCTGTTTTTGATAGTCTAGCAATTTTTGATTATTTTATGGTCGTTAAGCAAAAGTTCTTTAAAAAAAATTGAAGGCAATTTAACATTTACAAGTAATTATATCTAGATTTATCTGTTCAGGATATATCAAACAAAAAAGAAGAGACTGTGGACTCTATAAAATCTATAATAGAATCTCGCGAGCTAGGTCTGGAATTGGGCGGTTACACTATGGGTATAGGCCTGGGGTTGCGCGCTGCAATACCAAAAATGCCTAGTTTTCGTCGCAAGCGCAAGATACCATCGCCTGTGGTTATAGACGAAGACTCGTCGAAGAGGCTCAGTGATCAGGTGTGTATGATAAAGACTAAATCATTCCTACTTTGGCTAGTATTATTATATTATAATGTTTTGAAATATCTGACTGACTATAGTGTCAATCGCTTTTTAGGATATCTAATTTATGGTATATCCTGCTCATAGAACCATTTGTTATACAACCGCCATAAACTAAAATATCTGATTTATTATGAAAGAACTGATAAAATTTCGTCATTAATTTTAATTATATTATTTTTTCCAAAGAAATTAAATAGAATAATTTTGTCAAGTTTCTTATTAAAAACTATAATGAGTATAATGTTGCGGAGTATTATATTACATATTAATTATTTAGGAGGAAATGGTACAAAACTCTGATGAAGAGAAAGAAGTGCCGTCGGCGAGTCCTCGTGCGAGAAATACTGGCTCGTATTTATCGCGGGAACGACGACGCCAGTCTACTAGCTCTTCCAGGTCAGTTCTAGGAGACTATAGAAATACCGTTTTACCTCAATTACACGATGTTAAAACCTTAATAATGTAAAAGATATATATTTTAACTTCGATTAGAGAAGGATACATAATGACGTCATCAGTGTATGAAGGTAGAACGTAACTAAGAGTCACATGAAGAAGACAGAGACCTAAAATGTTCTCACTTCAACTTTTTCCTTTATATTACTCGAAATTTAAATGATGAAAATAGAAATTTAAAATAATAGATCAATTTATAATTATTTATTTAATTTGCTGTCAGAAACTTGCCACTTCCTTGGTGATGTCACTGGTATCTTGTTAATGATTATGTTTTCCACATTGAAAGGTCGTCGTCATCATCATCAAGTCGGTCCTCATCAACAGATTCTGGTTCAGAAAGAGAACCTAAGGTGACCGCGCCACGGATATACTCCGATACGGATGACGATTCTGAGCTGGAGGAGGCAGAGGTATTTATTTATCTTTTTTGCTTAAAACTATTAAATTGATTCAAAAGGCATCCCTTGAACTTGCTCTGATTGTAAGTGCGAGTTAGGTGAGACTGAGATAATGATTCATATTGATACAGTTTTCAGCTGGACATAGTTACCGTAATAACACATATCGCTAGGAAATAAAGTCTATAAAAGCTTATAGTCTGTATAAACGAAGCCGCACCCTGAATATAGTCTGATAGACGCGACAATTGCGTTCTTCTTCTTATCCCTTCATAGAAAACTGAATGCACTAATAAATGTGCCATCGAGCTCCACGTTGAATACTATTTTTAATATTTTTAAAAGCGGACGAATCTACATTGGCTTTTAATAGGCTTGTGTCCTACAAGTGAAAATACAGGTTTTTTTTATATCATCGAAAAATATTAACCATTTTGACTTATAAATTTTTAACAAAACAAATTTTAAGTCACTGATTTGGAAAATATTACGCTTTGAAAACTTGAAAAAGTAGAGAAAATTTACTACAAAAATTTGCTAAAATACATAAGGCATTAAATTAGATATAAAAAATGTTACAACTTTCATCATTACAGCTATAAACATAAACGCACAAATAACAAAGATATTACAAAAATGTCCAGACGCCTATACATTTTTCGCTACTGTAGCACCGTGTGACGTCACTGAGTGCCTTGAATTTGTAGAGAGCGTTTTCGGCCAACTAGCAGCAGATCTACAAACACAGCACCGTATCTACGAAACTATTAATCGCAGACATGTTGTTACTTCGACATTATTTCTCAGATGTTAATGGTCTATTTATTTATGAAATAAAAAAAAGTTGTCAAGTAGCTTATTCTGGACATTAATGTATGAATATTTCCGTCAGTTGAAAGTGGTATCGAACAAGGAGCGATTGCGTCGCGTATACTCATCGTCGGATAGTGAAGCGGAACAGAGTCGACGGGAGAAGACTCCCATACCTGCAGTGGAGGTTCACGAGGACCGGCTCGGGTCACCCATCCTGTCCCCGGAGCCCACGGACCTGTTGCTGGACAGGGTATACTCGGACTCGGAAGAGGAGCGCGAGTACCAGGTATACTATCCCATCTGTTACTCAAAAAAGGCGTATGTACTAGATATATTATTATTATTATTGAAAAAGAAAGAAACTCGTTTATTGACCCACAAACTTAAAAAAATAAAACAAACGTTATATAATAAGAGATGGAGAAGAATATAAATTAATATCAATTACAGTTTTGTCAATCAGGACCCTGTCTCAGTTTATGTTGCTGATATGCTGACAGGGCCTGTTTATATGTGACGTGTAACTAAATAATTATAAATACGTATAGGCATATAAAACCATTATTATAATAAAAAGATTTTTAATATTATTAAGTTACATATTTTAGATATAGCCCGAGAGTATTATCAAATAGTTATATCTAACTGGAGTCGTCTATTGCACTGTCGTCGTTATCAGTATATGCAAATAGTAAATGGAAAGTTAAGCAACTGGACTTACATATAATTTAAAAACTTGTGGCCGCTTTAAATTCAGTAATCTTGTTCTGATAACAGTAACACAAAGTTTTGCCTATATAGATGATTGATTTATTTATTGAAACAGTTAAGAGATTCATGCTCTAATAAATTTCTACGTTTCAAATTAATATGGTTAAAAATAATTCAGTACTGAGATTCATTGATATATGCGAACAGGAGAGAAGAAGGCGGAACACGGAATACATGGAGCAGATCGAACGGGAATTCCTCGAAGAGCAACGAAGAAAAATGGAGGCGGACACGCGCCCGCAACCGGCGAAACCACCCGACGAAAGGTGCAGTTCACAATACTTCAAGTTATTGAGGCCAAACAGAATTTGATTTGATTTACTCGCCTCTGATGCGCTGTAATCTTAAATTTAATGATTAGAGATGGAAATCATTTGTAATGTTCCTTTAAATCGTAAGGTTATGAGGTAATCATCCGTTATGTCATCCGATATAGCAATGTAGGTATATACTTTTAATTCATATGCGTTTCGTTCAGAATAAATATTGCCATAAAAGAGTAAATACTCCGGTTGGTATACAATATCTGCTGGGTTATTTTATTTGCATAATTTGAATTCACATAATGTTCCTAGAAAAAATAATCAACCAATAAGGTTAGATTAGAACTGTGATCAAAACAAAAAGTGAACTGGAGATCGAGGCAGACGTGCTGCGACAGCGACTAGCAAGTGCTATATACAAGCTTTTACATTTATGCTTCAATATCATTATGGTTAAAAAAATATTCGTCAGCCGTTATGCTTAATTATATAAAAAAATAAAATATGGAAGTTTTGTTCTCATAGTCCTGCATTTAATGAAAAAATATCTTCTCAGCCCGCCAGAAGCAAAGGTTAACGAGATCCGAAGTCCAGTCAAGAATCACGTTAAATCTCCAGAGAGACGGGATAGCAAGCCCGAAATGGAAGAGGGCGAGATCAGTTCAGAAGAGGAGCCAGCGAGAAGGAAGAAGGACAGGACGAAGAAGAAGGAGAAGCGACAGAGGGTTGTTTCACTTTCAGTCAGTGAACACGAAAACAGCAATAACGAAACCAGTGTTAGTGTTAATGGAGTTAAAGAGGTCAGTGTTTGTTGTTTCTTATTCATAATGTAAGTTTAACTCGTATCGATCCGAATGTAACGCGCTGAAAGAGGCGAAAAAATGCATTTCAGAATTCGTTGTATGAAACCTGCTTACGTAGTATTTATTGTTAGAACTCTTATAACACCTTTCAGTCGCATGCAATGTGTAAAGTAAATTTCTTTGACTTCTTTCGAGTTTATATTTGGCATATTTGCAATCTCACGGATTTCTTTGTCGTTTTATAATTGTCATTCGTCTGTTTTTATATTTATAGATGAATCTATATTTTCTGTACGTAAGTTTACTCTGAATTCATCTTTTACGTCCAAGTTTAGACCGACTTCCATACTTTTTGTTTACTTGGGAGAGTCTGGGTGGTGTTGATTCACAATGAGGAAGTATTTAAAAAAAAAGAAAGCACTATAAAGCACCTCCACTAGATGGCGACTCTAGCAAAAGTTGATTTTTGCAGGAAACTGATGGACCAAAAACAGTCATTTCCTTTCTTTTTAACTAACATTTTGTGGTAACGCATATCTGCATAACCACGCGGGCGAAATCGCGGGCAATAGCTTGTATCTTTACAAAATCTCTAGTGTAAAAGCGAAAGGTAACTCGCTCACTCATGAAATCTCATAAAATACAAATGCTAGGATTTAAATATTAACACGTAGGCTTTTTATTACACGAAACGGTTCCCTGAGGACTACTCGCGCGTTGCCGCTAGCGGAATGTTAGTTATTATATTATATTTATATACGCGGTACGTTTTGTAGGCGAGCGGTACACATTCAGAAACGTGGTCGCCTCAATCTCAGGCGTCGCAAGCGTCTCAGGCGTCGCAGGTCGCGTTAGACCACTCCTACTGTCGACCGCCGCCCGAGACACAAAACAACGCCCAAAGGAGACCCTCCAATCATTTACATCACGACCATGGTATGAAACAACGATATTATTGCATGTTAGTACAGTAGGTGAATGGAAAGGTTCCTCGCAATAATAGATTACATACTATTTGCCCTGTAATGTTAATACGGGTGTATTCAGTAAACGAAAATAAATACATATTTTAGTGTTAAATATACTGTTAGCGATAATAATCACACTTTTATGCTTATTATGCTTATAATATTGCCTAAATTAATTATAAAAATCAAACATTTTATACTCGTCAGGTAAACGTAATTTGCGCGTGACGTCAAACCCCTCTTACTGATATCAGAACTTAGAGAATTAAACCTTATGTATTCATAAATTTATTTGGGGCGAGACGTTATAGCGACGTCATGACAGAATTGTCATAGTTAAATTTATTTTTAGATTTTTACTTATCATAGGAATTATACTTTTATATATATATTTAGATAATTTGATTTATAAAATTAAAATATTTAAAAAGTTGCTTACACTCTTATTTATTTGATGAAAATGTTATGTCAATAGTAACAGATGTTATATAGAAGTTTACTTAAACTTAATCAAAGAAGTTTTCTATCGAAACGGGATATTTTACTTTTAAAATCAATGATAACATTTCAAAGAAAAGTAGACCTTATCATCCATGAGTTAAGCCTAGTTTTCTATGCAGCGTTATATTTGTCACTTAGTTGTATAAGGTATTACCTTCTTAGCTCGCGACTTTATAGGAATCTATTTGAAATAAGACTACCCTTTCATTCCCCTTTTGTACATCATCTTTACGTCATAATCACATCGACACTGGAAAGCAAACAATTTTGATTTTGCGGATTATTACGCGTTTACATGTTTGCGACCCCGGTCGATAAAGAATGAATAAAAAGTCTAGTATTCAGAATGAAAGACCTAGAGCAAATTATGGAACTGGAATGAAGAGCAGCAAAATAATAACAAAGTTTTGCTTAGGAGTGGGGGAACTGTTAAAAGCGCGGACAGCTATTAGGTATAAAAAACTGTACATTATCAGCAGCCTTTACCTTGACCCTACTGCTGGGACATAGGTTTCTCAAATCAAATCATGAGAATGGGTCGGGCAACACAACGCAAGCCCAGTGCAGATTGGTGGGTGTTAACGATTGCTTACCTACCGTTAAATGTCAGGAAACTTTAACGTACTTTCCGTAGTACGGACGAGCTGGAGATGAAAAGTTTTGGTCACTCATCATATGACCTGTCAAAGTCTAAAGGATATGCTCTAAAATATTGTAAAATAGAACAACCATTTATCTCATAATTAATAAAATAATGTGGAATAAAACTACAAAAAAATATAGACGCCCTCTATTGGTGCGCAATAATTATTTAACCATCTAATTGACATTTATCCTTGTGTCTCTATAAAATTTTAATTAAATATATGGATGACTAATCAGCCATTATAAAGTCTTATAATCTTATTGTCATACGTTTAGGTTACACGTGGATGGCGGAACCCGAGAGTGAACCACAGATCGAAGAAGAGAAACCTAAGAAAGAAACGAAGAGGCCGTACAAGAGAAAACACGAGACGAAAAAACTGGCTGAAATACAAAATAAGTAAGTGACAGTAATAAATTCAACAACGATGTTTAGTTTATTAAAATGTAACGTTACACGGTGCTCTGTGATGGTTACCCGCTTTTCAATTCTTGTAATCCACAGATTATAAATTGCAATTTAATGTTCCAAAAATTGTAACTTAAAATCTATATTATAACAAAAAAATATTTCATAGTTATTGTTCACATATATATACAACGTGTCCCAAAATTCAACGATAAGCGGGTGCCAAGAGGTCGACCTGCTCATGTGTACTTATGGAAAAATAAGAAAAAAATAATATCTTATTAATCTTTTATTATATTTATATTAATTTTTTATTATTAAATTAAATTCGAAAATCTTCGAAAATTTACACCTTTTATGATATTTTCAACTACCACGACCACAACTTCTCAATTATGTTCAATCTTTTTTTTGGTATAGGATACCTAAGTAGCACTACTATTCGCTACAACTCTTTAAAACACCAAAATGCCCGCAGTTTTTACACAAAAAACAATGAAAATGTATTTTTTCTTAAATTTTCACAGATTTTTACGTTCCCTAATCTTTGACTTACGGTCTTGTAAAAAAAAAGTATGGAAACCACTGTGGCAAGTTATTTTTAAAATTGACTGAACTCATCAAGATTCCAAAATGGTATATTAATCTAAGATAACTAGTCACAGTAAAAAAATATGCACACCATTTGTAAACCAAGAGTATTCCGGGCGTTGGATTGGGCGACTTGGTCCTATCTTATGGCCACCCCGATCGCCCGACCTAAACCCCCTGGACTTTTTCTATTGGGGTTGTCTCAAAGACAAAATCTATGAAAAACCCATTACGACATTGGACGAGCTTCGGCAAAAAATTAGTCAGGCTGCGTCACATATCAATGCTAAAAGGTATGCACGAAAAATAAAACGCTCTTTTTTAAGGCGATGTCGTGCATGTATTAATGCCGGTGGAAAACAATTTGAACATTTACTGTAATGTTAATTATTAATAAATGAATGAGACTAAAACTCACTATTGTTTTATTTCAATATTTTTTTTAAATATTAAAACATTTCGGAACAGTACAATTTATTACTCACAACTTTGGTTCTTGATTCTAAATGGTATGATTTTTAGTTTGTTGCTAGTTATCATGAAGTATTATACCATTATGGAATCTTCATGAGCTGCGTCAATTTTAAAAACAACTTACCGCAGTAGTGTCCATACTTTTTTTCTACATGACTGTGAGTCAAAGATTACGGAACGTAAAAATCTGTGAAAATTTAAGGAAAAAAATACATTTTGATTGTTATTTGTGTAAATACTGTAGGCATTTTGGTGTTTTTAACAGTTGTAGCGAATATTAGTACTACTTAGGTATCCGATACCAAAAAAAGATTGAACATAATTGAGAAGTTGTGGTCGTGGTAGTTGAAAATATCATAAAAGGTGTAATTTTCGAATTTTATTTTATAATAAAAAAGATTAATAAGATATAATTTTTTTCTTATTTTTCCATAAGTACACATGAGCAGGTCTAACTCTTGGCGCCCGCTTATCGTTGAATTTTGGGACACGTTGTATAAGTTACGATTTCCAACATATTTCATAATTTAATATTATAACTGCCAATTGATATTACAAAAAAAGGATTTACTGTAAGCGTTTATTGTTAAAGATACGCCTAATTATATTAATGAAATCTAAATATTTTCCAACGTTCCTTTATTTGCAGATTGTACGAAAGCCATGAAGACTACGAATCGCTCATGTACCCGAGCGTTGCGTTCAAACAGCGGGATATAATGGCAGAAATGCACGTTATGTATGAATTCCTTACTAGAGGTATAGACAGGGAGGACGTAGAATACTTGAGGAAGGCGTACGAATCGTTATTAGCTGAAGACGCGCAAGGATATTGGTTAAACGATACCCATTGGGTCGATCATCCACCAACAGATGTATGCTATAGTCCGCCCAAGAAGAAATCTAAGCGGCACAACAATATCTATGAAGATTTGCAGGTTAGTAGCACTCATCTGTTACGTCCTTACTGCAGAGCATTCTTTATGGATGCTTAAGTAGTATGGGTTATCTAACCCTCCATGCTGCCCGAATGCGGAATGTGGTGTATTAACGATTGCAAATGAGCCCGGACCTTGTTTATCTGTCCTATTAGGTTATTTGAGAACATTAAAAATTTTATAAAAATTGTGGTCATCTAATAAGACAAAAGCGTTATAACACATATTACACTTTATTTTAAACGAAATAGTATGTATATTTTTTGCAGATTATACGAAATAAAATTAAATCTTTTTTGACATTTTATCTATGACGATAACGTCTTGTTGTTGCACCTCCGATGACGTTCAACGCTTGTAAATATAGCTTCCTGTTGATGATTGTACTATGATGAGATTTGTTTATTTACTAGCGTGTGACGTCATACGCAGCGTATTGGCGGCGTATGACAGACACTGCGTCTTTCGCGCGGATTAGGAAATTAAAAATACAGTAAATTTCCCCGAAACATTAATGTGTTTATTAAGTAAAAATGAATAATTTAAAATTATTTTTCAAAATTAGTCAAATACCCTACTGTGTATTACGTTATACAGGGTCATTCGAGCGGGTCCGCTCGCACAGAGGGCTATTACAAGATGGACGCCCGACTGAAGGCCAAGTACAAGTACCACCATGGTCGCGCCGCCACACACGACGACAAGAAGGCCTCCAAGATGCAGCTACTGTCCAGGGAAGCGAGATCCAACCAGAGAAGACTGCTCACGGCATTTGGTAAGAATAGAGAAGAATAATCGTTTAATTACACTAAGGGTACAAAATAACAAGTAATAATGAAATTAAAATTAAGTACGTAAAAACATGTTTTACAAAAAACTAGGTGCTAAATGATCCATCAGCTCAGCATAATGTTAGACAGAGAGTACTTAACACTAGTTTTCAGCTGCGACCCTAAGGTGACGGAAGTACGCACGAATATCAATAAACGTATTTGTTTGTTTATTTTATTGATAATCCTGCTAAAACTCGAATAGACCTATCTTAAAAATATTTAACACCCCCGGTTGCAGAAAGGTTCATAAATATTGTCATTAGTTTAGTTTAAGTGACATATAGCCAGTTGCACAAACATCCATTTAAATTGTCATTAGTTTAAAGCCACATTACCTATACAAATTTGACATTCATTAGAGCTTAAAGGCATCATTAAACCTTAATGGACGTTTGTGCAACTGACTGATTACCGAGTTGAAATCTTCATATTCAAGGCTTAAAGTCGACATTAAACAAATTTGTGCATCTTGGTAAGAAATAGTCAAGAATGTACAGTTAAAGTTGATTCAGACCTAATAAAAGTTTTTGGTCACGTTACATTGACTAAAAAAGAGCTAAATATGAGAACACCTCAAAATAGTGCTTTCCAGCATATGAAATGTTTTCCAAATCACTCCAAATATATGCCGCAGACGTAGATGCATACAATTACTACAGTAGGTTTCGGAAAATGTGACGTTATAACTCTTATTTAGGTCTGTGGATACTAATAGTATACATTACGCCCCTGGAACAGGTTACAACCCTGTACTTAATAGAGGAACAAATTACAAAAGAGTTTCTATCAAAATTTAGCTGCTTCGAATTTCATTTTATGAAAAATATCTCTAATTATATCTTAAGTATTTATTCATAGATATTTCCAGTGAAGGCAACTTAATTATTATGTACGTACGAAAGTGAAGGATTAATACTAATATCTGTGTTTATAGGAACGGATACAGACTCAGATTTGCTCAAATTCAACCAGTTGAAGTTCAGAAAGAAGCAACTGAAGTTCGCCAAGTCCGGTATCCACGACTGGGGTCTCTTCGCTCAGGTAAAGTTATTGCATAATAATAAAGTGAATAAAATCATTGCCTTCTTTAAAAATTATACTACTGTTTAATATTCCTAGAATATTTCGTAAGAGATAATCAGTTTTGTAGTAATACTACGCGGACGAATTAACATGAGACCTGGCTAGAATGACGTTTGAGTAAAGTATTATGTTCAAAAACTTAATAATATATCTAATGAAAAAACTAAGATAATAAATCTTATCTTTCAAAAAACTCCACAATCCTAAAAAACTTTGAAATCGCAGACACGTAACATGTTAAGTATCTTTTGCAAGGGTCGTTCATGGTACTCCGTGCTTCGGAAGGCACGTTAAGCTGTTGATCCCGGCTGCAGTTGCAGTCGTTAATACCCACCAATCCGCATTGGGTCAGTTTGGAGGCTCATGGCCTATCCTCCTTAACCATCCATAAGGAAGGCCTTAGCCTCTGCAGTGGGGACGTAAAAGAGCTAATGATGACGTGTGATACGTTTGGTCTATGATCGCAGGAGCCTATAGCGGCTGATGAGATGGTGATAGAGTACGTAGGTCAGATGATCCGTCCGATAGTGGCGGACGTACGCGAGGCTCACTACGAGGCCACCGGTATAGGGAGCTCGTACCTGTTCCGTATAGACCTGGACACCATCATAGACGCCACTAAGTGCGGCAACCTGGCGCGATTCATCAATCACAGTTGCAACGTGAGTATATAACCGGTGATCGAAGTAGGTAGTTCGATATTTGTACTTATATCATAAATACCTATAGAAAGAATTGCATGGATAAGACGTTTTTCCGAAAAGTATTTCCGGATTCAATTTCAATTATATAAGTTAAGCTTGATTGATACGAGGGTCAAACTAAAAGTTCTTAGAAAATCAAAAACTGATTACATTAGCTAGTTATTAGTTTTATTATATCTTTTCAAAATATTGTCCATTCACGTCAATACACCGCTGCATGCGATGGAACCACTGGGAAAAGCACTTTGCCCACTCGTCCTTAGGGGTCTCTTCAATGGCATCGCGATACGCAGCCACCGCTTCTTCAGCATTCATAAACCGCTTTCCTTTAAGTTTTTCTTTAATTTTTGGAAATAAATAAAAATCACAAGGCGCGAGGTCGGGGCTATACGGCGGGTGACCCAGTAATTCAACGTTTGATGTCGCCAAATAGTCGATCGTTCGCTTGGCGGTGTGCGACGAGGCGTTGTCGTGGTGAAGGAGGATCCTACTGCGAGGTCGTTTCTCTCGAACTTTTTCCAAGACAAGTGGCAAACAATTGGTAGTGTACCATTCTGCAGAAACTGTTTTTTGATCCTCTAACACAATTGTTGCAAAATGACCTATCCTTCCAAAGAACGAGGCCACCATTTTTTTTTCCCGCACTTCGATCTCTCTTCACTTTAGTTGGCAACTCCTCGAAAGGAAACACCCACTGAGCAGATTGTCTTTTGGTTTTAGGATCATAACAGTAAATCCAGCTTTCGTCACCTGTTAGTATGTCGAACACAGCATTTGAGTCACCTCCGTTAAATCTTTCAATCATTTTACGACACCAATCCACACGATGGAGTTTTTGAGCCTCAGTCAAATTATGAGGTATCCACCGGGCGCAAAGCTTCCTGACCGCTAAATGTTCGTGGAGGATTTTGTGCACTTGACTCATACCGATGCCTAAGCTTGTCCGAATCTGTTGATAGGTCACTCTTTTGTCAGTCTCTATCATACGCCGCACAACACAGATGTTATCTTCAGTCGTCGCCGTAGAAGGCCGTCCCTCACGTAAATCATCAGTGAGATTAGTGCGACCACGTTTAAACTCATTAAACCAGTTGTAAACAGTCGCACGAGATGGGGCTTCATCGTGAAAGGCCAATCGTAGTCTATCATAACTTTCTTGTTGACTTAAATGACATCGAAAGTCATAAAAAATCATTGCACGAAAATTTTCTCGTGTTAAATTCATGATGACGTGACACAGACAATTTTCAATTTGCCGCCAAATCGTAAAACAAATGACAAATGAATGAAATATATACTCAGTAATATTGGCAAAGAGTTATATTTTCAAATTTTAGAATTATTTTTTTATTATATTGTTTATAAGTGGCCAGTTCTAAGAACTTTCAGTTTGACCCTCGTATAATGGTTATTGTAATGATAATATCTCCATGATTTTTAAATTGGTTATTTCTGATGAGCTTCATTTTATCACATTCCAATGTAAAAAAATATAAAGCACCTCATAGTTTTAGTTAAACAATATTTAAAGGCATAAGTTTTATCACCTCTAAAGAAAAAAAAACACTATAAGAATAAAACTGACTATAAATTCCTTTGACAGCCAAATTGCTACGCGAAGATTATAACGATAGAATCGCAAAAGAAGATCGTTATATACTCGAAACAACCGATCGGCGTCGACGAAGAAATCACGTACGACTACAAGTTCCCGCTGGAAGACGAGAAGATTCCGTGTCTGTGCGGGGCGCCGCAATGTCGTGGATTCCTCAACTGATACCAGAGAATTTTCACATATAATGGAAACAAAAATCTACCATTCACATTTACAAAGCAACAGCCAGATGTCTTCTTCTGTTTTGTATCATCGAATCATGTTACCTCTCGCACAACGTTCTCGAGAACCGTGTAGTCTGTATTCGGACTGCCTGTAGTTATTAGCGATAGTTTCCGATAAGAATTTGTAAATATTTTACCCAAGGGACATCGTTTTATTCGCGAGTTATAAATAAATTAGCGGGTAGCTTATTTCAGAATAATATTAGTCTGACTCTACCTCATATAACATCGGGAGTTGATAAATGATGTCCGACGGTGTATCCAGAGCTTCCGAGTTATGTTAAAAGTTGGTTTGGATCGTCGTTAGTCTTCATTTGTAGACTACAATTTTGGAATCGCTGCAGTTTCAAAACTACCGTCTCGATTTGAAATTGTTTTATATGAAAAAGATATGTAATAATTGTGTGATGTGTGAATCTGAAGTCTGTAAGTTTACTTCATGTATTTTGTGAAAACTCGATGCATTGTGTATGTATAAATTATCTCACGACTGTATTTGTAATATAATATATTTATACTAGTTGCGACTGAGTCTGAAATATGTTTTTATTAGTCGTAATGTCATGTAATGGTGTATAATTATTGTTTGTTTTGTACATTGTTTGTGAATAAAGATCTCTTGCTGATGCTCCAGGTTTATGTAGTACACTTTTGAAGTACAGACTGTATAATGATATTCAATTTTCTAAATGTTTTAATTACTCGATAGTCTCTCCGTTCGTGAAACAGTCGCGATGGTAACGGAGCCGAGGGCGGTTAAATGAGTTTTTTTTAATTGAGAGGTGCGACCTTTAAATATAATATTTGTAATAAAATAGATAACTTGCGATTATTTAATCGCACTTCATTATGATGTAATGTAAAATGTATAAGATTGTAAATAAATAAAAGATTCCAACATTTAAATCTGTGTCATTTTGAAGATTGAGATTACTACTACTAAGCTAAGGTTCGTCTAAATTTTTGGTTGTTTATTAAGATTGTCGTCATTTAAAGGAAAAACGCATTAGCAGCATAGTAATGACATATGCACTTAAGAAGCTCCTCCTGATGCGATGCTTCATGGATACTACCTTATTTTTTACTTGTACTAATGTAATATCGCGTATATTATTCAAACCAGCAAATGTAGCATGACGATCTCGAGAACGTTTTGTCTATACTCAAATGTTCTGGGTGCGCCCTTGCTATATCTCACTCTTGACCCGTGAAACTGACAAATGAGTGTAGACAAAGCGTTTCTCGAGTTTGTCATGCTATGCGTGCTGTATGTGTCAGAATGGCAGCGCCATCTTCTTCGATTTTGAAATGAACTTATTTATAGCGGTTGTGATAGACATTTATGGAATTGTGTAACTGTTAATCATAAACGTTATGGAGTAGGTCAGTGGCGTTGTGGATAAGCACCGCTGCCCGCGGCATTAAGCAAATTTCGCAAGGGTTGGTCAATGGATGGGTGACCAAAAAATTATTATCTCGAGCTACTCCGTGCTTTGGAAGGCACGTTAAGGTATTGGTCCCGGCTGCATTTGCAGTCTTCAATAACCTCTAATCTGCTTTGGGCCAGCGTGGAGGGTTATGGTCATTCATAAGGAAGGCCTCAGCCTCCCTGAGCAGTGGGGACAAGGCCGATGATCATGAAACATTATCGTTCATTCAATATATTTAAAAAACGTCGCGACTGCACTTGCTATCCCATGTCAAATAGTTGTAGCGTGAAGTTCGTGAATATCTTACTAATGTCAATTGATTGTGATAGATTTTAAATTATATAATTAGGTTACAGGATAGTTCAGATTTCATTATAAATACAGAGCTATGGCTCTGACAGACTGACGTCAGCCCGGCAGCGCCACAACTTACGTAACTTGGCAATTTGGGCCTATTATTTATTAGTCATTAATAAGGAACCAAATGGATCAAGAAATCTTGTCAAAATCGTAGACAGTGGCGCTGCCAGCGTGACTTGAAGTATAATGTACCTATAATGTTATTCTAGATTGCCAAGTGAACATGACGAGTCCAAGCAAATATGATCTCTTATGTTTTAAAGTAGGGTTAAAAATCGTGTAATCTGCAGAAATACTAGTATAATAAAGTTTTTATTTTATTTTACTTTATTGAGGATCAAATGGTTGTTTACAAGAAAAAAATAGGCAGATATTCTAGTAAAAACGTCTGACCTCAATCCGCCATACGAAGTAATAAGTGTTCATTCCTATTATTAATCACAAAAATGCATTCAAGTATCTCCATGCGTTTCGCCCACAGATCATTCCAGACAAGTTCATAACCTGGGTAAATTATTTGTTATGCAAAAATAGGATTTCATATGTTATGCATACGGACAGACAATAAATTAAGTCATCATGCCTATTTCATCCAAAATTTATAATCAACCTTAGAGCATAGACACCTTAGAACAATAACAATTCTGAGATAAGCACGAGCCATGGTGCCAACATTACATTTCGGATTCAAATATGCCTACAACTGACGCTTACGACACTAGCATTAGAATTATTTTTTTTCCAACAATGATCTAAATTTCCCAAAAGTGTGTGGGCGGCGTTTGAATGCAGCTGGTTTATTCGATGAATTCTATGTTAAATGAATCAAATGTACAGAATAATTTATATAAAAATATATTTTGTAACATGTCATACATATTAAAACAAACATCACTTAAATTAATATAAACATACATTACGAGGACTTAGGGATCGAAAATACAAACGTATAATTTCCCCTACAAAACATCAGTTCTATACAATCATAACTAAATCTAGCATAAACTAAACATTCAAATCACAGTATTTTTTTCGTAATAACTTTGTTTATGAAAATGAAAAGCAATAAATACTTTTGATTAGAATTGAAAAAAGTATTTATTGTCGAGAAGCGTAAGATTCTTTCTTAAATTTATCCAAAGTAACATCTTTTGAAATTGTTTTTTATTTAAAATTGCTATTTTGGCAAATTATGTGACTCAGTTTTATTAATTATTATGCATATATATAAAAAAAGGTCATTAAGTTATTACTAAATCAATAATTACATCAATTTCTTATAGTAAAGAATGTAACAATATAAGACAATAAATACTTATGAATTAAATGCTACCTAAAAATTAATTACACAATCGAATGGGTTCATTCTTTTATCAAAATCATATAGTAAATGTTATTCCTAAAAAAATATTAGATTTTAGATAAAAATCTTAGCAATTTTCATATTTCATATAATAAGAGATCTTAAATTACGATGGCTAAGAACATTTTCTTTAGAAATAAAGACAATCGGATCTGATCGGATATTATATGGTAACCATGGAGACCAATTTTAATTAATATATTATTGGAAACGTACCTGTCTAGTGAACATTTCTGCGCATATATCGTTTGTGCACTTAGAACCTTCTGTCTTATCTTCACTCTCCGTAGAATCAGAGTCGAATTCCGAAACGGACGCAGGCGACTTCCTGCCGTTCAAATTGGATCGTTTCAATCCAACCTCCGTGGTGAGAATCTTTTTAATGACTTCATCGGGAGTCTGATCCTTGTGATTCTTGTTTCTGAGTTGCCGCGCTCTCTTTCTGATGTCTGCTAAGAAACCCGTGGTGGCTTCGACGCTTTCTTGAGACACTCGGGAATCATTTTGCGGCGACAAATCCGTCGTAGACTGTGCGAGGTCCGTAGACGAGCTTTTCGTGTCCGATATGGTTTCGAGAGATTCAATGGATGCTCCAACGCTTCGGAACGCCGTCGATCCCTCTACCAAAGATACTTTGTACCCGTCGTCGTCTTCACAACTAACGATAATTCCGTTGGGTGTAGTACATAGTAACACAGGCTCTTTCATCTTCAAATTGAACGTTTCCGGCATATAGCATTCGGAAGCGGTGGATGCCAAAGATGTAGTGTCGCATGTGCACGGCGGGGCTCTGTACGCGTCATCGTTGATATACAGTATACTGATTTTTTCATCATCAACGATATACAAGAACGGGTCGACAAATTCCCATGAGCGAACAGCAGAACTCCATTTAGGGTCTTCGTTGCGAGTCCGTTTGCCGTTCTCGTCGACGAAGATGCCGCATTCCGCGTAACAGAGAAGTATTTCGAAAGGCTCCTCGTGGATGAGTAGAATCGCTCGTGGAGGTGAATGTTTCCTTGCTGCGGCCGCGATCAAAGGCTCCTCGTTCCCGAACGCTTCTAACATTCCCGAGGGTAGATTGACTCGGAGTGGTTTCTCACCGGCAATGTATAGAGCTCGTGGTGTGAGCAGGACAGATGCAGGCGGACGGTCGACGGTGAGGGAGCGAGCGATTCTGAACTCTGTGGCGACCGCGTCGAAGCGTAATAGGAACACTCGGCGACCGCACGCTACCGCCGCACATATAACCTCGGTTCCATCGCAGCCTACTGCTGCCTGAAACAACAGAACAGAAGCAACATGATTTTTAAGCTTTCTGGTTTAAATTTTTTTTAATGATCAGTTGATAGCAGTTTGGTAAAACTAGGACTTTTTAAACTAGTCCTTGTGAAACGTAAAAGACTTAATTTATTAAGAATAGTCAGTTGAGATTTTGTACTTTTCTCAATTCAGAAACCAGAGGTATGTCAGAATGGGACAAATTTTTATTTGAAAAGGTTGACCTTTTAACATTCATTTAAGTATTGAATTCATGACAACGTATTAACAATGTAATGTCATACAAATTAATTCCTTATTTTGAGACTTCGTCTATGCTAACCTTGACTAGATGGGGCGTGGTGTTATCAGGTAATCTGACTGTCGTAAGTTGGAGGGTAGGCTTCAGGTTGGCGGCGCGTCTCAATGTTGATGAGAGGGTCAACAGTGAGCCGGACACGAGTGACCCGCTGTACAACACGAGAACTCGCCCCGCTGCCGACGCCATACCCTCAACATCACCCCCGTCACTCTCATATTCAACACCGATTGGCCCGCGCAGGGAATAAAGTCCGTCGGAACATCCTGTAACCAATATATTCAGAGCATAATCACCAGCCAATTAATGTATCCATTGCTGGGGTAGGCCTTCCCTATGGATGGGCTATGACCGTGCAATCTCAACGCGGTTTTTGGTCACCCAACCTATAACCGACCCCCGCGAAAGTCACTTACCAACTGTACACAGACCGAATGAGCTAACAACACTGCGCCATCGAGCTCCTCATTTATAAAGAGATGACTAAATTGTTTTAAACTGGAAACATTCTTAATGAAAAATTATTTAAAAAATCCTCTTGCACTAGGTACTCTCGAGATGGGACGCGAACGACCTCTCGCAATCCGGGCGAAAGCAAAATTGATCAGATGTATTTGTTTTAAGCTATTCATATGCAAATTGGTGATCCAAAAACGGAATTGTAACATATATAAATTACTTTCAAACAATTTTAGGACTAAAAAAAAATTTGGCTAACTATTATGTCATGCAGATGATACATACCGATGGCTACAGCTTCCCGCGTAACATAGAGGCCAGTGGTGGGCGGTGTGTTCAGAGTAACGAGCGAGAGCGGCGCGTACGACAACGATGGAGCGGGAGCGGGAGCGGAACGCAAACGGGACACCCACTCATTACGAGAACTTATACTAGGACACACTATAGCCGCTTTAGTGCACTTGGCTGGGCTGTCGAATTTCACCTGGAAATATATACGATGTTTAAAAATATTTACTCCTAATAAAACTAAATTTTGATAAAGACAACACTCAGTATTAAAACTTAATTATTATAAAACTATATAAGTAATAAACTAGGCAAGTTAAAAAAAGAACATGACTTAAGTATATGTAAAAGGTGAGTCGTAGAGCTGCCCTGCGATTCTGTACAAACCTAACCGCAAATCCGAATTAACTCAGGTGTCCGAATTTAAAAAGCGGCACCGGTCATAGTATGTTGTAATAATGTTTCGTCACATAAGTGAAGTGAGTTCCGAAATGACAAAGGAATAGAATATCTTAAACACGTATATCAATCAATTTTGTTTTGTATTTTATACAAAAAATGGAATCAATAGAATTCTTCACAAACGTGAACGTTGAATTCGGTCGGACACATGAGTGAATTTGAATTCTAGTTTGGATTTTACAGAAATGCAGGGCAGGTCAAATGAAGAGACAGTTCACGATATATAGTTATATTGAGTCACCTTAAACTGTTTGTAGCTGAAATTTGAAAATACTTTATGTAGGAACAGTTACCTACATACCGTAACTACTAAACAACATCATATATATTACTCGGATTCTGCTTTAGCTGTTAGAACATTAATGTATCTACTCTGTGCATATGAATAATTATAGAGAACGGAACCGATTCCAGATTGGTGGGTGATTAAAAAACATACTTACAGTGAATGCCCTGCCAGCCTCGTTGTGTGGTAGCTGGGCTGCATCCTCTGTCAAGTATTTGGCTCGAAGAGTTCTCTCCCCACTGTTTAGTAATAAGGCGCCGTCCTCATAACGACATCGCATGCGATCGCGACTGCCGTCAGCCCTGGAATAATTACATTATACACACGCCATTAAATTGTCATTAGTTAAAAGCGTCATTATCGGCATAAATTTTGAAATTTAGAACGTTCATCAAAACTTAAAGTCCTCATTAAACCATAATAACCTCTATGTGGAAACCTAAAGTTGGTTTATTTTTTGTTATGTCATAATCTATCTTGTTTGATTAGCTGTTGGTTTTCCAAGAAAAGTAAATAAATAATGGACGCTTGTGCCAGTTGCACTGTAAGATCAGCAGATTATTATAGCTGAATTTTGCTATAGTATTGCAACATAAGATGACGCAACTAAGTAATAGAAATTAATCAAATCTTTCAGTCTCTGGATGAAAAAGTAATTTTATGTAATCAGCGGACCAATTGAGTGAATAGCCCTTTAATTGAATTGCGCCATTCAATTTCATTGAAGGGCTAGCCGCTCTATTGGTCGGCTGATTATACCACTTGGCTGCGACATATGCATAATTGGTACTTACAAACGATTAGGTACTATATTAGAATCAACTAAGTGTAGTGATAGGCATGTGATAAGAATGTTATAGAAATTATAATAATACAATTTTCTCACCATATTACTTGAAGAGTGTTGTTATCTTGAGTGCCATCAGGCATATCGATACTCTTCTTCCTAAAAATATTGTACATGAAAATTATTCCACATCATATTGAAGGGTAAATCAAAAAAAGAAACAAAGCTACCAAAACATACTTATTGATTTCTGTTTGTGATTTATCACGTTTTGGTGTTGCTGGAAACGGAGGACAACTGAAACAGATTTAATTGAGAAATAAAATTTACTAGTATGGTTATTTCGTCGAGCTAATAATAGAGCCAGACAAAGCACATGCATTGTATTGCCATACAACTGAAGTGTTTTTGTCGTTTCGCAGACGTTTCGCTTTCGCAAACGAATGCGTCGGTGTACTAACGGCGGCATGACATAAAAAGGCAAAAAATTATAATCTATACAAACTAATATGATAAGGAGGAACAGTTTCCAATTCTGTTATGTTTATATGTAGGGAGTGGTCTTCGGAAAAACTGAGGGTAAGCTACATCATACGCGGACGGCCCTGGCTACAACTTTCACGGGTAAAGTAGCGGGAAAACAGCTAGTGATAAATAAATATACAAAACAAAAAATGATAAATAAATATGTTGACTTACTCAACCTCTCCATTCCTCTTGGAGAGCTGCGCGCGTAACCTTTCGACTTCTTCTCGTAGCTCTCTGTAATAATTAGTTTCGTATTAATGATACCGTTGCCTTTTTTAGTGTGGCCATATTTAGACATATGGATTTTATCAAAACATTTCATTTGATTTATTTTTAAAATATCATATGTAAAGAAAGTTGTTTTTGTAATGTACATACATGAAATCGGTTTTTGACTTTTATGTCTATTGTTATTTTGTTTTGGAATCCTGTTATAGCCACCCACAAAAACACAACCCTTGTAAAGCTGTTAATAAAAAACGATATAGGGAATTCAACCCTTGCTGTGCAAGTGCATAGTTACATCGTAAATTGTCAAAAAATGCGCTTCTCTCGTAGACAAAACTTATTTTGTGGAGAAATAGAATAGGCCTTCACTTTAATTTGTACGAGTAGTAAATTTATTTGTGAAATAGAACCTGTTAGCGCGACGAAGAGGGGGCGATGCAGCTGACCTGCGTCCTGACCGTCCGAAAAGTTTGTTGCTCAGCGAACATTTCTTACGGCCAGCTTCTTCTACTTTAGCCTGAAAACATATCGTCTTTAAATAGAAAGCCAATGGTAAGGACGTTGTAGTCTGTTTGAGAAAGTATTAGTCACTAAAATAATATTTCGAAAAAATCAAATAAAATACACAAAACAGAGGCGTAGAATATATAATTAAATAGAATAACATATGTCAGTCAGATGAAAACAAAATCATTTAACGACCTTGCTACAACATAAAAAGATATAAACAAGATAAGAAGCTGTTTGCATCATCTAGAACCTGTTATAAAATAAACAGACAGCTGTTTGGGAGATCTGACAGACCGATATAAAGTCCCATCAAATACGACCTATATTTAATGTTACGTGATACAAAAAAAGAAAAGAAAAAAATGATTGCTATCGAATATCTATGTTAATGCAAGCTTTTGTGGAATTTCTTCAGTTAATTTTCGCTACTGATACTACCTTATGAGCTGATAAGTATAGCATGATAATGCAAGTGACCTGTAGGAAGTCTATGAGCTTCGCTTGTTGCCTGAGCGTGGCATCGGCTTTGGTCTCGCGTGTCCGCCACCAGGCCGCCGCCGCTTCTGCTGCTTCGCGCGCCGCTGCCGCCTCCTCCTGTACATATGTAAACATATCAACATCATTCACTTGTTCTTGTTCCAATTCATTAGTCATCAAAATTTGAATTCATTATCTATTACGTCATTCACCTCTTAAAATCAAAGGCAACGCAAATATTAAATTACTATTAGAGGTGAAACTTGGCATATTTATTGTTATTATGCGATGGAGGTTTACTAAGGATCTAACAAATATGCAACGCGCTTTTATTTTAATTGCTAGTTACTCGATTACTTAATTACTCGATTGTAGAGAGAGCGTGATCATCGATACTTTTCATTTTATTAGAATGGTAACACTGACTTTGACAGTTCGTTAACAAACAGCAAGTTGCCGCCATTTTGGCAGACATTCTGTTTCCGATTGCCGAGGAGTAAAGACATCCGACGACATCACGTTCATCTCGTTATATTTTCGTATGAAAAGCGACAAAATGGAACAAATCCACGTTGGTATACACGCCTGCAGTGTTATTTTAAAGATAGTCCTCCGATATGGACCATCTATTTGGGTTTCGTAATAAGCCCATTCGGACTACCCGCCGACATGTATATTAAACACTACCAGAAAAAAAAAATGTATTTATTTTCATTAGCTGTATATCCACTATATACCTGTGCGTCCGCTAAGCTGGCTTGCAACTGTAACGCGTGCGCGTGATGATCGTGCGCTCTAGTCCGTAACGCGCTACTCTCCTCCTGCAGATCTCTCACGCGACGCATCGCGCTATTCAAAGCCGCCTCAGTAGCAGAGTGGTCGCTCTCCAACGATGCCAAGCGAGCTTCCAATTCCGCTACACGAGATTCCCGGTTTTCTAGACGTTCCTGGTTTTATAATAACGATAAAAAAAAAATATTAGGTTGGTTGCGGCTAATGTGTTAACGACTAGAGGACTTAGATGATCCGATTCTTAAATGTTTCTTCGGTCAATGCATTATACCAGTATGTATGTTGTTATTTTGAAATAAACTCAATTGGAAAGTGACAAATATATTTAGTCTATGTTTTATATTTAGTATAAATATCTTTAGTTTAATTTATTGATATTGTTAAACGCGTATGTAACAAGTTGTAATATACAGTGTCAATTTAATTTATGCCAAATTTAATTATATTCCCCAGTTGTAATGGCTGGACAATTACTGCTTGCCAAATAAACATTTTTTATAGAGATTTGTTACCATAATTCAAGAAAATGCGGAAATGCATTAGAAACAATTAAACGGGGATAAATTATTTATGCGCTCTGAAAAAGTATCTATCTATTTGAGAACGCACTTTATCGCTATAAAGTTATCAGCCTGTGACACAGAATGTTGCAGGGAGCAACATTCTGTCAGATATACTAAACAAAGTATGTTTATATACGTACCCTTAGCAGTTGCATCTGACAATGCTGATGTGAAGCGAGATCCTTTGCATCATTATGTAATTGTTCCGCCCGTATTGCCGCCGCGCCGCGTTCCGCCGACTGACGTTCCACGTCCATCAATCGTCCGCGGCAACATTCCAGCTCGCTGCGTAATCTTTGCGTTTCTGCCTGTATTATAAAATGCCAATGTTGACGTGATGACTATCAAAACTTCCTTAAATATCTAATATTTTTGAACGATACTCACTTCAAGATCTTTGTTCTTCAGCTCATGGATATCGGCTAGTTTCTCTAAATCTGTAAGCTGTTCCTCAAGCAAACTGCATGCTTCCTGTAGTGCTTTATTGTTCTGAAATGATATCAATAATAAATGAAACTGCATATTTTATACAGGATCATTTGTAACACCACAAACCTTACAGGAAAAGATAGCATTATAATCTTCAAATCAAATCTTGTTAACAAAATTTGTTACCGTTATAATATGAGTGTTGATTGCAGTAATGGCACTATCAGTAGCTCTACATCGTCCTTGCAACAAATCAGCAACTAACGCAAAACGCACGCGTCGCATCCAAGCACCCTCCCTGGCGCGATACCCGTAGGGACTTAACAACGTAACGATATTCCGTAGGTACGGCGGCTTAGGCCGAAGCGGTGGTTTGTTACCAGCAATATTACGTTTAAAACGTATACTCAAACTTGGCTCCATTATAATAAAGTTATAATCTCAATTCGTTTATAAAAATTCCGATATTAATATAAAATTATTGGTCACACGACGTGCAACATACACGTCGAATATCTATATGAATCGAACAAACATCTGAATGGAATGGAGAATTGCGATACAATAGATGTTTATCAACAATAATAGGAATGCAAACAGAATATCTCGCCTCTAATAATAATAAACATACCATCATATTGTTGTTAGTTAAACAGTTTCTATGGTGATGATTAATCATCCGAACTAGCTTGACCAAACTAGGGGTAGGTGAAACAAAAAACTTTCAAGAGATCATCAAAAAACTCTATTTTCGGTTACTAGTTCATGTGATGAAATATGCTATGAAAAGGTACTGGACATGTATGACTTATTAGCGAAAAAAACAATGAATAAGCTCGTCAAATATATCCTGCAATTTCCTCGATAAATAGCTTTATATAGAAAAGAGTTTATATGTAATTTCTAAAATTACTAATAGTGTTATATTGGCTATATGTAACAGTTAGACCGTGCAACTGATATAAGCTTACTAATGTACTTGCACATAGACTAAATTTTAAAGCACGGTTACTTTTTAATCGTCCAAAAATATTTTTTCCCCTTCCACTTGTCCAGGACGTCTTTTGGTTGTTTTGGACGATTTTAATCGTACGTTGTTTCATCATTATGGATTCGTGAATCTGCCTTGGGCAAACAAAGATCCTCCATAAAGCGTATTAGTTGGAACTTACTGTAACGTCTTTATATCGTATAAACAAAATCTAAAATCAAATTACTCAATAAATCCTGTATAATCTTGCAATTATAATCTTGAAAATTCAGAAGTTCAGAAATTCATATGATTCAATTGTTTGGTAGCTTAAAAGCAAACTAACAACTTCCATTTATATTTACCCATGTTTTTTTAATATAGTAAATATCCCTATAAAAAGCAGTTAAGTAACTTTACCTCTGATAGTTGTTCGTTCTGCGCACGCGCTTGATGCAATTCGTCCCTGAGCTGAGCACGCTCGCGACTCGATAGTTCCTCTTGTTCCTCTGCGTGCATACGTCGCTTTTCACTGTACTGCAACTCACTTTTCAGCTTACGGATGTCGTTACGTGACCTGTACCAGTCATCGATTTGTTTTACAATTTAAGATCACTCCTCTTTCTGTCTTCCGCTATGGTAATGTAAATGAGGGGTTCCAAAACAGTATAAAAAGAGATACCCAACGAATGGTTATATATTATGAAATATATAAATAAATCAAAATTATAACACATGAAAAATTTAAAACATTATACTTAATGACTATTTAAAGTATCTATAAGTTAAGAATTATGATTATATAATAGCAAATTATTCCTTCATGAATAATAACGATGAAAACAGTCTCAGACACATTTTTTTTAGAATAAACCAAAAATAAATTTTCTTCTTCTATTAAAAATATTGAACGAAACGATGATATTTTTTTATTTTAAATGCGGAATGGATTGTCGAAATTATTTTAACTTAACATTATTTCGTGTAAAAGCGCAATATAAAAACCTCTGTTTTGGTTAAGTATAAAGAGTAATTGTTATAATCTACTGTATTCTTTATAAACGAAACTCCTACCGGTCTACTTCAGCTTGAGCGATCTCATGTGCTTTGCGCAACTTCTCCAATCGTTCTCTTAGTCTTTCCACTTCCTTACTCGCTTGCTCATACTGAGGCTTCAATGTTGTCATCTCGTTCTCGAGCGCTGTTGCCTTCTGTTCAGCTGTCTTACGTGCTTCTTGGGCCAGTGATAGACGTTCCTCTAGTCTTTTGAGATCTCTCGCGGTAGACTTTGCTTCAACTATAAGGTCGTTATGTTCACGCTCCTTGCGCCATCTAGCGAGGTTCGCCGTCCTGCATTCCTGGCGTAGTGTGGCGATTTCCTCAGCGCGTGCCTGAAATAAGATAACTTGTATTAACTTGCTAGGTAAAATAAACATTGCGTGACAGTTGTTGCGCTCGAATCTACCATCATAATAGAGAATATTTTAACACGGATTCTGATGGATAGAAGAACATGATACTTATAACTTTTGTCAAAACCATTCGAATTTCTAATGATGTTAGTTATAGATTCTGATTTTTTTTTTTCAATCAGCCGCGTCTTAAGCATGATATGATCTAGCATACTTTACCTGCAATTGATTCTCAGCTCGCTCGAGTTGTTCCTTGAGTAACGCAAGTTGAGCGTGTGCGGCATCGGCAAGACTTTCCGTGTCGCTATGCGCATCCCTATGATCGATCGTATCCGTGTGTGTCCGAGACTTGTCCGTATGCGCACGCGCCATGTCCGTGCTAGATCGTGACGTGTCCGTGTCTGTCCGTCTCGTGTCCGTGTCTGCATGTTTCGTGTCCGTGTTTGCATGTTTCGTGTCCGTGCTTGCATGTCTCGTGTCCGTATCTGACTGTGCGCGGGCAGCGCATACGCTGCACACTCTATTCTCCAATGCAGAAACTTCACGCTCCAAGCGACGTACTAGCTGTTCCAAAGTGTTCACCTGTTGGAACAAAATAAACATTCGTTAATTAATCTATGTAATATCTCCAGAGAAAATGCAAGAAAGGTTTCTTTGACAAAAAAAAGTTATGGAAAGTCAAATACAAGATTACAATAGTGGAGTTTGATTTGAAATTCAAAAGTAGAGTATGTGTTGTAAATTTAGCAATGTCGTACATTTAATAAGGATATATCAGTGGTTCTTCGTGTTAAAAATAATATAAAGAATACGTAAAATAAACTAATTATTGTAATGATCTACAGAAATAGCTAATAACAGGGACTTAACATCCATTTCCCTAACGCGATTCGTTTGGAGTGACTCGAATAGATTTGTATTATACCTAAATGAATATTATGATTATTTATAAACAAGTTTTTCATCGCATTTAAAATAAAAAATAATATGACAACAAACAAAAAAAAAATGATTTGATATTAGAATAAATAAAATGTTCGTATCCACACTTTTTCCCTATGCCGTGCTTCGTCAGCGACGGCGGCGGTAACTCTTGCATCGGCTGCTTCTAGTCGTTCCCGAAGTCTTGCTTCTGTACGCGAGCATTGCTCTTCTAACGCTGCTTCACGCCGAGCCGCTTCCTCTAACCCACGCTCCAGTTCCTTATAAACAAAAAGGAATTTAATTATTACAAATTGATTAAAAAAATAAAAGTGAATCACTAAATATGATACCAAGAGCAAAACTCCTAAACGGGCAGTCCAATACAATTACTTTTTTTAAATATTCATTGAAATCTAAGGTTTTTATGGAGATAAATATTGGAAAAATTAAGAGAAATATAATGAATACAATCTTTTTCGAAGTCCATACATTACTCTCTAGCTTAAGCATAGTCAAAATAAAATAATTAGTAGTCATAAAAAAGGACTAATTTTAGTATTAAGTTTAAACCATTATCTAACCAAAACAAATCAACACATCTCAATTTCAGGTTTTCTCTTTTATCATTGTCAATTTCGTTTAGGTAGCCAACTTTAGTCTTAAATAAGTATTAAAATGTGTGATACATGGATACAGCATCATGAAATTATATTAGTGATAGTTTCACCTGTCCAGCCAAAGTAAAACTTGTATTAAAAAATATATATATTACAGGGATGTTTTGGCGTTAGAAAATATTATTTTATTAACAATATTGTTGCAATTTTCAACAAGCATTTATTTTACCTGAACCTGCACAACAAGAGATGGTATTCGAACCCGATCTTGTGCAACTTGCTGTTGTACATCCTTCAGCTGTTTTGTGATTGAGTCAAGTAAACATTGCTTTTCATTTGCCGATTCCTAAAACAAACAGATATTGTTACTTAGTTTTATTCGACGTTCCATCAGTTCAAATAAGATGTGAAATCTTACTGAAGAGGCAAAAACGTCTCTTATAGAGGGAGTACTCATTTTTAATTAAGATCCTATAAGTTTTAGAGATGAACAGATTAATCTATGTGAGTAAAATGAAATTAAACATATACCAGAGCTTTTTCCAACTCTTTCTTGGCAGTGTCCAAATCAGCGTGTAAAGCAGTATTCTCCGCTTGTAAGGTGCCATATTCGTCTTCCAAATCAGCGAGTCGTTTCTCCATATGTTCGCGGGCTCTTGTTTCGCGAGCAGCTGTCGCTTCAGCTGTAGCTACTCGTGTTGCCAATTCACGGTTCTCTGCCTCACCACCACTTAAAGTTTGACGGCGTAATGCACGTTCTTTTGCCACAGAATCCTGTAGAAATATTTATTGAAAATTGAAGTTTAACCTAGTTTTGAACTAAGTTTAATCTATAAACTACTTCAGTTATTTTAAGAACATGATATAAACAAATGACATAAATGATGTTACCTAAAGTAAGGTCAATATGAAAAGATAAATAATGTAAACAGACAATCAGGGGACCGTAACCTTTTTGCAAATAGGTAAATAATTTGCAAAGGATTCCTTATTCAAGGGTAAAAATAAGATTTCATTTATAAAGTATTTTCTTAATTATCATTCTTTTCGTTTAAGTACATTTTATCATACCACACATTTGAGTAAACTACTAACTAGCTTCATTTCTAGTTCACAATTAAAAACGTTCATTATAAAAACATAGACAGTTAATACATATAACCCCAGTTGCGCAAATGTCCATTAAAATTGTCATTGGCTTATAGCGACATTACCGTTACAAAATTTAGAATATACGGAGCTTAAAATCGTAATTAAACATTAAAGGTTGTTTGTGCAACTGGTTGATAATTATGAAAACTATTTTACTAACATGCATATAACTAAATACAACTCATTTTTTGTTTAGACAGCCTATAGTACTTCTATACTTAATACAGTAGAATATACTGATTTAAAAGACACAAAGCGTAAATTCAATGAATACATATATACCAGATATACAGATGAATAATAAAGAATTTTATGTTAAAAAATACACTATATTTATCTATAATAGGTATACAGATTACTCTTCTCGACATCTCTTTATATTGGTACTATTATATATTCCAATATGGGCAACTCACAATAGGGCGCACGTTGATTTCTGTTAATCTTCTATGTCGTAACTGTTGCACATGCTCAAGTATATCCTATAGTTATATCCAGTTTAGTAAATTACACTTTATACGTGTATAAATAAGACTCATCATATAATGTATCCAGACAATAAATCATTAAATTTTAAAGATAAACTCAAAATAGTTTATTAATAGTTATTTAAGATACGAGTGCGAAAAGTAAGGTTTTACAAATAAGGGCACGAATTCGAAAAACCTTTTACGCTCAAGTTTCTTACAACATTTTTCAATGCTTTTTGCGAGGAAATAAAACAAATATATAGGTTAATAAAACTAAGTATGTATTAAAGGTAAATATTATTTGTTAAAATTAAACGTGATATTTGAACATGTTTTTGTGTCATATATTTTTATTTGAAAATATTCGTTCTAGGCTCCTTGAAATACTTTTGCCTCTAAAGTTTGTCATTTTTTCATCAATTTTTTTTAAATTTCTTTGGTGCTCGACAAAAAGAAACTTAAGCACGTGTGCAGTAAAGGATTTCAGTACATTTTTATTTCACACGTGTTTAAAGACTCACTTTCGGTGTTTACAATGGATTAAAAAAAAAGCGCTTTATGAGCAACTGCATTGAAAAATATTATTGTTATACAAAAAAAAAAGTGATTGGGAGGTAAGACAGTGATATATTTCTTATTGCGAAATATTGTTTCATTCGAATGTTATTATTGCTTTTATATTTGAATGTGGAATTCATATAACATGTAGGACCTAATATACTGTATTATGTACAAACCGTTTGCTTTGAGTTAACCGTTACTGATTCACGTCATAGACACATCAACTGGTACCGTCAACAAAGAAATAGAAATAATAACTTGACTTATAAGATTATTAAAGTTAACAACTAAATAAAAACAAACTCTTCTTAAAAAACAAGCAGTCATAGGGACTGACACGGACAGACTAACGCGATGGCATTGTTAGCGATACTAAAGACAGTCTGCCTTGAGGTTGCGGAACCTTGTCTAATCTAAACCCACATGACGTAATTTCTCAATAAAAAGTAATCATAGCACAAAATCCTGTTTAAGGGATAATTCGTATATATTTCAGCAATCAATGAATAATTTATCGATTTGAAATATATACGAATTATCCCTTAAACAGGATTACAATTCATTAATCCGATGACAAACAAGAGTATGTAAAAAATCTTTCTAATAACGCGACAGCCAAAAGTAACGATGAAATGAGTGCATACGCATACTCGTCAGCCAGTGATAATTTGCTAACGGTACCGAGTTTTGAATACAACTGCCAATAAATTACGTCATCACAATGTCGAACGACCTCCGTAGTCGTCCGACGTCCGAGTAGCGACCGAATTCTGAAAGATTATGAACGCATACTCTGTGGAGACAATATGTATTACTCGTTATATTTGATTAATTTTGCAATCACTGTGCTATCTTAGAAAAATATTCTTAATGAAAATCCCAGATACCCTGAGATGGGACTCGAACCCTCGACTTTTCGCAATCCGGGCGACTGCTCTAACTACTGAGCTACCAGAGTCCTAAAAGGATTGACGAATTTTTCAAGCACTTGTTACTTCTCGCTACGTAAGTCAGCGTATTTTCATCAACTATTCGTGTACATACCCGATAGTGTTGATGTTGTGAACGAGCCGAGTCAGCAGCGGCAGTTGCCCGAGCGCATTCCCCTTGCAGTTCCGCTATTCTCGTTTCCAGTCGCCTCAAGTCCTCCTTCAGCACATCTCTCTCTGATTGCAAACTGGCCGCGTGAGCTCTAGCCGCGTGCACTTCGTTCGCGTTACGTTCCGCTATGCCAGTCGATAGCTCCTGGTTGGTGCGCTGGAGTGCCATGCGTTCTTCTTTTTCTACTTCGACTTGACGTTCCAAGCGCCTGTTGATTTAAAATGGAACCTAATCTGACGTGGCAATCATTTTAATAAGAACGTGTATAGGGAATATACGCGGTGTTATAAAAAAGTTTTAATAAGTAACGATGCTGTTTATAAAGCAAAATAAAATCATGAAAACGATACTGTTATAAAATGACATCTATCTGGTTCGTAATTTTTAAATTATTATCATGCTATCTGAATTATTAATCATGCGCCTACATAAAATCTTCCGGTACGCGTAGCATGGCGAACCTGAGACGTTTTTTTCTTCACACAAAGTGTCACTTTTCTCAGGTGTGCACAAACAATATCTCATAAGAATCTGACAAAAGTAAGATATTAGGCGTAGGTAAAGCGTTCTTGGACTTTGTCGTTCTACGGATTACGCCAGCATTAATTATGACGTCTATCTATACTATTATTATAAAGAGGAAAATTTTCATTTTTTGCTTGCATCAAACAAACTCTGAAACTACTGGACAGATTAGAAAAAGTCTTACACGCACCGGTAGCTTTATCATATGCTATAATTTACGAGTACGAAGTCGCGGAAAAACAGGTAGTTTTAAATAGAATACTAATAATTTGGTGTATTTCAATAAATTAATATGGGAGAAGCCGAGCAGACATGAAATATAGATCAACTCACATTCAACTTACATTGCGCTGCATTTACAATACCTGTTCTGTAAGCTAAGTGCAGTAATCTCGGCCTGTAGGCGCGCTCGCATCCTTTCGGCTTCAGCTTCGGCGTCACGGCGAGTCCGTTCGGCCTCAGCCCCCATTGCCGCTTCGGCGGCCGCTAGTTTACTCTGTAATGATGCCACTTCGCGACCGCGCATTGCCGCTAACTTTTCAGCAGATCTTATAAGAAAAAATGTAATGGAATTAATTAGAAGTTTAAAAAAAACAGTATAAATATAAAAATACTTATCAATAAATATTTAGTTTGAATTATTCCTTATTTTGTCATGTTATTACATTTCATGACAATAAGTACAAGAATACTCACTTGAAGGTGGCCAAGTCTATTGCAGTGCAGTCATGTGATGCGTTGAAGCCTGCAGTACTATCTTCATTCTCTTCCGGCGCAACATAAGAATAACCTAAACAAATTTCACATCATCATCAGCAGCATATTAATGTACCCACTGGTGGATCACAGAGAAGGGAAGGAATCGAACCGAATAGGAAAATGACCCATCGGCCCATAGTGGGTGTTAACAATTCGATGCGATTCGATTATCGGCTCTAATATCAAATAAAGGAATAATTTTTATTCAGTAATTTAAATTGTAAGTCACGTGATATTTCGAGCCGCACTCGTTGCAATCACAACATTTAGTTTATTGACATGTGACGTCACAGGATGCTCTCACATGGCCGATAGCATTTCAGATCGCAATTTAATTTTGCAACAGTTAAATATATTACAATTACTTTTGAATCAGAAAATATTATATACATAAGAATAAAATAAAATATTATATACATATAAGTTAACATTTCCGAATATATTTCATAACTTATAATTATAACTGTCACATAGCAAGACATGTCAAGTAACGCGTTTGAATTTGTCTTCAATGTCAAATATAATACTTTGCCAGTAAACTACGCGCATTTCTATTGGCAAAATAAACAAATTTTGTGCTAATTTTGGGGTACCTGAGATTCAATAAAGACATTATGAATTACATGACAATGAACGTTAGTGCTTTAAAAACGGAGCTAAGAAAAAGGCGCCATCTGGTGAGCGAAAAACGGTAGCCCTCCTTGGCAGTATTTGCCTTCGAATGCATCGATCCTCCCCTATAGAGTAACGGTGCGTATATTTACCTATAAATGGTAACTGTCCAGCGAAGGGCGGCCTGGAGCGGAACGGCGCGGCGGACGGAGACTGCGGCGGCCGCGGCTCCACGCTGAAGTATGACGCGTCCTCCGCACCGCGCAACCGAGGCACCCACGGCGGCGCCTGTATCAACAATAACACGTTAACGCTCGTTCATTGATCAACAATGGCTGGTTTACACGACATTTAAGTAGATAGTAATTTTTTACTATACTTATTTTAAGTGATTAAGTACGCGTAAACACAGTAATAAGTCAAAAGTGGCAAGTTCCAAATTAATTCTTTTAAGCTCATAAGTAGTTAAACTACACGTAAACTAATGTAAACCAACATAATAGCTAGTTTACACGTAACTAAGTATTAATTAGATTTATAACTTAATTTTAAATGAAATGAAATGAAAATGTTTTTATTAAATACTTAATACAAGTTTCAAAGTCTGTTCCTACAGACTTTATTTCTTGTGTTAAGATTATGAACACTACTTTTTTTTTGTGAAGGAATCGTAATGTTTTCTTGTGTACATAATATTCTCATAGATGTATTGAGAGGCAACAGTCAGAATATTTATTTCTTTAAATATTTCTCTGAGAGATTCCCTAGACCGTAAATTATATATAGCACGGACAGTTCTTTTGTAGAATAAAAATATCCTGAATGCTAGCCACAGAACCCCACAACAATATACCATACGTCATTACACTGAAAATAACTAAAATATACCAATCTTGCCGTTTCAACATTTGTCAAGAGTCTAATTTTCTTAACAGCAAAAGCTGCAGAACTCAGTCTACTTCACAAGCTATCAATATGAGGATCCCATTGCAGTCGGGAATCTAGTGTAATACCAAGGAACTTTGTCGATTCTACTAACTCAACTTTTTCACTATTTACATTTATAAGTGTACTGACATGCTTCACATTAGGTAATGCAAACTTTATGCATTTCGTTTTATTTGAATTGAGCTTTAAATTATTATTATCAAACCACTGTAGAACATTGTCGAGATCATTATTTACATCGTCAAAACAATCATTTTAAACAGTAAAGAGGTGTCATCTGCAAATAATACTGTCTCGCACAAATTCTACGTAAAGTGAGGAAGATCATTAATATGAATTAGAAAAAGCAATGGTCCTAATACCGATCCCTGAGGTACGCCCATAGTAACTGGTGCCCCTGCAGATTTCGCTTCATTAATTACTACTTTTTGAATTCTAGCAGAAAGATATGATTCTATTAGATTAGTGAATTTTTCGTGACACCATAATGCTCTTATTCCCTTAACAGTGTTTCATGACTAAATGATTAAGTATGTCGAAACACAGAAATAAATATAAAGTAGCAAGTTAAGAATGTATTCTAATTAAGCTCATAAGTAATTAAATTATGTGAAAACTTATACTAATGTAAATCAACATAATGACTGGCTTACAGGTAATTAAGTAGTAAGTACATTTATAACTTAATTTTAGGTGATTCAGAACGTGCAAACACATATAAGTCATAAGCAGTAAGTAAAAATTTAGGTAACTAATTGAATTTAAAATTAGAATCTACTTATCACTTAATCATGTGTAAAACAGTAATAAGGGACGGTGTAAAACTGTCGGAAGACCTGTCAAATGTCTTATGGACATAAAACGAATACAAATTAACATGAAACCTGAAGATGCCTATTCTATTTGTCCTCAAAGGAAAGGTCAGAAAATTCAACTATAAAACCTACAATATTATTTCGTGAAAATTACATGTGCATTAAAGACAGTTCGAGGTCCTCTGTTGCATCAAAAACTATTGAAAAATGAGTTTCATTGATCGTCGTATTATCGTATTTTAGTTATATTATCATTTCGAAACAGTTTTCTTTTACAAAGAAATAGAAAAGGACTATGTGTCATGTTAATTCATATGTATAGTATGCGTAATTTCAGTCAAATATGCAAGTATGAATTGTTAGAACGACCAACATGATTACAAGGGATGTTCATATAAACCTTTAATAATAATAAACCCATTAACACATAAATAAATACTTTTTCAGAATTTACAAATTTAGTAGTACTAGACATACAGTGGCGGACTAACCTCATCGGAGCTTGGGGCGGCAATAGGCTCGGAACGGCAACTTTTCCAAAGAGGGCAGAAACTTGATATTGCTTTTACATTTTAAATGTATTATATAATTATGATTTTGAAGGATGGCTGGCAGCCTATTTGGAGGACCCCCCCCTCCATCTCTTAGACATAAACTATAATATCTGGTAACTTAGGTTAGAATATCGTCATGTACGAGTCGGAACCCGCGTCAAACTTACCTGTTCTCGTATAGAATGCACGGCAGTGTGAGCAAGAGCGGCATGTTGCAACATGTCCAGGTATGTATAACGACGTGCGGGGATCACTCGTAGTAAGCCTGCCACCAACGATCGCCATTCCTTCGACGGACCATTGGGGGATGGATCGAACGGGGGTTCTGCCTCTGGATCACGTTCATACCTATCGGAATAATTATCATCATTAATTTTATAAAAAGAAGTATATCTATATTCGCCACAACCACTAAGTCTACGATGTAGGAAAAGCTACCTCTTTCGTTCGGTAAGACACTTACTTTTGTATATTGGCAAGTATTTCTGCTATAGAATCTTCTTCACCTGAAGAAAAGGGTCTTTTGAGTGTAACCAGCTCGAATGCTACAACGCCCAGGGACCAGTAGTCGCACGCAGTCTGCCCAAGAAATAATAACAAATCGAGAAAAGATAAAATTAAATCAGAGTCCAGTGAACTAACTTTCATTATCTACCAATTATTGTTAGTTTTCTACAACTACAAAAAAAAACTTTCAGGCAATCTACTATCTACTGACATTCAATGTTACTCCTACTTTACATGCTCAATCACTTTAGTACTAAGCAGCCAATTTCTAATTACTCTGTTGGTTTTAATAAATAAAATAATGTTTTTATTTTTAGTAAATAAAATAATGTTATATCACTCAACCAGTACTCTTTAAATATCAACAGAGTTTACAAAAATAAAATACCTAGAGTTGCGAACTTTAAAAAAAATCTTTTTGTCATTACTCATTACAATAGATTTTGGCAAGTTATAAACTACTTTTTATTAAAAGTCTCTATTTATTATTTTAAAATGAGGAACCGTTCGAATCACCCTTTGTTAAGCGGCTTTCTGTGTTGACAATGTCCTGGTTTTTTGTCACGGCTTCATTTGTATAGAAGGCGCTAGTTTTCTATTTTAAAGTAAAAGTTTGAAAGTGTATGGTTTAGTTTCCTGAATATCTTTATTTAGTTTAATGAATTTAATTCATACATGAACTTTTTATGTGTATTTGAGTTTAAAAAAACTGAAAGATTTGTGTAAATTTTTTTATAATAGGTAGTTTTATACAGCAATAAAATTCGACTTTAGCTGCCTTCATTCATTGAAGTTGTATGTACACAGCATAAATGTATTTAGCTGACTTGACATATCTAGCTTGCATCGGAGCACTCTCGCTTGCACTCGCCAGTCGATTTCCATCACACCTTGCGCTAACTCCTGATTAACTGTTTTCAGTAAACACATAGTTTACTAGTGGCCGCCAGCGACTTCGTCCGCGTTTTACATTATTTCTTCGTTCCTAATAGTTGCAGCGTGATATTATATAGCCTAAAGCCTTCCTCGATAAATGGTCTATTCAACACAAAAATATTTTTTCAATTCGAACCAGTAGTACCTGAGATTAGCGCGTTAAAACAAACAAACTCTTCAGCTTTATAATATTAGTATAGATAGACAAAGAAAATTGTACTATATATATCTTTTAAATACATGTGGTAAGTGAGTACAGTAACGATCTTGGTTTTAATTCACAATATTCAGATAGGAGAGTTATATATTCCGGATATTCACTTATCCATCACGGAAATTGTGATGGAAAACGACTGGCGAACGCGAGCGAGTGTGCTCCGACATAAGCTAGAAATGTCAATTTAACAAAATACATTTATGCTGTGTCTCTACAAAGTTCAATGAGAAGACGTGAATATAAAGTAATTCTGTTGTTAAATTGAAAAACCCCTAATAGTGTAGCGTTTAGTAATTTACATAGGTAAATGGGGGTCATAAGAGGCATGTTGATACTTCATATATGATTGTAATTATATTGAAATCGACTAATAAAAAAATGTTCGCGACCCTAGGCAACGTGTTAGGCTAAGTAGACCAGTAGGCAGATAGCTCTTAAGATATTTTTTCAATAGGAATCAAAGAAACAGGTTATACATGTAGTAGTCTTATGATGAAATCAAAAACCACTACTCAGATTGTAGAAAGTAAAATTCTGATTCAAATTAAACAACAATAAGTCAAGATTCTAAAAAATTGAGTCTGTGGTTAACCAAAATGAGACTCGCTCGCCAAACAGAAATCTAGCTGAGGTTTATTATCATATTTTGCATAGCAACCAAACGTGATACTCATACAACGTGAATTTCATAACTATCCAGACTACTATCAAGTTATCTATTAAATAATAATAAAGTCTATTGAATAACAGAAAAACTAATAATATACATACTAACAATAGTTTAACATCCGTTATTTATTAATGATCTAGTATTCTTAAAAAAATAACTACCAATAGTATACACGCTGCAATACTTTCGATTATAAAAGATTTCGCCCTTATTAGGTTTTGGTTATTTCCTTCAGATCCTCAATACTAGTATTGCCGTATTATTCAAATTGATAGCACTATGCCCTGAACACTTCTCGATATCGACTATCTATAGTTGCACAACACTATGGTCTACTCAGCCGATCGGTACGAGCAAGCTCTCGTGCGAACCCACAATGGCGGTGGTAACAATGCCGCGGCAGTACTGGAGACAGACAGTGTGTCGGCGAGCGCAGTCCGCCGCCGCCAGCAATTCCGGCGCCACGTAGTCCGCCGTGCCTACTGCCAACGAGGAGCAGCCGCCCTCCGAGAGCCGCGCGCAAGAACCGAAGTCGCCAAGTTTCACGTGACCGCATCTAAACATTCATCATCGTTGTCAACCTTTTTATATCCCCACTGCAGTGGCTCAGGCCTTCTTTAAGGATGTGCCATGACCCTCCACACCAACCCAATCCTGTCCCGGCACCGAGCTGCTTGACATTAAATATAATTATTTGTTTATAGCCCTCAATTGATTGTTAATAGTTTAGATATGATGGTTTCTTTGTTTTTTAAAGAAAATTAAGACACTAATCCTATGATAATGACCCATGTTTCATAATTTTTCTTGAAGCTTACATTAAATAGATACTTTTCTGCATAAAAACCATGTTTATGGAGAAAAATAAATGCTTATTACTGTATTATATGTATATAAGTGTTTGTATTCTAATATTTAAAAGAAATCATCAAGGTATAGCTACCTGTCCAATAGTATATTGTGTGGTTTGATATCCCTGTGGACGTAGCCCATGCCATGTAGGAACTTCAGTGCATGTGCTACCTCTACTACATAGAAGCCAGCATCACGTTCAGATAGTGGATGGTTACGACGTGCCATAAGACCAGCTAAGTCTCCACCAGAGCACAATTCCATCACTAGATACAGATTGCTGTTGTCCTGAAATGAAATTAAGCTGTTTAAAATCTAAATGTATATTACTACAGTTAAAACATAAAGCCTATATCATCAATGGGATCAGAGCCTACCTTTATGCAAGAAATACATAGAGCCAAGTGTTGCGCTAGGAAGCTTGTGACGTTAAAGCATTAATAAAATTGTACAAACTGTCAACTTAATACTTTTTGACCTTCTCTCCCAGTCACTTTAAATAGAAAATTAATGACAATTCATGAAGAATAACGTAACTTTTTTACCATAAAATACTTATGTAATTACAGTTTACCTGGAATGCATACTGTAGTTTTGGGATCCATGGTCCTGATGCATTAGCCAATACATCTCTCTCATCCTCTGCAGTACCGATAATTCTTTTACGTGTCTGTTCCTTCCTTAATGTCTTCAATGCGTAGACATCACTTGTCTCTTTTTCTCGTACCAACTGTGAAGTTAAAAGTGTAATTTATTAAATGTACCTTTACCTAATCTGATAATGTAATTTTAGTAGTATACAGTTTTCATACGAGTCGTGAGTGTCATTGTCGTTTTGGCATGAATCATGGCTACTCTGGTAGCAACATCATTTTATTGGTTAGTTGTAAACTAAGATAACTGTGACAATATTTTTTTTATTCAAAAAACCTTTAAGCCTGAGAAGCAACAAAGTTATGTGGGTCTCCCCTCTGTGCTTCCATACTGCAGGTACTTGCTCAATTGACCCACAGAAGCCTAGGTACCCAATAAAATCCCTAAAGTGTATTCTCACATGGATGAGACCTTGGAAGCCTAGTCATTGTAGAACCTATAGTGACCTAAGATACAGTTGTAACATTTTAAATTAAATATATATCAATAATTTGTTTTTGCTTATATTTAACTCAAGTATGACAATATTATATTTATTATTCTTCTTTATACCATAACATCACTTCTGAGAGGGTTAGAAGGTTTTAAATAAGTGTTTATTATCTTCATAACAATATTAGGTGGTCATTATTTATTCAAAATAAATTCAAAGATGATTTTTTAGTTCTAGATATTTTGTCAAAATGTACATTAAGTAACATTATATTTCATATATCAAAGTTTTAAAAGCTTCTGAAAAATAGCATTTTTAATAGACTACAAAAAAAGGAGGAAGGTGGTTGGTGGCAGATATTTATGACAAAGCATATCATGTAGGGTAAGAGAAAAATAGATAATAGATCACTTTAGATGCATTTACTGATAGTGGTGTTTTACTTCTTATAAATGAAGTAGCTGGCACGGACCTCAGTAAAACATGTTGGTGTATCCACTTTTTGTTGTGGTATTTATTTTATTTATTTGTTCAACATAGTATCAACAGCAATATTGTTTTTTGTTATTATATATTTTTCAGTTGTTTCTTTAATTACAAACTTTTGAAGTTGGTATAATATTCTTTCAAATGGTTTTTCTTATACAAGTGACACATCCACAAAGCATGTGTTAAGATCATTCTAACAGTGAATATGAATCTATTTTAATCTTCTAATTATTCTAGAATAATAGTCTTGAGATGGTATTATCAGATTGTAAGAAACAGAAAGAAAGTATAATATTATTAAACAAATAACTTACATGAACCTCTCCAAAATGGCCTCTACCAATAGTTTGCAATATCTCAAAGTCAGAATAGCACACCCGAGTTCTACGCAATTCTGCAAGAGTGCTACGATCTAAAATAAAACAAAAGGTAATAAAACTGAATAATAAAATCGTATATAAAAAAAAGTGAAGTGGCTGGAATTAGATTAAGCATAGGTTGCCATAAAACATCAAATATGTGTATATGTTATAGAAAGTGTTAAAAAAATAATTAAGAAATACACGAATATTAGTGTATCAATGATTATAATTATATTTTAAACAATAATACTTTCGATATAAATAAACAAGCTGTTGCAAACAAGCTTTGTGTACCAACCATCTGCAGCAGGTGATCTGCTATTATTAACTTACATTTGTCTACGAAAGCCCGAACTAGCTCGTCACTCTTTTTGACGGGATCATCATTACATTCGTCATATAGAACGGTAAGAGCATCCAAAAGAGCTTCGCGGTCAATAGTCTTTTTACTGAGTTTACTTGCGCCACTGGTAACTTTGCCTAAAATTTGGCGGTTCAACCGTGTTATTCGCACGGCTATCGCTTCTTTCGATGGCTCCATCTTTAAAAACACTAGTTTAACTAATAAGATACTTTCCAACCATTCTTAGATTTCATGAAATCTAATTTGCTTAGAAATATTATAATGGGTTAGGCCAACAAACTAGTATCGTAGCCGTTAAATTTTGAAATCCGAACTGTACTGATTGACAGTTGATTGTTGACCACAGAACACAATATTTACATTTTATGTAGGGATACAACGAGGAAATATTAAAAAAAATATAGTTCTTGAAATCAAACTAGATGTCACTAGCGATTTTGAGATAATGAGGAAGTATTTAAAAAAAGAAAGCACTAAAAAGCACCTCACCTCACTAGATGGCAAACCTAGCAAAAGTTGATTTTTGCAGGAAACGGATGGACCAATAGAATAGAATAGAATATATTTTATTGTACACACACAACACCACTTACAATATCAATTGTAGTATAGAGACTTTCAAATGGCGGCCTTATAACTAAAAGTGATTTCTTCCAGGCGTCATAGTGTGCTTTTTTGTGCTTTCTTTTTTTTAAATACTTCCTCATCAAAAATAACGAACTAGTTTCGATTGAACTTAGATTTAATACCATTATCTATTCATTAAATTTAATCGAATATTTTGACATCACTTAATAGTAAGGTTAAGTGAAAAATGATCGATGTCAAGAGTGTCTTTTTTCCATGAACAATGCATTATTAAATTTTAATTTAATTTTGCATTCCATACTGAAAACTATTCTTAATACAAAATGCTTCAAAAAATGCATTTTTACTAAAATTATCGGCTAATACCGATAATTAATTATCGTTTTTTCTTAAATATCGGCTGTGGTTAAACATTGCTCAAAAAAGCTGGTATCATTGTTTTAATTTTAGTCTCTCCACGATACATATGAGCTTTCGGTGCTAAGCCAATTTTTTAATTTAGTCCCTGAGATTAAAAAAACAGACTTAAGTTTGTGCAGCAATATTCGGCAGCAACTAGCTGCACCGAAACAAAGATTACAGTAATAATAATGTACAGTAATAATAATGGGGAATGTTCGCACATCTTCAGTAAATGTGTTCTGTGGTGCACTTACTCCGAATTCCGTGCCAAACGTGAATACGGAAATACGGAATATCTACAAAGACGCAAATTTGTGGCACAGGCATTTGCGAATTTGTGCAAAGTTTGAGTATACATTTGTAGTCTGCCATCATAAGTCGGCCTTTGTGCATAGATCAATGTAAAGAAACTTCAAAGTTTGTACGGCCTTTCAGATTAGTTACAATGTTTATGCAAAACGTGAACAGTTGTGTTGTATTTTTTTGTGTTCAATAAACAACTCATATTCTATTTATATTTTTTCGTGTTTGTATTGATATCTAAGGTTCGAACTTTGCAAATTTCAGGTTTTTAATATGTTAGTTAAAGGAACTGCAAAAAGTTGGCAACAAAGTAAATGTCAATGAGGAAGTATTACAAAAAAACATTAGTTCCCGAAATCAAACTAGATGTCGCTAAGGTACGTTCTTGATTTCTCCATGACAACCTATCCGGTTTTCTTTCATGTTTAAAAGTAAATTAGCTTTCAAAACTCAATTAACAACTCATATTCTCTTTGTACTTTTTCGTATTTGTATTGATATCTAAGTTTCGAACTTTTCAAATTTTAGTTTTTTAATATGTTAGTTAAAAGGAACGGAAATTACTGTTTTTGGTCCATTCGTTTCCTGCAAAAATCAACTTTTGCTAGAGTCGCCGTCTAGTGGAGGTGCTTTTTTAGTGATTTCTTTTTTTTTAAATACTTCCTCATTTGCAGCCAGTTGCACATGTCCATTAACATTTTCATTAGTTTGAAATGCTATTACCCATACAATTTTGACATTCATTAGAGTTTAAAGGCGTTATTAAACCTTAATGGACGTTTGTGCTATAGCGAAGATTGTATATTGTGCGACTGACTGTTAGTCTCAGAGATAAAAAAACATAAAATATAATATAATATAAACAGACCCAAACAGACCACATATGGTTGCAGTAACGCACTGAGGGCGCTTGTGTACTACGCTGAATTTTCAGGTCCGGCGGTCCGATTTTTTCCGGTCCGATATGTCAGGCCACATATAGATAATGCTAGCCTGTGCACTGTGGAGATTATACCGTCCAGGATTTTATTTTTCTCTATTCCGGACCGGTTTTTCAGGTCCGTGATGGCGGCAATAAAAAATGTGTTTACGCTTGTGCACCGCTGTGTCCGCGATCCGGAAAATTCATAAGAAATAGGCTTGGGAAAAATAATCGATTTTTGTAAAATCGATATTCATTTCGGCGATATTGTTAATTTCCAATAAACTTATAATCAATATTTAATGTAGATTATAAAATGCTATATTTTATATGATGATTTAATAACTATAATTTAATATTAGAGCTTTGGCAAACTCGGTATAGTTCTAATTTGATCAGCGTATGGTTCTAGTATCGATACTTAGCTAAATTTTAGAATCGTATCAAAAGTATCGATAACTTAAGGTAAGATAAATAAGTGTTGTTACACTTAGACGCCTAACAACTGAACCCATCTAAATGGAAATTAATATAGTAAACAGACTTAACTTTAAGAAAGAACATAGGCTATATTTTATCATGAAAAATATGGGATGAAAGTTTGCCTGGAAATTTGTCATTATCAAAATTTTTTTAGACAATTGATAAGTTTAAATAAATATTTGATAAGAGAATGAATAATAAAGAATAAACAGAAGATTAACAGAACTAATTAAGCGACACTCAACGTCTTTTTCGCATTTTAGTCTATATTGTAATAAAATTTGAAATACTGTTTGTTTCATAATAATAGTAAGGTTTTACTAATAAGGGCCAAACGAGCGTAGCCAGGGTTTTCATTGGCACGAATTCGAAAAACCTTTTACGCTTAAGTTTCTTGCAACATTTTTCAATGCTTTTTGCGAGGAAATAAAACAAATATATAGGTTAATAGAACTAAGTATGTATTAAAGGTAAAAATTATTTGTTAAAATTAAACGTGATATTTGAACATGTTTTCGTGTCATACATTTTTATGAAAATTTCGTTCTAGCCTCCTTGAAATACTTTTGTCTCTAAAGTTTGACATATTTTCATCATTTGTTTTTTAATTTCTTTGGTGCTCGGCCAAAAAAAAAAATAAAAAAATACTTTTAAGCACGTGTGCAGTAAAAGATTTCAGAACATTTTTATTTAACACGTGTTTAAAGACTCACTTTCGGTTTTTACAATGGATTAAAAAATTGCGCTTTATGAGCAACTGCATTGAAAATAAATTAAAAAAAAAGAAGTATTCTTAGGGAATAATATTTCTGCTCAAAGAAACTACACCACGCGTATAAAATTATGCCTATATATAATACAGTCAACTGATCTCGTCAAGTTCATTTAGCATAATAATTCTCCGCTTACACGGCACTAATTTCGATTTGTTTACGAAATGGCGCCACCGATTGGTCTATCTCTGTAAACGCTGAAAGTTGTTTTTACAAAACTTCGAAAAAAAATAGCACGTTTAAAAATTTAAACATCAAGTACTAGACCATTATCAGTCATTTTATTCTAATGTCACAGATATTTTTAGCTATTGTATATGATTAATGCTGCTCCTAAATTAGTAAGGGTATGAGTTTTTACATCCAATAGAAGTCATCCGATAGTAGTAAAAAAAATGTAGTCAATGCCATGTAAGCGAAGAATTAATATGCTAAATGAACTATACGAGATCAGTTGACTGTATTATATATAGGCATAATTTTATACGCGTGGTGTAGTTTCTTTGAGCAGAAATATTTTTCCCTTAGAATACTTCTTTTTTTAATTTATTTATTTATGACACAAACAGTCGTTTCAAATGTTATTAAATGCGAAAAAGACATTGAGTGTCACTTAATTACTTATGTTAATCTTCTGTTTATTCTTTATTATTACTTCTGTTATCAAATATTTATCAATACTTATCAATTGTCTAAAAAAAATTTGATAGTGACAAACTTTCAGGCAAACTTTCATCCCCTATTTTTTGCGATAAAATGTAGCCTTCCTTGTCCTTTCTTAAAGTTAAGTCTATTTACTATATTAATTTCCATTGAGATGGGTTCAGTTGTTTAGGCGTCTAAGCGTAACATCACTTATTTATCTTACCTTGAGTTATCGATACTTTTAATACGATTCACAAATCTAGCCAAGTATCGATACTAGAACCATACACTGATCTAATTAGAACTATACCGAGTTTGCCAAAGCATATGCAGTGATATTTACCAATTATATTAAACCATCATATAAAATATAGCATTTTATAATTTACAATAAATATCGATAATAAGTTTATTGGAAATTAACAATATCGCCGAAATAAACATCGATTATACACAAATCAATTATTTTTTCCCAAGCCTATTCCTTGTGAATTTTTCGGATCGTGGACACAGCAGTGCACAAGCGTAAACACGTTTTTCATTGCCGCCATCACGGACCTGAAAAAACCGGTCCGGAATAGAGAAAAGTGAAATCCCGGGCGGTAAAATTCCTGACAGTGCACAGGCTAGCATTACCTTTATATGGACTGACATATCGGACCTGAAAAAATCGGACCGCCGGACATGAAAATTCAGTGTAGTGCACAAGCGCCCTAAGTGACGTGTAGCTTCAAAGAGAGCTGCCCTATACTGCGCCGTTCCGATCAGGAAAAAACGGACAAGTGCACAAGCTACTCATCCGGGTTTTTCATGTCGTTCCGGACCGGAAAAAATCGGACCGCCGGACCTGAAAATTCAGTGTAATGCACAAGCGCCCTGTCACTGGTATAATTAGTATGTAACTACCATCCTAAGCAGACCTCTGTTAGTAGGGTAGTTCTCTACGAATCGCGGTCGGTATAAAGTCCACAATGTATAGTCTAACGTGTTGCCGTGTGTACCTGCCTACTTTTAATTTGGTTCTTATTAAATTCAACGAAACCCATTGAAACACAGCAAAAAATATTTGTGAGTTTGGTTACAATAGATAATAGGTTTAGATGAATTAAAGACAATCTGGAATATTAGGAGAAATCCATTTATTATTTTACGTAATAGGTTTTGGCTTTTTAATATTCATAACTTCAGATAAGAATCTAATGGAAAAATAAACAAAAAATATTTTACCATATAGAAAATCAAAGGCCAATGGGCATATTGGTCAAAGTATTGTCTCACTTTGAGTGACATTAAGGCACACGGTTCTTTGCCTGATGTACTTAAAAAATGTATTTATTTTATTCATTGCATTTAAAAACAGAATTGGCGGACTTAATGCCAAAGGAATTCTGAACTAGTTTACCAGAACAAGATGTTGGAGCCTGAATGTTATAACATGGAGAAGGGCGATAAGAATAATACAGTAGCTAAAAATTATTACAGTAAATATAAAATCATATATAGTACATAGTCTAAAATACACCAAAAATAATCATGTCACTACAGACAGATTATAAACAATAAATAAATATTAAAATGAGCTACATACTCCATAGAGTATTATCTATAGAGTATGTATTTAAGACAACGAAGGTAACACAACACCCAGGCCCGGAGACAATATAGAAAAGTCCGTTTTCTATATTGACCCCACTGGGAATCGAAACCAGGACTTTAGAGATGGCGACACCTTGAAACCGGCGAGCGAACCAATCAGCAGTGCAATGCTATAGACACCAGTCTTCTGAGAACAATTTTACTCCGAGCAGTTTTATTATGAGCTGAAAGAGTATATGTGTGTGTGTGTGTGTGTGTGTGTGTGTGTGGTATATATATATATAAGTATGGAAAAAACCTTAACTAATACGCTACGGTTTTCAATCCCAAGAATATTTGAATATTGCTATTTCACTCAATCGCAAATCCAATCCAAACGCCTGCGTTTTATAAACGTTGAATTCTATTACGATGCGATATGGTTTGATATCCTATATCTATAAATATCAGATATAGATCGAGATACTGAATCTGATGTTTCAATAATAATCAGTAATATAGTGTTTTAAAAAAATATACTTTCTGTGCGCATCGATATCGGATATTACGATATTGGTACAATATACGTACGTTTCAATATCTATATACGATTTGTATCACCCACTCCTACAACTTTATGATTTTATAAAAAATCAGCATTGGACGCAGCGTCAAGCAAAAAAGCAAAGCGCTATTGCACTTGTCGCTATTGTTATTGGTTCAATCGAATAAAACCTTAATTACCTTTTGAATTTTGTTGTTTACCGAATAGCAAAGCAGCCATCAATTTTGATGCATCATACCGTAGCAGCAATCATAACATTAGGTATAAGTACTTGAGTCATGTAAGGCACGCGCATGACCATGTGGACTTCTAATGAAATATCTTTTTAGATACTTTTGTGGTTAATTTAAACAAGTTAAGAAGTAAAACAAAGTTTCTGTAATTATTTTCAACTATTTACTACTTAATTTATTGTAACACAACTAGGTATCATATTAAGCTAATAACTCCTTGCAAAAAATAAATGAAATATAACCATTATCAAAACTTTATCCTTCCTACAAAACCCTCATTTCCTATAATCAAATCAAAATATTTTTTTTTTAAGTTCTGTTTCGACTTTCACAAGCACTCGTGAAAGTCGAAACTCTATGCTATCGGTTCGTAAATCTACAGCGTTAGACCTCGAACTGGCAAGAAACTTGCGAAGGCCTGCTTTTTCCCTGATTTTTTTTTCATACAGAAATGCCAAATTGTAAACTGACTTCATTAGAATATGAAGTCACTTTTCAAAACATTATTACAAAATAATAAAAAACGTTATGTTTTCCACTTCTTCTTAAAAACATCTAGGAGTATTTACCATCATCAGTATAAAATCAGTCAATTATCTAACGTACAGGCCTTCCCAATGGATGAAATTAAATAGGGAGACCGGGCCATAACTAACCCACTACTCGGGGCCAGTACGCAGGTATTATTGTCTATAAATACAGCTGGAGACAATTACTTAACGTGCTTTAGAAGATAAAATATTTTTAGTGATCTATCCTACGACCGGGTCTGAGCATAAATATATCGTCTAAGTATTTTATTTTTATTTGGCACACACAATTTTTATGATGCCTAAGGTCGATAAGTTTTCGAATGAAGAATTTAGAAAATTTAAAATTCGAGCAGAATTTGATGAACATACATAAAAAATTAATACTCACCGAACATAGAACGTTCGTTTCTAATATACAGCTGAAGCTAGAGGCATGTGCACATCTACATAAACTGTATCGTGTAACTTTTATATTTCTTTAATGAAAAATATATCTATTTGAATACTTTTTACATACCAACAGGGAAAGGTTAAAAAGCTTCCATTGTTTGATTTTATATAAATTTATTTTATTTTTAATTTCTACAAGAGTTGGTCCCTTATACATGTCCAATAAATTAAATGCATCTAATACCTTCGAGTTAATTTAAAAAAAATACTTAATATGTTTTTAACTTAACAAAAACTATTGTGTTCATTTTAATTATAACTTTTTTCGCTACCAGCAGCGTTTTCAACCTTAAAAATATATAATTAAAAACACATTACTTATTTAAAATTGAGTTCATTTTAAATATAACATAAAATACACAATATAATATGACATTAAGAATAAATAACAAAGTAAGTCACGCAACAATGTGCCCGCCGCTTAATCGTCCTCACCTTTTCTAATGAAGGCTTGTTTATAAAGGTGGTGATCATTTCGCGGGCGCAGTTTTGCTCGCGCACAGCTACAGCGCGTACTAACAGTTGAAACAGTTTCATAGTGCAGTGATGGCATTCCTGCAAGGGCCTTCTTTGAAGCAAGCGGAGGTGATGAAACAGGAATGGGGGGAGGGTCTTGGAGACCTGGAAAGAGGGGTGCAAGATCTCCAGAGTATGCTTGCCGCTACTCCGTACTTACCAGACCCGGGTAGTGTAGGTAAGCAAAAATAAGGTCACTATATAAATCGTTTAAATTGTGAAAATCGCTATAATACATATTGTAAATAGCTGACTCTACATTAATTTCTAGGGTAAATATTATCATACATACATCACAAAAATTATCTATACTAATATTATAAAGAGGAAAAATATTATTGTCTGTTTGTTTGTACTGAATACGTTCCGAAACTACTGACTAGAATTTAAGAAATTTTTAATCCACTGGAAGTACATGGTTCACATTCTATAAATTACGCGGGCGAATTAGTGCCATTATTTTTACCCTAGCTATAATAATAAAAGAGAGTACTAATTAAAAAATATAAAGGTTTTTTCTGCATATACTTTACATTTACGTTTATTAATAATATTCAAAGAATACTGGTCAGCAACTGTGGAATCGGAAACGTAACACGATAAGTTAATGCAGACGTAGTTCTACGTCATTTTAAATTAATAAATTATTCAAAAGTTTAAAATTAAATCATAAACATAAATCCAGTTATGGTAAAATATGTCAAATGGTGTCTTAGTAAAAAATAAAATAAAACTAGTCTGGTATGTGACTCTTTGTGTGGTTAAAAAACAAACCATTTAAAAACAGCCATTAAGATTACAAATTTAAATGTATTTTTTTCGGCGTAGAATCACGAGTTTCCTCTTTTAACTTATCCAAAGACCGTATAGTATATTCGGTAACTACTCCGAATAGGATTTTAATGTATGAAAAATTAGAAAGGTGGAAAATGGGGCAAACTTTTTTCTGTGATATTTTTGTATCAGTTCAAAACACTTATAACCATTTGTACATTAGATATGCGTATAAATCTTCTTTCGGTTTGTTCCTGGTCAAGATTTGAAATAGGTCGAAGGAGTCTACATTTATAATATATTATAATAACGAATCTCCCAAGGCACAAACTCGCCTAAAAATTGCGTACAATGGCTCAGGATTGTCTTGGACCATAAAGTACAGATGAAAGCAATAAAGCTTTCATGGATAAATATTGTGGTGACGTCATAAACTTTTCTTCCCCTCTTAAGAAAATATTTTACTTCTTTGCTCATTGAATAGTAATTTGCTTATTTATTTTACAAACATAGAAGAATTCTTTAAATGATATTATTTGCCAAGAAAAACGTAGACTGAACAAATGTACTTCCTGACACAGAATATGTCAAAGCTCTGGTCTTTCTTCTTCTGGTCTGACTAGCTTTCCGCCAGCGGCTTCGCCCGTGTGGTCTTGTATTATACATAAAAACCTTCTTTTTGAATCACCGTATCTATGAAAAAAACCGCATCAAAATCCGTTGCGTACTTTTAAATATTAAGGCATACATAGGGATATACGGACAGAGAAAGCGACTTTGTTTTAAACTATGTAGTGATAGGCATGAACAGCAACCTGTTAGAGGTGCTTCACACTACTATTAGACAGGAACATACAGTGAAACCGCTATAAAAACGTTTTGTTGATTTTATATTTATATTATTATTGAATTTCTTAATATTATTTTATTCTTTTGTCGTTTAAATATTTAATATCTCTTTTCGAAATACCATTAAAAAAATTAAATTCGCATTTTAAAATTTAGCGTAACTTAGTATAATTCAGAAAAGTATAACAATCAAAACCACTAATTTAATGATGATGATGCTTCCGGCCGATTTCAAACATGACAACCACTTCGACTCCTAATCCGTCTGATGCGCACGAAGGCGAACGAGCATCACCCTGAACGATCAGGGCTGATCATAATGCCCGCGAGCAAAGAGGACATGTTAGCGTTCCGCCTGGGTAGTGAATAGAAGCAACTGACCGGGCTTTCAGCTCTTCACACCTAGCTTTTAATTAAATATTTTAATAACAAAACAAGAACCTTAAACAATAATAATAACATTACTATTATAAACATTTAATTATAGCGACAGAGTTAGGCAGTTGCATCCATGAAAGGTTCCTGAGAATGAGGAAGTATTTAAAAAAAAGAAAGCACTAAAAAGCACTTCCACTAGATGGCGAATCTGGCAAAAGTTGATTTTTGCAGGAAACTGATAGACCAAAAACAGTAATTTCCGTTTCTTTTAACTAACATAATAAAAAACTGAAATTTGAAAAATTCGAAACTTAAATATCAACACAAATACGTAATAGTACAAATAGAATATGAGTTGTCAAAATTTTATATTTTGAAAAATATTTACTTTTAAACTTGAGGGAAAACTGGAAAGGTTGTCATGGAGAAACATCTAGTTTGATTTCGGGAACTAATTTTTTTTTAAATACTTCCTCATTAAAATTGCAAAGTTCATGCTAAACATTAGATATTTATTTAAACATGACTCTTATATCTATTTTATGACATAAATTTATTTATTAGCATAAGAATTTGTTAAATAACTTGTAACCATGATGCAGCATAAACTATTTAAGTAGGACTTCATTTTTCGTGATTCTTTTTTAATATCTCGTTTAATGTGTAAAATATCAGGTAATAATAATAATTCAGTTTTGCTAGTAGAGTTAAATCATAATAATCATAGCAAGAGATTTCGTATGTAGTACTAATAATTAAATAATTATTTGCTAAACAATTTTTTATTATGGATCGCTTGTTGCCTACTATCGGTAGTAGTAGAAACTTATAAAAAAAATAATCGTTAAAGTATTCGGGCATGATATGATATTATGTAGGTATATTATCAATATAGCCTTGCTGCAATGTGATTCGTCTCATATTATAGCGTATTTTTTCTTATCAAAAACTATTTTAATTTAAGTTCACATGATTCATAATACCCAAATAAATAACTCGCTTTAATAATGAGTCATATATTTATATAATTAATATTTTATGAATTAAACAAATGTTCTTGATACTTGCTCTTGATAATAATTTGAATGATATGTCCTCGACGCAAATAAGATACATTTGGCGTTTCCGCTTTATCGAAAGATACGGAAATGCGAATTAGAAGTTCGATTACTTCCCGTAAGTTATTAGACATATACTGAGTGTTTTAATTATAATTAGTTAAATCAGGTTTTTTTATAGAAATTATTTTTTGGGTTTATTTTTCTATGAACATGTTATTGTAATATTAATGAATACAGTTTAATACGAAGTAATTTCGCTCCGAAAAACTTATACTGACAAAGATTTTGCGCATGCGAAATATTACAAAATATAGGGCAGATGCGGTTCAGAATCGAGCACCGTAATCTACCTAACTAAAAATATTAAGTGCATAGAACATATTCCAATTTCTACTACTATTTTTGCCAGCAAAAATACTTTGTTTTTCATACACCCGCTTTCTGAATTGAGAATTTAAAGTTTAGAACGTCTCAAACTGTATTTAAACAGGTTTTCATTTCTGATTTTAGTTTTTTCAATGATCAGTTGATAGCAGTTTGATTAAACTAGGGTTTTTTGACTTATGATTTGTAAAAAACTTAAGTTATTGAGAATAATCTGTTGATGTTTTGTACTTTCCTCAAATCAAAAACCAGCCGTTAGTGTTATTGGCGGTTTTTGAAAATGTGCCATTTTAAAACTGCTTGTCTGCCAATTTTCATTGAAAGTGTTAAGTGATATTTACAGTTTATTTATTTATTTCATTTTTCACTCTCTTACTTTAACAGTTAGGCTGTCACCCTAACGGAGGAGCAAAGATTTTACCACTTCGGAAGTAGGTATTTATCTTTCAAACGACCGAATTTGAGGTAAAATGGGTTTAAGAATAGGGACGGACAGACAGACGATCATGATTTTGAATTTATAAGGGTTCCGTGTTCTTTATCATTAGGATACCGCACCCAAAACACATATCATCCTGCGTAATTGTCGTTTAGAGTGTCGTTTAGAGACTTATAATAAAGTAGGTATGAACCTGTCAGTCGAAGGTGACGTGGTGTGGTACGCGACTGGAGCCTTGATTGCCGGTTCAAATCCCAAACATATGACCATGTTTTGCAAATTAAATACTAAATATTTAAATTTAATATAAGTGTAACCATGACTTAATTGACTAAATGTTGACTATACAGCTAATTCAATAAATAATGTAGATTATATTGATAAAATTAGATTAGATTATTAAATTAGATTATTAAATTAGATTATTTCAATAATCATTTCTGTCTAAGTTTCTAGTTCTTAAAATTTCATTTCTTCTCTTCAGAAAATTTGTTGCTCTCTGCATCTGTTATCCTTTAACCACTTTACTCAAATTGTTTGTGAACGCTTCTATTACTAGCTTAATTGATATATACTATATAGAATATAGACTATATAGAAGCAAGTTAAGCAATGAGAAATAACATATGCTATGTTAAAAGTATTAAAATATTTATAACAAGGAGTTGAATGTAATCAAACAGCAGCATTTTTCTTTGTAACGACCTCAGTGGTCGAAAGGCTCACACGATAATTTCAACGCGTTGCGTTTTTAGAGGTCCCAGGTTCGATAAAAATAAACTTTTAATTCTGTCTTAGATCTGAGTACTGCCTCAGTTTACTTAACTACCTGTTTTAGAATTTGACTAAAATTTTTGATCGATTATCACTTGTCTTCTAACGTTTTTTCGCCGAAACATTATTTGCCAACTTATCATAAATTTTTGTTTTATTTACCAACCTCACCGTTACGCACTGTACGTTTGGTGTGCTTCTATAATGACACTTTTTTAAATGCCATCTTTGAAATAGCAAAATATTTCGTCAGCGTAATTTTCACTAACACAAACTTTGCCGACCGCTGCCGTGACACACTCGCTTCGCGCGCTGGGCTCGTGCGTAGCTTGTCATACGCTAACCTAACCTAACCTTACGTCTTAGCCCCTATGGGGCCCCCTCGGACTCCAAGAAACAGCTTGTCGGAGCCGAGGTTTTTCGCACTGTGTAAATACGGAGTTCGGTTTCCGCGAAGGCGTAGTGCCTACACCGACCACCATCGCGTGTTAAATCGTTGATTTTATTTCTTTTTTTCTA